TTTTGGCCCCCGGAGGCTGTGAAACGGCGACAACAGTAAAAATATTGAAATATTGTCAATCAAGGGGCTAACATGGGGTGGGGAACACTGAGATACTGAGGGGCTACGGGCTGGGATTAAAGGGGGGGAATTCGTGGAGAGACACAGTCGGGTTCTATACAAACGATAAGAGCCACTAAAAGTGTCGCTATTCCCCGGTTCGAAATAAAAAAAAATTAAAATAAAATAAAGGAGGAAAAAAACCAGCCGAAAAAAAACGAGCAAAAATATATGTTTTACAGCTCAGAAATTTAATATGAGCGACTAAAGTGAAAGTAAGCAGAGATGTGTGGGCTATATATACTATATAAAGTATATATGTATATATCTCCGTTCGGAAGAGTGCGAGTGACCGCGAACACTGTCATATCAGAAGGCTATACCCGAAGGTTATCCTTGTGTATGGAAATTTCACAAAATGCATTCGCATTTCGAACAATTTGTGGGGTTTCCGCGTATAGCAATAAGGAAAAGGTCCCTTTCTATACACTGGGCAGCAAAACTAGGGCCAAAAGTTTATGGAAATTAACCAAAATTCCATAAAAGTATAAATTAATATACACAAGTCTATATAGGTTGGGGGAACTTTATGCCTTGGCAAATGTCAAAGTTTGTATATTTTTTTTTTTGGAGAAGAACTTCTCAACGCGAACGATTTCGTCATTAATTATTATTAATTTATTTTCATGGCCATCAAATATTATTGCACTTTAAGCTTTGCTTGAATACGAAATTTGTTTTCTTTAAAACTTTACGTAGGAGATATTCTATTAATATCTCTATCAAATGTCAAAGGGTAATTTGTATAAGAAAGGAAATGCAAATTTTAGTATTCAGCATTTTATGACGTCGTTATCAATTTTGAGATATATTTTATGGATTATCGACGTTGGTTGATTTTTAACAAATTATTGAGTGACTATAATAATAAACATTGTATCTTTAGTTATTGGAAAGAAAATAATACTGTACTTAAGCTTTAAATCTAGGTATTAATTACCGAAAACTGCGTTTCCCAACATACTATCTAGTGATTGATGCAATCCCGGGAATTGTTTTCCGTTCGATAATTAATGAAATTATATATCGACGCATTTTCGCGAAAGTATCGTATGTCGAAAAATCCAATTTTACAGGAGAAGCTTTTTTGTGCTTTAATCTCTTAGGAAGCTCTATAGAAAAGACAAAATTGAAACTTAATTTTTATCGGAACTATAGGGTTTTCAGTTATAATATTTCACAGGGTAGTGAGACATTAGGTGCCCAACAATTTTGCATTAAAATCTCAATTTCGAAAAAAAGCGACATACGATACTTTCGCGAAAATGCGTCGATATGTATATTTATGAATCCATATTCCGCTGTAAAGGGGTGCGCGATTGCATAACTCTTCGTGCGGTTAAATAATGGAAAAATGTGCATAAACAATAAAATTGTTTTATTGCTTAAATGGCGAGAATAGTAAAAACGTAAAAATCGTACATTGCTTTGCACTCAACTCAACCGAATAATCTGGCTAATTTGGGGGATCGTAAAGGCTTTTTATAAGCCAACTCTCAGCCTGCCCCGAAGGCTGCATATTGGCAAATGCAATTTTGCTGGGTTTTTTTTTGCGATGAAGCTTTTTGACATTTGGATTGTTTGTTGTTTAATGGAAGCTTTAAGCTTCAAAAAGGCGTTTCCTGCTGGAGAGTGTAATTTTTTGATTGATTTTCCTTTAATCTATAGTTTATGTAAATATTGTTTGGTTGGGTGCTTCAAAAAGAAGCTTTTTTGTTTGATTTTTCAAATATATTTAAACCGAAAAGTCCATTTTTCACAATAGGCATAAGTTTGCTGTATGAATTAGTTGGGAATTTTAGTGCAATTTGCTTTAAACTTACTAGCAAGTTTTTTGCTTTCCTAAAAGCAGGTTCGTTTTTGCTTTCTTTCCTTCTTTTCTGTTATCAAACATTAGGGGAACTTCGAGTTACACTTTTAAAAAACCTTTAAGAAGCCTCTATAAATTTTTAATTTAATTTTTACACCTTTCACCCATCTGCTTTTTAAATCAAAACCCCGTTGCATGGTGTAAATTAAGACGCTGCATGGAAGGGATATGTTATGCGGTGACAGACAGACACAATGGAAAGGATGGCTTGAAACAAAGGTCAGTCGGCCTTATATATACAAAAAATTCCACTACAGATGCAGCTTGTGCCCCATCTCCTGGCCAAGCCATCCCCAGTTCGATCTGTCTCTGTCGCCGCTTTAATTTGACTTTAATGAAAACGTGGCAAGCCGAACACTTTTGGCAAGCAGCAGGCAGACGTTGAATGTGGCTGGGAATGGGTTGGGGATGGGTATGGGGATGTGGCTGTGGACATGTCCTCAGCTGCTTATCATGGGGGCCAGCAAACAAAACAAACTGTACATCAACCGAGGCCGAGATCCAAGCTGAGAGAGTGCGAGGCCAAAGCCAAGAGCAACACGCAAGGTCCAGCAAACGGGCCACATGCCAAAACCCAAACCCAAACTGAGTCGCAGTCTCAGTCCGAGTCTGAGTCCAAGTCCGAATCGAAGACGAAGACGACGTTTGCTCGGTCCATATGCGGAAACGCAATTTTGTCGTTATTTATGGACCTTGCCGCGCATGCAACATGCACGCCGCGTTGGCCAAAACCAACCAGGCGATGTTGCTGTTGTTGCAGATGATGCTGCTGCTGCTGCTGCAGCCTCTGCTATAACAGGATGGGACATTGGCATTAGAACCATGCACTGAAGAAAATGTGAGAACAGTAGGTGTAAAAGGGATTCTTGGTTTGGAAATATGATTTCTTGAAAAAGGATAAATGTAGTTCTTGATAAAGAGATTTCTGAAGGTGATTTAAAATTATTTTTAACTTCTTATTTCGGAATAAGACAATATTTCACTAAAATTGGGAAAAAAAATATATATTCCTCGCCGTGTAAAAAATATAGAAGGAGGCCGAGGAGGAATGAAATGGCTCTCTGCAGATGCAGATGCGATGGCGTTGCCAAGATGTCCGAGCGGTGGCCGTGGTGGTGGTGGTGGCGATCCAAAAGATCCAAACGATCCGAACGATCCAGCAAGCGATGCAACAACGATCCAAACGATCCATGCAGATGACGATGACTTAGTTGCCGCTGCTGCTGCGAGGCGGCACCTTGCTCAAGGAGGCTGCGCTTGCATCTCACCTCGCTAACGGTTCTCTATTAGATTAATTTATATTCAAATTTTTATTACCCGCGCATACCACACCGCCGCCCGGGTAGAGAGACTGCTCTAAAATGAATTGCCAGGCGGATCGGATGGGATGCAAGAAGGAGCAGAGGCAGGAGGAGCTGAGCTGGGTTTCCGTGGTGCTGGAACTCTGGGTGTTATTAGCTCTCGCCTACTTGCACATTTGATGCACGCCAGAATGCCAAAGTTGTTGCTGTTGTTGTTGCTGTTGTAGGGGCAGCAATAACGTATAGAATAAACAGTTACAACGGAAGCTGTCATTCCACTTGGAGGAATGGGAATAAAGCTAGAGTTCTGGGGAGCTGAAGCCATTGGGGAATGGCCAGCCACCGATGAGGATGAGGAGGACTCCCGGCTTGAACTCAATGTTTGGGCCATGGAATGGGTGAAGCCAGAATATGCGCTGGCGTTGCCGTTGCCCGGCCCGGCCTAGCCCGGGCCTGGCCTATCGCAATAATTAACAGTAAAATGTGCGCGCGCGCGCGGTGCAAAAGCGGTTAATTCAAATGCATGAGAAATGCAAATGACAAACATTGATTTGAAAGGACCAGAAGACCGAGGAACCGCCAAATAGAAGCCAAAACTCTCTGCCTCTGCCACTGCCATTGCCTGTGTCCCCAATTAAGATGTTGATGTGGTAACCGACCAACAGACCCGACCCCCTCTTCTGTCCATGACGAAGGCAATTAGTCGAGATTTATGTTGCCGATAGAACAGGCGCTCCAATGAATACATCTAGTTGAGTTGGAGTGGGCTTAGGGATATCGTATTATATGTAAATCTAGGATAATATCTGTTGTTAACTTTTGAGTAATTCTTTATATTTATTTGGTTTTTTTTCTAGGTGATTCAAGTTGTGGTGGAGATTGTGACTAAGAAGACTTCATTAACTGACGACTGAGAAGGTAAGTAGGATTTTTGGAGTTTTATTTAAAGTTTAAATTGTTAAAGTTTCCTGAAGAATAGAAAATGGTTTTCCTATAAATAGCCATTAAAAGAAGCTTAGAAATCATAAGAATGACTTATAATTAATGAATATTGTTTACTCAACATGCAAATTACAAAATTTCCTTTGTTTAAAAAGTCCTACTTAACATCAAGAGAAGAATCCTTAACAGAATTTTCCAAATAACTTGCTTTAAGGACTGTTAGAACTTAAGATTCTCGTACGCATTTTTTAAGCTTTTTGCAACAATACCTCCTACCAGTAGGTATACAAAAAACCCTAAATTTGTGCCCCCCAAGAGTCCCAATTAAGCCACTAATTAAGGGGCACAACATAACCTTTAGTAAAACACAAAGGGTAACACTTGGCCGAAGACCAACCCTTGCCAATGGCTACCAAAAAGACCCCTTGTGAAGTTCAACGCCTCTTGTGGGCAATTATGAGTTCACAGCAGTAAATATGGATATAAAAGAGGGGTCAATTTTAAGCTTACATTATATAAAAATAGTTTTATAAAATAAAGACAGAAGTTATAGGAAAAATATAATAAATTCATAGCTTCTATGATACTAATTAGATATTTCATAATATCAAAACGTCATCAAATAATGAAATAAAATATTTTAAGCCAAAATCCATGGCCTTCACTTTTGTAGCATACTTTTGGGCAATTTTAAAACGATATTAAATCTCTAGGCGTTTATTTTTGACCTCTAAATATTTATAAGAACTCCATAAAAGTTTTAAAATTATTTCGCAAAGTGCACTCACCTCTGCAAATGCTCCTCCACCCCAGCGGGCAGAGCGCCATCGGCCACTATGTAGACAGGCTGTCCGCCGGCGCCCGTGGCGGTGGCATAAGGAAGTCCAGCCTGGACAACGACCTGACCGTCGGACACCAGGCTTCCTATGTCGCCGCCCGAATAGATCTCCAGACCCTTCTGATCCGTGGTGGAGTATATAACCGTCTTGCTGCCGTCGTTGTAGATCAGATCGATATGCTTGTCAGTCTGATACAGATCCGGATCGAGTTTCTGGGGCACGGACAGGTGGGGCAGCTGCTTGACCACCCCATTGGGATCGGAGGTGGTGTAGATGATGGGCCCACCTCCGGCGGCGGCTGCTGCTGCTGCCGCGGCAGCCGCATGCTTTTTGTGGTCCTCATAAATGTCCGCCTCCGTCTTGATCACGTTGCTGTCATTGCCACCGCTGTAATGCAGCACGGAGGCGTCCAGGGGCAGGGGAGAGGTCTGATAGACATTACCCTGACCATGGTCATTGTTCATCTTCTGGGCCTGATTGTACATGGCGGTGGCCACCGCATTGTCGTTGGGCATCAGTTTGGAGGGATCGCTGACGATTCGCGTGAGGATGTGCTCGCCGGCCTCATTCCGCGACAGGATGTGATGCTCCCCGTTGATGATTTCCCGCGAGATGATCTGCTGTTGCTCGCCATTGGGACCCACGACTCGGATTATCTGGTTCTCATCGAACTCGATCTTGGCCAGCGGCTGGTGCTCCGTCTGCTGTTGCTGCTGCTGTTGGGCCTGTTGGTTGCCCATTTGGGCAGCAATCCTGGCATCGATGGCATGACCCTCGTCGGGATTACTGCCGCCTCCGCCACCTGGTCCGCCATCAGGTGGCATCACCACCTTGGGTGTTTCGTAGATAAAGACAGCCTCCTTGTCGTACAGCTTGGAGTTGTCCGTGTGCAGGTCCAGCACATTGACATTCGTCATGGTGGCCAATTCCGGCTGTGGTGAATCCGGCGATCGGTGCATTGTGGTCAGAAGTGGCACACCGTTGGGCGCCAGCGGTGAGCTGTTGTTGTTGTTGCCTCCTCCGCCGCCTCCTCCTCCTCCGTTATTTCCTCCGCTGCCCTGCTGGATGGGCGACAGAGAGGCGTCACTTAGGATACCCACACCCACACCAACACCCACGCCCAGGCGACTGTGCTGCTGATGCTGGTGAAGATTATGGGCGTGATTGTGGCCGTGCGAATGGCCGTGGGACAGCGAGAGCTCGTTGGACGTGATGACGCTCGTTGTGGCGGTGGATGTGGACATTATTTGCTGTGGCTGGTGGCTCCTGCTGCTTCTGCTTACTGAACTAATTTGAACTGGACTTGGACTTGAACCTGGACTTGGCTTCCGAATTGCACTATGACTTGGTCATGGACTGGTCGTGGACTGGTCATCGATGCCCGGTCCTTGGGAGGTTGCTCAAGTTCAAGTTGCTGCTGCTGTTGCTGCTGCTGCTGGCAAGTATAAACATAATAAATATCACTAATCAACGGATTGATGGAAGGCACTTCGTTGTTGTAGTTGTAGTTGTAGTTCGTGGTTGCTCCAGTTACAGATGGATAGTTTCTTGGTTGGATTTGATGGTTTGTTGGTTCTTGGTTGGATCTTCGTCTTGCTTGTTGGTTGTGTGGTGTGTCGTTGTTTCAATTACTGCATTCTATGGCACTAAGGAACTTCCTTCGCTTCGTTCTCAGCTCAGCTGCAATTAGACAACAAGACAATGGACATAATTAGTACCAGTTGTGGGAAAGAGATATAGATTTAGTAGAGTTTTTTGTTAGGGAGTGAAAGACAAACTGGAGCAGAGATCTAAGATTTCTGGGTTCAAGTGTTGAAACAACCCAAGAAAGAAAGGTGTAAACTGTCAGGTAGTATAGGTAGTAATTATTATTATAAACTAACATGTACAAAAAGTCTTTCTTTTAATTTGTATTGCCAAGAATATGGTAAGACAACGGAAATATAAACTGAATCAATAAAGTTCTTTAGGTTTGAGGCCTAGTTGGCTTCGAATTGGTAAAAATCAAAGCGGTATAAGCTTTCTAACAAAATCCACTAATTATTCTTGAAAGTTCAATGCCTCTAAACTGCTCTCAGTTGTCACCCAATAAACCCAGTTAAGCCCGCTAAATACAGTGTGAATCATGGCCTTATGCTGTCTCAAAGGCAATTCCCATTTAGCATTTCAAAAGGGCCTTTGCCAATCACCTTTAATTTTCACCTGTCGTTGGCGGCAATTACCAATAAGTTCGTAAAGCAAAAAAAAAAAATAAATAAAAGAAGACAACAACACAATAAAAAGTGGCATCCGTCTGGCGGCAGTCTGCTTGGCGCCCGCCACCCCCGCCTTCGCAGACACTCGAAGAAAAAACGGGTTCAAACGATGAGCACACACAAAAAGCAGTCAACAAACAAACAACAAAAGCGGAAAAGCGCAAAGGGGCAAACACAACACACAATACAAAAAAAAAACCACACACACACAAAAAATGGGAGGGAATGAAGGCAAGCAAAAAAATAAATAAGTAACACGTGGCCGTCGAACTAGTTTGACTCCTTCGCAAATGTCAAACGTGTAACTGCATAACTCAGCGCGGTTCATCAGCAGCGGCCGAGGCAGAGGCAGAACAACAAAGCAACAAACACAACAAGGTAACAAAACAGGTGGAAGAAGCCTCGACGTCAACTGCGACTGAGGCAGCGACGGAGAGCAGCAACCATATTTGTGTGTTGTATTTTTTTTCTTCTGTATTTTGTTTACTGTTTACAACGGGGCTTTGTGTGAAATTAAACACAGTACTACTTATATATACTATATATATACATATATATGTATGTCCAAAGCACAGCAGAGACGACAGCCAAAGCAAACCAGTCAGTCCATCAGCTGTTAATAGTCCAGAATCCCCCATCTCGGCCGAGTTAGCAAAACATGTTTATGAGGGATTTTGAAACCGAAACTGAAACCTAACCGAAACGCAGCCCAAACACAAAACAGCAACAGCAACAACAACAACATCGAGAACAGGTACTACTCCACACCGGTAGCAACAGGCCCAAACAACAACAATCAGCTCCAGCTCAATCCTTGACCTAATCCAGAAGGCTGACTTTCTGGTTCCACGCCAAGCCTGCCCAGGTTCAGGTTCAGCTTCGGCTACAGGTCCAGGTCCAGGTCCAGGTTCGGACCAGTGCCAGTGCCAGTTCCCAGTTCCACCGATATTGTTGTTTGATGATAAAGCCAAAAATTGCTGCTGCCGCCAGAGTTCACACTGGTGTTGCTGCTGCCGCTGCCGATGCTGCTGCTGTTGCTGCTGGGATGTGGATGTGGATAAACTCGTTTGTCAGCCCAACCCGGCGAGTTCACGACGTCTGACGACCGACTGGCTCCTCGCCGGGTTCCGTTAGTAGGTGAGGTCAGTGTCATGCGGCGGCGGTGTGCGCCTATAGACTAGTTTTTTTTTTGGCACTGACCATCCACTTCCACCTAAGGCATCCCACGCGGAAGGCATCCCCAAGCTAGTTGGAATTTTGTAATTAAACTTTATCTAGAGGTTAAAGCGAGGAAGAACTTCTTGACTTCAGAAGGGTCTGCTTACCAAACTTGGTATGTTTAAATTGAAAAGGTCCTGAGATATCGGAGATATCAGATTTGAATATAATACTGCATACCAAGTTTATAATCTTTTTCTAGATCTTGCACTTCAAAATCTCTTAGATATTTAGAATATTTCATAGATATAATTAAGATCATATAATATTCTTAAATACATATTTTAAGAATGTTTTTTATCATCTTTCTATATTTATTCCCCAATAATCTATTAAAGATTTTAATCATGATATTTGTAAAATTTTATGTACATTACATTTTGCCATCCAAAATCATAATTTTTCATTTCCAAAGCTAGTAAGCTCCCCAAACGTTTTGATAATAACCAACTAAAATAAAAAGTAATAACTTCAACATGGCAAATTCCCTACAAAATTATCTTGAATATACCAACATCCGATCCGATTTGATGCGAGACCCCCTTGACTTTCTACGCAATTCGAAAGGCAATTAGGAAACAATTAAAGCAACATCAACACCCTGGCTCACGAACGATTCCAGCCATCAAACTGGGTCATCCGTGGTCATATCGAAGCCAAAAGACCATCCACAGCCATATAGACACATCGAGAAAGACCCTCGGGGGATCTGTGGCCCGGACCAAACTTTCCAACTTGCCGCTTGAATGGAAGATGAAAGATTGAGTACGATGGGGGGCACGGAGTGCGGAGTGCAGAGATAAAGGTGGATAGATGGATTCTGGCCAAGACCCATTACTCATACAGTGGGTGCAAAAGAAATCAGCAAACGGCGAAGAAAAGCAACAGATAACCAACGCAAATGGGAAGCGATGTGGCGAAGATAATCCCAATTAATCTCATTGAGGAGATATGAGAGGAAACTTTCTTGACAAAAATGGTTATTTATAGAGAGATTATGGCACAGGCTAATGCTTTAATGATAAAACATAACTATTAAGAAGTATTAAGAACAATTTCTAACTAATAGAATAATAGTAATTATAATATTATTAAAATATCTTTTCTAAGGAATTATTTTCATTAAAATTTCGAACTATCTCACCTCAAAAGAACCTCTAACTTTCAAGTTAGTTTTCTTATTTATATTTAATGACTTGTAAACATTTATGGCTTACACCCCCGCAATGATAATACCTTTAATTATTACGCTACATTGCGCGAGATTTACAGCTATTCGATCATCAAAACAGGTATGCCAACAAAAGCGTAGTTGAGAGTAGGAAACTTATGGGCAATTACTGTATTGATTGGCTTAACAATAAATCGTAAATCAAGTTTAAACTAAGCTAAGCAAAAGAGAGAGAACTGCAAGCTAACGGCCTTTCTAGATCACTATAAGGAAATCTTTTGCAGCGAAAGCTATTTGCATATTTATAGCTTGCAGAACCTTGATCAATTTAAATCTAAAGCTAGGTTTCTTGAAGGCAATCTGGTGATATATACATATGTATCTTATGGAATAAGATGCAAAATAAAGTTCACTTTAATACATTTTCGATCCCCCAAGACCCCGAGAGCTACTGCTAATATTTTCATCAAACCCTAGAAACTGTCCACCTACGCTGGCTTCTTGGTTACCAAAGACCCATAAAATACAATCATGTATTTACTATATGTTGTAAATTAACCCTCTCTTCCAAGTTTACCTCTGATTCTATCAGTTGGGAATCATCATCATCATCATCATCACATGTGAACATATAACCGCCGAGATCCCGGACAACGCCTACAACGTGAGATCTATGGGTCCGGGTTTCCTATTATCCAGTGACCACCTTTTTCCCCCCTTTAATACCAACGATCTTAGATACAAACGTAGTGAATACCAAAAGCAATTCCATTTCCAATCCCATTAAGATTTGACATAATTTGAAATTTGGATTTTACGTCTCCTCTACCATACTTAGGGAGAATATGGTGGAGATACGAGAGAGGAGAAGAGAAGACCGAAGACTGGGGCGGGTAAGAAAAGACAAGAGAAGAAATGCGCAGCGTAACCCTAAGACATCAACGGTCAGAGTTGCGGGCATCAATAACCAAAGCCAAAGACTGGAGACTGAGGCTGAGGCCGGGCACTGGGAATTGGTAGAAGATGCACTGGGAAAAATTTTGGATATTTATTATGGGTTTATTTATTGAAATTATTAAAATGTAAGTTACACTTAAAGGATATTTTGATATTTAGAGTTTCACTGGATTAATGTAAGGAAGATTTATATATTTCAGTATTTAAGATACCACCTCAATATCCCAATTACCAGAAAGTTCACCCTATTTCTCTTCCTGTACAATGGAAAGGGGAATGGCATAAGGGGCATAAAGACGAGGAGTGGGAGAGGCATGGGAATGATGGGGGATGGGGGAACCGCTGCAAGAGTCCGGGAGTCAAGAAGGCCCGAAGAAACGAAGAAAGGCAAAGGCGAAAGAAAAGAAAAACAATAAACGTTAACACGAACACGAAAATAAAATAACTCTCTCACGAAGTTCCCCTTGTGGCCCGCGCCTGTATCTCTTAGTAGGTGTGCGTGTGTTTGTGTGTGTGTGTATCTCACGGCTGAAATGTAACCGTGTTTGTGTCCATGTATGAGTGCTGCGTAGATGTTCATTTTACTGTACCCATAATCGCAGCCCCAAATTGATCACCATCACATCGCACACAAAAGGCAAAAAGACAACGAAAACTAAAAATCATAATAAAAAGAAGAAGCCAAAAAGAACACAAGAAATAAGAGCTATAGAATGAGAGGCCGAAAGTCCAGGGGGAAACGTAATCAGAAAACACACACACACATGGAAGGGGCAACATCATCGATTTTCGAACAAGAAGGCAGCGCGGTTGCTGCGCAGTCGACGTCGACATCGAGAGGCGAAAAAAAAAAAACACCTTTTGATCCCTTTTCGCTCCCACTCTGTTCTGCTGTGGCTCTCTGGATACCTCTCTTGATCGGGCTCTCCCGCTCTAGCACAGCATTTGTTGGCAACACCAATACCTGTGCGCCTTACCTGCTGCTGCTGCTGCTGCGCAGCGGCGACTTCGAAATAAAACCAAACAAAGAGGAATGTGTGCGCGAAAGAAACCCACCAGCAGCAGCAACAACAACAACAGTAACACCAACAACAACATGCCAAGCAATGGCAACAAAAACAACAACATTAACTGAGGCTGGGAGCTCCGAAAGACTAAGGCTATGGACACAACGATGTCTGCACAACATACAGGGTGTCCACTGTACCAGGCCATCCAACCGTAATAGTGCTTGCAATAAACAACCGCAATGAAAGGGTTATAATTTGAATTAAATGGAATTTTTAATTGAATTGGAGTATCTATAGGCTAATAACAACAGTAAAAGAGGGGAAATTGGTTAACTTTAACAGCTGATATTACCTTAAAATCTCATATTATTACTATACAATATTGAACTTATTGAATTAGTATGATTTACTTTCTATTGTCCATTATATGTGTTACTATAAAAAGATCAATTGAAGATACAAGCCAATAATTCCAAATTTATGAGAACATGCTCTATATCAGACTAGATTAACACCAACTTAACACAAAAGGTTGTTAATACTTTGTTTTATACTTATAATTAATTAAATACTTTACCAATATGAAAACCTACATTTCCTAAAAAACTCTGTAAAATATATATTCAAATTTCTTTAAATAGTTTAAAAAAAGTCTTTTACTTCTTACTATTTTTTAATATTCCTTTTTGAATATCTCAGCTAACCACTATCACTATCCTAAAACAAAATTATAAATCAAAAAAGTTATTAGGACACAATTAAAACCCAATTTATAGGGTATTTTTCGAGTACCCAATCCTCGGGGATACTCTAAACAATTACAAAAGTGCACTTTTAGTTTCCAAAAGTGAGCAATAAAACTGTAAAATCCTAAATTCACACATTTATAACCTTCTGTTTGGAAATCGCAACTATTGTTTTTAAATCCCAAGTGAAGCCTGACCTTTATAAGCCAAAATGCACCGAGAGAAATTCTGCCAATCCAAAAAGAAAATTTTCATATTTGATTAAAGTTTCGAATATATTTAATATCCAAATCTCAATTATAGAAAATATTTTTAAATAAATATTTGCTAAATTAAACAATTAATTTAATGTGATATTTGTCAAAATATATACATATATTCTTTTACAATATTCACTCTATCAACTTGAGTTTTTTCTGCATTTAATTCAAAATATTAATTATCACCTTTATCTTGATACAAAATGAATTCAAAATGATCCTCATTTTATGTAAATATTTTCCTAGCTTCATAACCACTTTTCTCACAGTGTAATCCCTGCCTGAGCCGAGCCAGAGCTACAGCCTGATGCGTTTATAATTACTTCTTGGTAGGCTGCTACTCACTTTTGGGCCGTATTGTCCGGATCAGGATGCGGATTTTGGCACTTGGTGAGGATCTATGGCACTCGAGCGGGCTGGAACTGTGTAACTGTGGAGCTGCTAGCTAGCTAGTGGAGTCCGGGAGGCTGTCTGGATCCGATCTTAAATGTTGTTGCTGGTGATGGTGGTGGTGGTGGTGGTGGGCCGATGTTGTTCGTGGTTGTTGGCTGCTGGCTGCTGCTGGTGGGTGCACCTTTCGCCACTCTTTGTGCTGCTTCGGCTGCTGTTATTGTTGTTGTGCGTCTGGGGGCTTTTAGCCTGGCTCTCTGGGCCTTATGGCTTGCACAATGCCTGGCTTTTGGCCGCTTCTAATGCTCGACTCTTTGTGGTATGTGGAGCTGCTGCTGTTGCTGTCGTTGTGCTTGGGCCTGTGCTGGTGCTAGTGGTGCTGCTTGTATCATTGGCGGCTTGTGCATTTTGGCTCAGCATTTTAGCAACATTTCGCCAATGTTGCAGAGATGCCAGAGGAAGGGGGCTTTTTCTTTGCTTTGTTTATTGTATTATTCACTTTTATACACTTTAGTTTTCACGCTTTTTCCCGCTCGTTAGTTAGCTTGTGTGTTTTGTTGGGGCTGGTGGTGGCTGTTGCTGTTATTAATCACTATTTTTATTTTGAATTTTATTATTCGCTGTTCGCTCAGCTTTTTGATGGCGTCTCACGCACACACACACACTTTGAACACACTCGCACAACTCGGAACACTCAAAGCACACACGCTCTCCGAGAGACTGGCACACAGATACTAAAACTCATACTCGCGCACTATCTCACACACACACTCTCGGCTGGCTGTGAATATTTTTTCGCTTTTTTCAGCCTTCTCTTCCTCTTCGTGGCTCAAATAATATCTGTGTGTGCGCGCGCGTGTGTATGTGTGTTTTATTTAATTTCGAAAAAGTTTAAGCGCGATTTTCTGTGTTATTTGTTATTTGTGTTTTGTTTTTCTGTTGTTTGTTTCAAGACACACGCGGCTTAAACAGTTATTTATATAGATCGGTTATCACTGATTTGGATATATAATTCACTGGCGAGCCTCGGATCGGCATTAACTTTTTGACTTTCCGTGTGCGCGGAAAACTTGTCGTCGCTGTCGCTGGATCTCGGCTCTCGGCTATAATGCCCAAAGAGTCAATTGGAGATTGTTCAACTGTTGAATGTGCTGCTGCTGCCTCTGCTGCTGCTGCTGCTGTAGCTGCTGCCTCTGTCGGCGTCTCTGTCGCCTTAGTGGTATTGGTGGCAAGGTGCTGTCCGTGTGCAGGTGAGAGAGCGCTCGATTATTATTGCTTTTTATGGTTTCATCTCTTTCGTAACTGATATTTGAGCGAGGCAGCGACGCGGGCAGCGCTGGCAGCGCCACTCGAATTCATTCGAATCGATGATGTTGTGTGTCTACACTCCAAAATACACACACACACATACACCTGAGTGGCAAACACAGGTAGCTACCCTTTGCGTGTGTTTTGGTGCACCTGCAGAGAGGTGCGCGCAGCAGCAGCAGCAGCAGCTAAGTTAAGCGGGCGCAGGTACAAAAGACTTAGGCCACGAACCTTCTGCTGCCCGATCAAAAGACTTAGGCAACGAACCTCGGCGGTTGTCTTCCACGTGCGGCAGCGAGAGCGAGACGGGGGAGAAGGAGTCGCCTTCACCCGCACTGAGGCTCAACCGCTCCTGCTACGTTCATTTCGCTGCTGCTCCGGGCATTGCATTCATTATCGAAAATTCGAAAATCGCCTTTTCGAACTTGTCGCTGTTCTTTTTAGCCACTGTTGCCATTGTTGTTGCCATTTGGCTTGTAAGCCGCCGTCGCGTGAAAGTGGTAGTGCAATCCAAGCATCAGGTAGAGAAACACACGCACACACTGGCAGCAAAGGTGAGAGAGAGGGATCTGGGAGAGAGATAGAGAGCGCCGCATGCCAATGCACTGAAAGAAATGGTTTAATGATCACTTGGATACCTAAGTTTTCATTTAATTTAATGATTTAGAGAAATGTATATTATGATTTACTATTTTTAGCTAAAGAAAATAATTTTCCACTTAAAAATATATATGCAAATATTTTTTTAAATTAAAAATTTCATTAATTATTTAGCTTTAAGTGGTTCCTATTTTTTCTCCGTGTGGCATACGTAAAATAGTTGTGCATGTACCACAAACGAATATAGCGAATACGCCGTGTTGCTGCCGCCACAGCCTCCGATCGTTCTGGCTCTCTTTCTCCCTTCCCACTTGCTTCCCCTAGCCCGGGCCTGGCTTTTGGTTAGCATCAGTCTCAGATACGATTCTACGAGTACAACCTCGCCAGGCGACGGCAATCAGCGGATCGCCGGACGGCGGACAGACGAAGCTTGTGTGCTTTCCGCCACGGCAAAGGGTGTCTCCCTCATTCCCGCCCCCGCGCTATCCGTCTCTGTTTGTCGTTTGGAGCTGGCGCACGCGTGGATCTGAAGTTTATTGTGGGAATATGTATCGTGGGGATATATCGAATGAAATATAGCGCTCGTTATTATAGCGAAAATATTATGAAGTCTAATATATATGTACATATATATAAGGTTTGAAATATCAGTACAAAAGAATAAAAATCTAAAAATATATGTTACATTAACCGACTATATAGAAAACATTTTTAAAATAACCTTTTTATTTTCTTTATTATTATATCCAACAGAAATATATATTTAAACAAAGTCTAGGGTCTTCTTGGGCACAGTCTAATGTTTTAAAATATATCGAACATATATTGATTTATCGAACTTATTTATACATCGACACATTATCGATATTTTCTACTATATCCGTACTTGGATATGAGTTTACATCGTTGCGCTATAAGGTGTAAAATGTTCATGTAGACTGTGTAGTGATTTCTTTACACGTTAGCGGCGCTAAATGTAAAATAAATCTAACAATTTTTAAATTAAATTTAATTACTTATATAAAATACTTTCAACAGTGGAAAATTATTTCGTTTTGTTTTATAAAATAATAGATTTTCAAATTTAAATTAAAAATGCAATTGATGTGAAAAATATAATAGAATAAAATAGAAAAACAAACATTTTAAAAATTAAAGTTTGATTTGGCGAAATTGCTTATTTATTTTAAATGTACAATAATCTAATATTCCTGAAAAATCTTTTAATAATATGATTTTATTTTAAGCTTTCAGCCAGGCTCCCTCATAACTGACTTACTTTTCAAATTAATAACTGCGCTCACGATCAGAAATTTCTTCTTGATTTAAATGAAAATATTTTAACACCTTTTTTCATAGCAAATAATAAAAAAATGTAAGTAAACCAATATTTTTCCCACAATAGTTTCAAGATTTTTAATTTTTCAGATGTCCGGCAAGATAATTTTTAGAAATGCAACCCAGGACTTGTTAATGATGGAGTTTATGATTGCAAATCCTGACTTTACCAGGGGAATGGAAAACCGTGTTGTTACAGCCGAGAAGTGGGAAGAATTACTTAAGGCTCTGAATTCAGCTGGTCCTCCGGTTAAAACCATTCAAGCATGGAAGAAGGTAAGTGCTTTAGAATGCTCTTAATTTTGTAATTTTAATACATTTTTATTAAACTTTAAGATTCGAGCAAATCGGATTGTTAGTATTCGTTCAAAGCTTGCGAAGTCCCCAAGTGGCGATAACCTGTGCCCGCTTGAGACGAAGGTGGCCTCCATCTGTGGTTTGTTAGGTCCGCCTCAGGGCGTAGTTAGGAGCACCAGGATCAAGAAGCAGCCGGTTCACCTTGTCCTGAATGAGCCCCAAGTCAAGAAGAAGACCCTCGTCAGGCAGAAGCTCCTCAAGAAGAAGCCCATCGTAAAGAAGCAGCCGGATCTCCTTGTCCTAAATGAACCCCTAGTCAAGAAGAAGACCCTCGGCAAGCAGAAGTTTCTCGCAAAGAAGCCCATCGTAAAGAATGAGAGCCTGTCGGACGACGAGGGAGAGTGGGAGGACGTGGACACCAAACCGTTGCACAATCAGCAACCGGGGCCTATGCCGAAGATTCTGCAAACTCTTCAAACAATGACTTCTCAGCAAGCCGAGCATTTTCGTTACATTGAGGAAATCGAAATAAGGAAACTAAAAGTGACCAAGGCCATAATGGAAAATATTGCCAAAATGGTCAACAAATAAAGTTCAAGTTGTAAGTTAAGCCTGAATATTATTGAAAAAGTTAATTTGAACTACTAAAAATTAATTTTGAAACTAGCAAGTAAGAAGTATTTGAAAATTATGGAAAATTATCGTCTTAAGTTTTTTAAAGTTTTTGGACAAGATTTTTTGATAAAATACATATATAAAGTGGTTGAGAAAATTAGTTTGAAACTAACAGATGCTATTAAAAACTACCAAAAAAGGTACTGTTAATTAAGTTAATTTTGAAGAAGTAAATAAACATTATGAAACTATAATCTTAAGTTCTGAAAAGTTTTCGCACAAGATTTATAAATAAAATGTTTGAAAATGGAAAGCTTTTGTGTGATTTTACTAACTTGGCACTTTTATAATTTTAAATATTTTAGGAATTTGGGAATTTCAATACCCCAATAATTTCTATAGGTATATTAAACTTGTTTTTAATACATCTAAATCTAGTTAATCCTTAAATAATTACCTTACCAAAGAATCTCCTCCCGAAAGTAGTACAATAACGAGTTCAAAGTTCGAATTTGAGTTTTATTTTCATGTTGGTTTATTGTTGCAATATATTAAATGTTTAAAACTAAATTTAGGCTTAGTTTAATCATTTTGTTTTCTTTGTATTTATTGATCTTGCCGTGTTTTTGTATTGTTTTTTTTTATGCATTTATTCATTAGTTGTTGATTTTTGTAATAAATTTTATTTATGCTTTTTAACTGGTCGAAACTTTTCACTAATGCTTGATTACGCTTTTCTTTTCTTTTTTTTTTTTGTACATATACGCTATGCAAGTAGTTTATATATATGCATGTATCATGTGTAGGTGTGGTGTTTGTGTGTGTGCGAGTGTGGCCGTGTGTAAAACTAATAAAAACAAACAACAATCGTATTTTAAACGTACTTATATTCTGTATATTCTGTGTTCTTGTGGTTTCAAAAAGTCTTATATATCATCTGTGTCCGTGTACTGCAAAGCAAGAAACCGAAGAGAAACATTCACAGACAAACATTCCCTTTGCTCCTAACAGGACATTGTTTGTGTGTGCTTTGTGTTTTTAACCTGATTTTGCCTAAAATTAATTTAACAAACCATGGAAACTGACGGGGGTTTCGGTTTCGGGCCTCCTCTACTATATATGGAGCAAAAGCGTTTGTCGAATTCTCAATTCCAAGTAGCAGCCTGAGTTTTGAAGGACTAGAAAGGAAGCTGGTTGGATAGCAGAAGAGGTCTTAACAGGATTAATATATTAAAACTGATATTTGAGGGAAACTGTGGAAGATGCTTAAATGCTAGTAAAGTCAATGTTGAAGTGTTGTTTCTGGTTCTGTTCTCTGTTCTAGTGAGTTATTGGTGTCCTTGTGTCCTCTGTGTCCGTGTCGATAGATGCATTAAAACTAGGCACACCAACTAGCTACGAAAAACATTCCCCGACTAACCCGCAACAAAGGTACACACAGGAATCGCTTGTACTTATTTGTTTAAAAACATTTTTGTGCCTTGAAAACACACTGTGACAACCCAAAAGTGTTAACGAAACCAACTTAAGATCGAAGAATACACATTGTTAACTTTTTTTGCGAGCAGGGTTTCGCCATTATCCTGCCCCTAAATTATCCTCTTCTTTATCTGTGTTTTAATTTTTATACCCTTGCAGGGTATTATAATTTCAGTCAGAAGTTTGCAACGCAGTGAAGGAGACCTTTCCGACCCTATAAAGTATATATATTCTTGATCAGCATCAACAGCCGAGTCGATCTAGCCATGTCCGTCTGTCCGTCTGTCTGTCTGTCCGTCTGTCCGTCTGTCTGTCTGTCCGTCTGTCCGTCTGTCTGTCTGTCTGTTTCTACGCAAACTAGTCCCTCAGTTTTAAAGCTATCTGAATGAAACTTTGCATATAGTCTTCTATATGCTCTCACTGCTATATATGTCGGAACGGGCCGGATCGGACGACTATATCATATAGCTGCCATACAAATGTTCGATATATTTGTAGAAAAAAAATTATAACTTGGCTGTTTTTCAATATTTTTGCATCATTTTTGAGATATAGCCATTTTATATTATTCCAGAATTTTGGTAAAAATTTTATGAAAATCGGACGACTATATGATATAGCTGCCATAGGAACGATCGAGAAATTAATAGAAATAAAATTATAGCTTCGTTGTTTTTCAACGCATTTTTATTTACTCTGAGATATACGTTTTTTTTATTATTCTAGAATTTTGGTATAAATTTCATAAAAATCGGACAACTATATCTTATAGCTGCCATAGAAGCGATCGGTAAATGTATAAAATATATAAAGCTGAGAATGTAAAACTGTAACTGTCAAACTGTAAACATAATAAGTATAGGTAAAATGTAATGAAACTCTGTTTTGTGAGTGTTTTCAGCATTTAAATCTATAAAATAAACATCAAAACCAATCTGCAAGGGTATACAAACTTCGGCGTGCCGAAGTTAGCTTCCTTTCTTGTTTTTTTTTGTATTTGTTTTTAGTTTTCAATTCGACAACTTTGTTTTTTTTTTTTGACTAAAATTTTAACATAACCATACTTTTGTGTTGTTTTTATCCTTTTTTTTTTGTTATTTATAATACTGTTCTTCAATATATATATTTTTTCAAGTTTTGTTTTTAATGCAGAAATGGGATAATGTGAGAGGAAACTCTTGGAACTTTCGCCTGGCATTATATACTCATATTATAAGAGCATATATATCTCTTGCAAAGTTCTGATTCTTTTTTTTATGTTTTGTTGGCAGTGATATTGCGAAACGTTCTTCTTTCGACTTGGAAATCAGCACTCGACATCGAAATAATATATAGTACACGTTATAGTTATATGCGTTTTGTTCCAGCTTGTTTTCATTGGGTTTCCATGGGATCTTTAAGACATTATAATAGGGGTTATATTATGGTCTGTCTGGTTCCAGAGTACAGCTCAAGGATGGGACTTTGTAGAGAGAGAGTTGTCGTCCCCAGAAAGGACTCGATCCTTCCATGGGCCTTATAAGAAAGTAGAAAGTGTTGTGTGTTTTGCCGTCTGCTGTGGTATTTACAAAATGCTTCGATGTCATTACTCGTATGACCTAAAACGATTTCTTCAAAACTATTCAAGTTAAATGTCTCTATATATCTTCTGTATATATATCTGTATAATTTATATATATATGCTGGTGTGTATATATATATAAGTTTATAAATTTATGTAATACGTTTAAAAAGATTTTTTTTTGGTTTCACTTCTTTGTTTTTCGGTTGTTTGGAAAAAGTATTTCTGTTTAAGTTTACTTATCGGTTAGCGGGTTCCGTAATCTTTGTCGCAATTTGATTAATACGTCTCTTAGATCACTAGTATTACAATAGATGCTATTTGTGTCGCTCGTTTCGTGTTTTCTTTTGTTATGTTTCCGGAACCGCTTTTTATATTTTTTTTGGAAAATGCTTTCTGTGGTCGCTCCTCTTGGCTCCTCTTAGTTTAAACGACTAACTCTTTGGTTTTGTTAACGACTAGAACGTAAGTAGAGAGAAGGAATCCGTTTCACGTATAATGCACATCTCGTCTGGGTCCCTCGCCTGCATCATCCGTTTATCCTGGTTATTCGGAAAATCCACCTTGGCTGCGGGCAAAACTGTTAAATGGGTCTACTAATGGATACATATTGCTTAGTCGATTGCCACAGCGCCGGTGGAGGATGAGGAGGAGGCCCAGAGAAATACTAATGGAGAGCAATAACGGAAATCAACACAGCGCCATCTGAATCCGATCCGATTAGAGCCTGGCTTCCCACCCGATCCTCTCTAGGTGGGACTATCCGCCTTGGAGCCGGCATTCGAGTTGTCTTGCAGTTGAGCGAGTGTCTTGAACTTTTGTGAGTTTAGGAATCTGTTGAGAAGAGGGGGACACAATTAATGAGTTTTATAATAATTAGTTGGAAATTTTAGAGTTAAACAAGACAAGAGAAACCCCATCCTGAGTACCCACCTCGGATATGAGTCTCTGTGCATCAGTGTGTAGATCTGGATTTGAGCTTCGTCGAAGGTGTGCGTCGTGGGCTCGATCATGTTGCGGTTGACGATCTCGCGGACCCGCGAATCCAGCGACACCTCCCGCGGCGACAGTATCGAGATGTAGTCCTCGTAGATGAGGCGCGCCTTCTCCTCCACAACCTCTGCGCTGCCTTCCTTCTTGAGGTCCTCGCAGGCCAGCCAGAACAGGATGTTCTCCTCGCTAAACTCGCTGCGCAGGAAGTTCTGGAACACCTTCCGACCGGCTGTGAATTATATATATGTAATTATTATCATGAAGTATACTAGATGAACTGAGACTCACCTGAGCTTTTCATCAGCTTGTCGAAGCTCTTGCCCCAGCTGCGGATTTCCTCCAGTGTGGGTCTGAAAAATGTATATATATATTGGGAGCTGAGTATATATTTCTTTATAGGGTTATGGGTATTCCATTAAACTCACTGTTCGCCATCTAGGAATTCGGCATTAACGAGATCCCGCTTCGTGGGCGCATTTTCATCGGCATTCTTGATGGCCAGACTGCAAAAGATAAGGAGGTGAGCTTGTTAAATGTCGTTATATTTTGATTTTACAACCCATCAATCACCCTTTAAAGTAGACTACGATTTTATTCATCGCCGAGTTGCCGCTCGCTCAGCCTGACTCATTTTTAACTGGCACAAAGAATAGCATAAACGTGTAAATACGGTAGTCAACCGATAGAGTGGACAGAGAGACTTGGAGATAATGGGAGATAAGTGGGTGATGTCATGGGGTAATAGAGTCTAAAGTACCTATGAGTAATCGATATAATTTAGGTAGTGAAAGGACTATAATTGAGAGAAACTGAAAATAAAACCATAACAAATGTTTGAACTTTTCAAGGTCAATGATAGGTCCTTCAAAGGTCAATATACTGCTTGACATATTTACTACAATTATAATAATAAACAACCATAATTTAATATTTAATATCGAAGGACCACTGTACTTGGGCTAATGTCATATCGGTTTTGGGTTTCGAACACCAAAAGACAGACAGGGATGGCGCTAGCTGGAAAGTGGAGCCGCAGCACTCGGCTCCGAACTTGACAAAGCTCCGTTATCTTTTCCGACTGACAGTTATCAGAGCGCCCCACGCCACCGCCCCTCCATCCCTCCCATGCCCCACAATGTCCCGTACCTAATCAAAGTCACACAGCCGCGCTCACTACATACGTACATACGTACATACGGTACATTGTACATGTATATGAATCGAATTAGAAGTGTGCCAGCGGGTTTGGGGGTATTTTTCGGGGCGCCCAGTTCTGGATGCCAGCACACACAAAGGTGCGGAGGAGACGGAGGAGCAGGAGGACTGCGACAGGACTTTCGGTTTCATTCACGAAAACATGCAACACTTGGAGGAGTCGGAGTCCTCCGCGGAGGAGCCGCCACATACTTATTTATATTTGATTTGAAAAGTGCCCTCCAGAGAGCTTTTCGCCTGCCCGACGACGACGCTTGCTCCCGGAATTGTGAATGAACGCGGGAGAGCGCGCAAGCAAGGCAAGAGAGGCGCCAAAGAGTGGGGCCAAAGAGTGAGCCACAAAAAGGAAGAGGCCCCAACAGAGAGACTGAACGTGAGCTTTTGGGCCATATGAGAATCAGTGGCATTGCCAGCTGCTTCAAAAGAAAATAAAGGGCCATGTCCACCTCTCCGCTTCCAATTTCAATTTCAACTTCCACATCCAAGTCCGCGTCCATGTCAGTGGCCATAGCCAAAGCCGAAGCAGTAGTTAAAGCCATAGCAATAACCAATAGCTGCGGCCATATCCATGACTGCACTGTGCGAAATGAGGGAGTTATTGAATAGGTTATTATGGAATTTACATTTCGAGGAGGGTTTAAAAAGGACGCGAAATATTTTACAAACTTGTAGGTAGTTAGTATGTAATTTAACCTAATTAAACATCACAAATTCAAAAGATCTTGTGGTATATTCTTATAATCATTAACCTCCTTTCTACTTTTACTAAAAATAAGGTTAAAACAGTTCAATTCTAAGTTTTATAAATCCTTAAAGATCATAAAACATTTATAAATGCATCTAAAAATTATGCTACTAAATATTTAAGGATTAATTTCCAAGCTTAAACCTTTCGTAGCATACTTTTCAAGACCATTTCAAATCCTAAGAGAATTCTTTAGCTGCACCAACTTCACCACCCCCCAGAACTACTACCCTGTTTCTCCAAGTGCAACCCACTTTGTATGTTTGGATGGAACTTACCACTTGGCCCTGTTGTCACGGTTTCGGTGGGTATTGGTTTGATGTTGTGGTGGTCGAGCAACGTTGAGCCAAGGCAGAGCGCGGTAACGAGAAAGAATTGATTTCGTGTCAGGGGATTGGAGCATGAGGACAAGTGGGTAACGTAACTATCACCAGGTACTTACCAAGAGCAGGAGCAACAGCAGCACCAGCAGAAGCAGCACGGCTTTTGCGACTGTGGCCGCTGCAATGTGGCCGCATTGGATTCCTGCAGCACATTGGACGTGGACCCGCCGCCGCCCACAGTGGGCGATACTCCGCCTAGGCTGCCTCCTCCTCCTCCGCTGACTATGCCTCCTCCGCCGGCACTGCTACCTCCATTGCCATTCCCGTTGCCGTTGCCATTACCATTACCGTTCCCGTTGCCGTTATTGCCACTGTTGTTGGCCCCGCTTTGCTGGGAGGATGCAGTCATGCCGCGCAGTCGACAGCCACTGGGCAGCTCCGAAACGGTGCAGGACATGCCGTTACCTGGAATAAGGCAGAGAAATTGAAACGTTAATAAGGCAGGTGAGTGGTTCTCAGGGGGGTAGGGTAAATTTGGTGGGGATTAGTGGGGGAAATCGCAGTCACACAGCAAAAATATATATATGTATATATCGGAGGGTATTGGTCATCAGTTAGGCAAGGTTCTTATCGGGGAAATAATTATTCTATGGTTTAAATGAGTAACATTCTTGGTCACGTTTGCCTTGTGTTGAAATTGATAATTACTATAAAGCTGGTAAAGTTATTAATACGAATTTAATGAAAATAGAAGTGAATAGCACGGTTTTATTTCATAAGCCACTAAGAAGGGTTAACTCTTAAAACAGTAAACATTTTATTATATTTTCAACCTGTTTGGAACTAAACTAAACTAAACTGGTCTTAGTTTGCCCCTATATTAATAGTTTATTCATTTAGACTATTATTTTTCTTAGTAACTCCTGAAGAAAATGTAAAAAGTGTTAATTTTAGTTTAGATAAATCATAGCCTGACGATAATATTTTATAGGTTTTCACCTTAAATACATTGAATTTAGTTTTCCAAACTTTGGTAAAAAATATACATTTATCTTAAAGGTAAACCAAATTTTTAATTAAAAAAAAAAAAACATATTTTTTACTGATAATATATATTCAACTCTTAATCTCAAAAATTCTTTAATCTTTAAAGCAAAACTATCATTTTTAATGGACGAAATATGATAAAATTCCTATAATATTGATAATTTAAGTAGCAGAAATGACATGCTATTTCTCCCTGTGCACTTGCACTTACCCTACTTTATACAGGTTGTCAATATTAATTAATATTCCTAAAGGTCAAACAACGGCTCTATTTAATTTTATCTGCTTAATAATGATGTGGTTTTCGCATTCATTTTATTTCTCAATCAATAATAAAACATTAAGAAGGGGCCTGCTTGGAAAAAGTTCCTTTTCTTTTCTCGCCGTGCTCTTACACTTACCTGCCCTTTGAAAGTTGAGGTTGACTCTGGCGGTGGCGATGGTAATGGAGCTGGAGCTGGAGGTGAGGATGAAGATGGGCGCTGGAGATGGGTGGTGATATGGTGGCGCTGCCCCAGCTGGCGGACCGCCCACTGCCACTGACCTGCCCACTCGCCCGTTCGCACGACCTCTTCTCTCTCTCTCTCTTCTGCTTGCTCTCTTCCTTCGACTTCTTCGGCCAGAGGGGGGTGGTTGGGGAGAAGAACGAGGCCGTTACGTATTTATGTTTTTGCTAATAATTTTTTATCGAAAGTTCCCACTCTCCGTGTCGCTCTCTCTCTCTCTCTCTCTCGTTCTTGCTCTCTCTCTGGTGCTCTTGATTTTAGTTTTTCGTTTTGTTTTATTTTTTCTTAGCTTTTACTTGGGGGATTTTACATGCCTTCTCCTGCTTCTTCTTCTCCCACTTGTGCTGTGTGGTTTCTTCTGTATTTCCCAGATTTCTCGATATTTGGAGAGTACGAACGAATTTGTGGAATTGCGGAAATATTTCAGATCAGGTAGGTAATCCTTATGCCTCGTAACTTGGTAACTGGTACTGGTAACTGGTCCTGATTGTAATGGTTACTTGGTGCTCGGTCCCTGCTGCTCCCTCTGCTTTTCGCGTGGGCTGATTTTCGGTTGCTGCTGCTGCTGCTGCTGACTGGGTGGTGCGGGTGGTGGTGGTGGAGATGGTTCTGGCTGTTTTTGTTGTTGGTAGTGGTGCTGCCTGCGTATGGTGGTGCGCGCGGGTGGTGGCGGTGGGCGCCTACGGCATTTACATTTACTCCGCTGCGGATTTACGGTCGGAAATCTATGGGGGCAAGAGAGATATCCTATGGCCCCGTTAGCACCAAGGGGCACATTTCCACGGTGTTACGAAATTTATGAGCAGCTGGAGCTGCTTTTATTTATTTCTTGCCCGTGCCCGTCGTGGTCATTACACTGATGTATGTAGGTGGCAGCATTGTTTGGTCTGACAGGGCGTATGCGTGATTTTGCTGGTGTCGCTGATGTTGCTGCTGCCACTGCTGCTGCTGTTGATGTTTGGGTTGCTGCTGCCGCTGCTGCAACAGCTGCAACATGTAGGCAGCTAATTGCACTTCTGGTCGTTGCACCTATCACAAATCAGCTGCTGCTTCGCCTGCTCCTTTGTTGACCATCTCCAGCTATCTCTATCTCTATCTCATTGTTTTTCTGCTGCTCGCGAGGATTGCGGGGGACGACGACGACGACGCGCTCGCTAGTATGTATGTATGTTTTTTGGGAGCAACCAACGACGAGTACATACGAATTTTTGCCACTAGAATTGGATTCGAAATCGGAATCTGTGTGTGGTGCGTGTGAGTATGCGTGTAGTGTATATTTTTCTTTTTTTTTCGCCCCCGAAATTGTTTTGCTCGCGCTTTGATTTTATATTTTCCCCCTTTTTTTGGGCTTTTTTCGAAATTATTTTGTGATTTTGTATGCGCGGAACTGCAATTATTTTCTTCACCTCACTGGGGCACTTTCACATCCCGATTTTCACATCTCGCCCTCGGCCATATTTTATTATTTTCCTGCTTTTTTCACGGGGGCTGGCTGCCATTCGATTCGATTTCTGCGTTCTGGTGTTCTGCGCTCTGCGATTTTCCTTGCTCAGAACAGAACGGAACAGCACGGAGCGGAGCGGAACGGAACCCAATCCTCGACAGGTCGGAGCGACTCGAGATTCTCTCCGCGACTGATTTCCAAGCAGTGCCGTGTCGCCCAGCTCTTGATTTTCCAATGCGCGCGCTCCTCTACCCAAAAGAATGCCATGGATGTGTGTGGGGAAAGGAGGAATCTCGGCGCGGGGAGCGTGCTGTGGGCTCCAAAAAGGTGGACGATGGGCAGAGAGAAAAGCTCGCCCGCATAGCTATACAGTTAGAATTCCTGGTGGTACACACCAGCAAGGCGCACGCGAGAGAGAAAGCAAAGCATGTGGCGGATGAAAGAGAAAAAAAGCTCCGCTGGAATCCCCAAAAGCTTGGGGGCCCCCGTTAGCTTGGCAACTTTCGACAGGGTTGCACTGATAAAGGGACCTTGATTTTGGGATCCCACTAACTTTTTGGAACCTCGCATGTAAACAAAACTTTAGAATTTTGTCTTTCCTTTAAAGTGATCTGAGGGATATTTGGTATATCAGCATTTTTTGGATTAATATGAATGTCTGTAATGTTTCAGATCAATCTAGTGGTAAATATAGTATCTATTGTATTGTATCTTTTGTATTATAAGTGCAAGAAATTGTATTTTTTTTTTAAATACCACTTTCAGGTAACAATTAAAATATATCATAACTAAGCCAAAAATGCATTAATTTCGATTCGGAAAGCAGTTTTGTGTTAGTTTTTTGTTAATTTAAAAAAACTGCATACCAAATTTAAAATTTTAAGAAATCAAAATTTTTGGCCATTTTTGCAAATTTTAATGATGTAACCCCTTATGAAATTTCGCAAAAATGGCCAAAAAATCGATTTCTTCCGGACATGTCTAGAAAGATTCGCATCTTGATGCTGATCAAGAATACATATGGTTTATAGGGTCGGAAATGACTCCTTCACTGCTTTGGGAGCTTCTGACTTAAATTAGAATACCCTGCAATAATATAAGAAAGCCGTCTTGTGTAAATATTCCATTAAAAACCCCTCTTTTTTAATATCTCCAGAAACAAATCCAATAATAAACGCAGTATTTCCTTTCATTAAAAATTAACATATGTATTTATTTACTATAAAAATAGCATATAGGAGTCGTGGCTCCTACTCTACGTGTACAGCCTGATGGTGCAGTCAGCGCCTGTGGAGAAGACCCACGGCTGCACCGGATGCCAGGTAACGTCCAGGACACCGAACTCATCGCGCTTCTCGTGCGTCTGCAGCTTTTTCAGCGGCACAATCAATGGATTTTGCAGCAAGTCACTAAAAACACACAAAAAGGTTAACAAAAAACCAAAGAAAAAGACATCCCGAAGCCACTTACTTGTAGACCATGCCGTGGGAGACGATCACAGCCTGGTCATCGCTGCCAGAGGCAAACAGCGGATAGCGGAGATGGAAGGCCACACTGCGAACGGCATTGCGATGGAGGCGCATGGTCTGGTAGGGTTTGGTGGACAGATCCAAGTCGAACCAGAGCATCTTCTTGTCGTAGGTAGACACGAGCAGATTGTCACCCTTGGGATGGATGGACATGCCCGATATCCACTTGGAGTTAGTCAGCAGCTTCTTCACCAGCTCTTGCTTGACCAAGTCATAGATGCGAATGTTGTGCTGCGTCTGCAATGGAAGAAACACAAAAACTTAAGCAATGAAAGCTTTGAGAGAGAGCTAACAAGTCAACCTACCGCCACAAAGAAGCAAGGCTTCACCGGATGGAAGAGCACGCACTGGATGAGGCCCTTGCTCTTGGAGAATGGAATCTGTGAGCGTCGCTTGGACAGCTGATGGATCAGGGCCGACCGGTTGGCACCCTCTGGCATCACCGTCGCCAGATAATCACCTCGCCCATGCCAGGTTACCTGGCGAATGGGTTTGAAGTGGGTAATGACCACCCGGACGCCCTTCTCCTGCTCATCAGCCTCTGCTGTGGACCACTGAACCGCCACCTTGATGCGCTCGCTTTCGATCACATCCTGTTTGGGTGCCTCGGCCAGCAGGTCGTCGGTTTTCTTCACCAGCACCTTGTCGCCCACCTTGGGATTGACCAGCAGCAGTCGATTGCCAGTGGCCACTGCAATAATGGAGAGCTTGGGATTGGGACACCAAGCCACGCAACGAACCACCTCGTCCGTTTCAATGGTGCGAATGCAACGACCCGTAGCGATTTCCCAAACTGCAAGGGGGAAGTAAACAATCAAATGAAGAAATCTTTGCAGGATTGTTAAGTACTCACTCTTGACGGTCTTGTCATCTGAGCCGGAGACCAGGTACTCTCCCTTGGGCTCCACGCTTACAGAACGCACCAAATCGGTGTGGCCGCGATAGACCAGACTCTCCACTGTGGGGAAGGGTTGCAGATCACGCGGCGAAGGCAGCTTGGGGATGAGGTATTCAGCGTCAATGTTCAGCTTCACCCGCTTGGCACGCGGACAAAGATACAGATCCAGGCAGCGCAGGAAGCGCTCGCGTAGGTATCTCGAGTAGGCGGGCACCTCGCGCAGCGACTTGAATTTCTGTGGCATAAAGTGGAGCTTACGTTTGTGCGGCTCATCTTTGAGCTTTAGCCACTCCTTGGTCTCCTTGGCATCGAACAAGTACTCGGGTGGCGGATTGTAGGACTCGGCATGACCGGGCAGGTCACGCTTGGGCGCCGAGACGGGATCGTGGATACGACGCATGTGCTCGCGACTGGTATCCGTCTCCCACAGCATGTAGAACTTTGGGCCACGCTTGGCCTGCTTCTCACGCTCCACCTCCTCGGTGGTCTTCATCCAGCCCATTTTGAGGGCATGCACCATGCGCGAGACGCGCTTCTTCTCGGACACGGAGGGCAGGAAGGAGCGCTTGTGGTCTGGCACGTTTTTGATGGGCATCTTCTCTACCTCCGAGGTGAACCATTCGATCCAGGGCGCGTACTCATCGTGCTCCTCGTTGGAAATTCTACCCTTGGTGATGCGCTTGATCAAGGCAATGTCCTCGTCCGTGAGACGTACCTCCTGGCCGGTCAGCGGATCCTTTACCGAGCGCCAGAAGTCAGGATCCTCGATTTTGCGCAGGAACTCGTCGATGCGATCGCCCTGCTGAGGCTTCACTATCTTCTTGGCATCCCAATCGTAGCCAATGTGCTTATATTCGTCGTACCAGTGCATGGGTATGTTGCCCACTGTGTTGCGTATGTCCTCCTCGTCGGAGGTGTCCGAATCTTGATACTCTGGCTTGGAGGGATCCCTTTTTGGAAGCTCATTTGTGGTGGATTTATTTGCGGCGCTGCTACTGCTGCTAGGCTTGTCGTCGGCTGGGATTGGCTTGGATGTACTAGGAGTGTCTTCATTTTCCTCCTCCTCGGAGTCATCATCATCGTCCTCCTCCTCTTCTTCCTCTTCATCATCGCTTTCTTCATCATCCTCAGCTGAACTGCCCCCGGCTTGTTTTCTGCCCAAGTAGTTTCCCTCCTCGTCGCTCTCGAACTCCACTTCATCATTGCTGTCAGATTGGTACTCCTGGTCTATACCCTCATCATCGGTGGAGTCCTCGCCGGGATCCTTGACAGCTTGCAGCAGGTCCTTCAGAGAGCAAACACATGCAGGTGATTTTGGAAGCGACTTTTCAGGTTGTCCCCAGGCGAACTTACCTCCTCCTCCTCGTTGTCCGAGGCCTCGGAACTGGCGGCTACTTCATTTGTGGGCTCCGGCTCCTTTCCTTTTCGCTTAAGTGTTAGTTTTTTAGTCATTTTTATGGGAAAACAAAACTAACGCGGCGCACGTGTTGCAGTCGGCGATAGTGATGGGTGTTGAATAAAGATAACTAATCGGTTTTAGTGCGGCCAGTTGCTAGAGTTATCGATAACACAAAAAGGTTACAGAAATGGGGAATATATTTCATTATAATACATTTAATAAGTAATAGACGTAATTCCTTTATTTATTTATACCCCTTTTCCTTAAAAGTAAAATTTTTATTTAAAAATAATTAATGCCTTATTAGAAAATCAACTTTTTGTGGCTCAGTGTAATCGACCTCCAACGCAGATGTGAACAAGTCAAAAAATACCCTAACGCCAGTTGGTGGATTCTTGGTCAATCCATTTTTCAGTGGAATTCGCAGGCTTACGTGCTGATTTTTTGCGGCTAGCACGGCGATTACAGGCGCTCCACGGCAACCAAAGCCCCCCGAGTCCGGCAACAACAAAGCTCCACCGCCGGAACGTGCATTACTCATCGCGGAAGACGGGCACCATCGATTTGTGTGTCGACACACAAACACACAAGGGCAAACAAAAGTGCACACGCACACCATCAACGCAGCCCACATCAACATACACACACGCACTCCAGCACACACACACACAGAGACGTCACGATGACTGCGCCGCGACGCCTGAGGAAGGAGCTGAGCGACTTGCAGGAGAACACTCTGAAGGGATTCCGGGACATCAAGACGGATGACGACAACCTGCTGCGCTGGACGGGTCTGATCGTGCCGGACAATCCGCCGTACAACAAGGGCGCCTTCCGCATCGAGATCAACTTCCCGGCGGAGTATCCCTTCAAGCCGCCAAAGATCAACTTCAAGACACGCATCTATCATCCAAACATCGACGAGAAGGGCCAGGTATGCCTGCCCATTATCAGCACGGAGAACTGGAAGCCCGCCACCCGCACCGACCAAGTGGTGCAGGCCCTGGTGGACCTGGTCAACGAACCGGAGCCGGAGCGTCCCCTGCGGGCGGAGCTGGCCGAGGAGTTTCTGCGCGATCGCAAGAAGTTCGTGAAGAACGCCGAGGACTACACCAAGAAGCATAGCGAAAAACGTCCGGCGGATTAGCGGGACGCAAACGGAGGTGGCGACAGCGACAACTGCGGCAGCGGCACAGAAGAATCACCATTGCCGTAGCCCTTAGTCTTGTGATTTTCAGTTAGTTATTTAATTTTCATTTCGTCAAAACTCGACTCCTCACCCCCGACCCGATCCTCAGAGAGGGTTCTCTTCCTCGTAAGCGGAGATTCCCTTGGCAGAGTACATAGTCTTGTAAAAGTAGCACTGTAATTTTATGCAAAATGAGAAGAAATACATGTTCGTTATGTTAAAAGAACAGCGCTGGGTTTTAGGATGGCCACCTCGGGCTCTGTCTTGGCCAGGGGCATGGGAAAGGCCTCCTCGCCGAGCATGCCACGGAAGCAGGTCAGCAGCACGCCGTTGTTGTGCTGGATCAAAGCGTTGCTAAACTGGTTCTTTTGCAGCTCCTTGATGTCCAGCAGGCTGTGAATGGCCCCCGCTTGCTCATCCTTGAGTAGCTCCAGCACCTGGCTTAGCTCCTTGCCATCTGTGGTCTTGGGTTTACTGAGAGTAAGGGAATGCGTGGGATTGCTTTCAAAACTGGAGTCCTGGTAAAGGGTTTCCATGAGAAACAGCAGCAGGGAGGCGGCATAGTGGGTGAGAAAGGTAAACCTCTGGAAGACGATGCTCTGGGGCTGCAGATCTCTTATGTTTTCCAAGAGCTCCACAAAGAAGTGACGCTGGGCGGAGTGATAGCTTTCTTCCCCTGAAGGTGGCTGGTAGTTGAGTATTTTGTTCTCCAGTTGACATTCGGGAGCAGTTTGCCAAACCGGATCGAGATCAAAGGTATCGCGGATGCGCAGACGCAGCAGGAGTATGGGCTCCGAGGCAAACATGCTGCTCTGCAGGCTTTGCACCTCCGCTCCTCTGGAGACACGCAACTCCAAAGGCGAAGTTCGATTGGAGGTGTAAGAGTAAGAGGCCTTGCCGCTGGGGCACTTTTCCAGCTGGTTGAACTCCCGACGCAGGCAGTAGATCTGCTTGAGAAGATCACCATGCTTCAGGTTCTCCCTCTCGGTGTAGGAACCTCCGTAAACAGGCACCGAAAAGCCCAGAGCCTTGCTGGTGGCCTCCTTGTCCACAATGCAAAGGCTGTCCGCCAAAGGCTTGACTTTGTAGCGGCTGTAGTAGGTGCTGGAGACGAGGCCACGTAGGTGATGGAGATGTCTCAGGTAGTGGCGATCCTTGGACTCGTACGCATAGATGCTACCCTCGATGGCGTCCGACTGGAGCTTCATGTACAACCTACAGGCAATCTCGTGCTGCATTAGAAAGTCCGTGGGAATCTGTGACCTGGCAAACAGTGGCATCACCATGGTGTCATTCGGTTGCGCCAACTTGGCCTGCAACTCCTCCAGCAAGCGGGGCAGACCAGCTGCCGTGTCCTTCTGGTAATTTAGGCAAATAACATACACCTCCGAGTTGCCACGCTTAGATGTGGCGGGCTTGAAGATGTGCACTTGCTCAAAGACGCAATTGAGCATGTACAGAAGCGAGACACTGCATGCCTCAAAAAGCGTAAACATTTTCACCAGGAAGCTGCCACCTGCAGATAGGATCTTCAAGGCGCTAAGCACCTCGGCAAAGAACAGGCGAACCACTATCTCCTCCTGGCAGTCGGGCTGGGCAGCACAATCAATGGACCCATCGGCGGTGACTAGATCCACTTGATCCTGGAAGTCCTCCTTACAGCGCTTCGCCAAGTGATCTATGTTGGCCACATCTAGGAGGTTGCCTGTTAGATCCTTGTGGAAAAGCCAGTTGTCCAGCGTGTGGAAGATGAACCTGTCATCGGTGATCATCTCGTTCAAGGCATTGCCTTCATAGTAAGGATTCAAGGTGGTGGAGCGCCAGCGCCATTTAATCTGAAAATTTAAATGAATTTTTGATATTAAGAATAGGAGGGAATAGAAATGGAGCAGTACTTACCTCCTCTTCGGCATAAGTACTATGCAGATAGTGATTCAAGGATGCAATAAACGCTCCCGGTGCCTCGCACAGATGCAGAGTATTTACCACGGGACCCTTGACCAGGGGATACCGGTGCAGGCACTCAAAGAATTTACACCAGGCCACGGTGACAAATTCCGCCTTCGTCTCGTTCTTTAGGCGCCAGGACACCTCGCCGGAGGGATCTCTGCGGTTGGTGTGGGCACTCCACTCCTGCACTCCATAGTCGTTCAGCCGGCTCTTGACTGCATTCAGTTGCTCCCGAAGTCCTTGGAGCGCCTCGTATTGGTAGAACTCGCCGAAGAGAGCTTGATCCGGCGGAGGCAGCTGCCAGGAATCATTTCCCCTAGGCTTTTGGTACTGAAACTTCTTCCCGAAAAGCTGCTCCAACTCCGACTGCCCGATGGCCTGATAGTCTGCCTGAAAATTAGAATACTTTTAGTAAAGCCCTTGAGGAGTCTTCTTGGTACCCACCATTGGATGAGGCTTCCCTTGGACAGGCAGTTGGCAGCCATGTTTCAGCGGGGAGTTCATTACTGGCGCTTTTTGAGGAATCTTTTCGAATTGGCAGACAAATGCAATTTCGCCGGTTCAGATTCGCCAATAGAGATGGACCATGCCGAAAGCGAGACATCGCTATCGATGTTGAGATTGTTATCGGATTGGGCGGTTATTTTTGAAATTGATCGTTATTTATTGTTTGTTAATTACTACTTAGATAAGGCTGAAAGCTGTAATTCGACAATTTTCCAAGAAGATTTTAGAAATGCATATTATAAGGACTTTAAATAAATATTTTTATATCAAAAATGAATCATTTTAATTTAGAAATACCTTTTATGTTGGTTATTAAAAGGTTTATTAACATGCGCACTGCGTTTTAATTTTGCATAATTAAATGTTTTCTTAATGACAAATACTTGTATATTTTTGTTACAGTTTTTTGGGAAAAACCAAATCTAATAAAATGTATAACTAAGCCAAAAGTGCCTTAAAATCAATTCGGAAAGCTGTTCTGAGCTATTTTTTACTAGGCTAACAAATCTGCATACTAAATTTAAAATTAAGAAAAATTAAAATTTTTGTCAATTTTAATGATGTAACCCCCTATCAAATTTTGAAATGTTGAAAAAAAATTTTAAAATTAATTTTCTTTTGGCTAGAAAAACTCTCCTGTTTATGCTGATCAAGAATATATATGATTTATAAGGTCTGTACCGACTCCTTCTATGCTTTACTATCCCCTTACTAAGTTGATAGTTCCCTGCAAGGGTAAAAAAGAATTTAATAAACTAAACTAAAAAAGATTTCCTTACTCTCTTCCCCATTTCACAAAACTTACTTCCTTTTACATCTGAAAGTTCTGAAACCGATCATTGTCAAAGCATTTCCCGTAGAAATCCGACCGAGGAGAGACAACACGTGTGCCTGAAATACCAAATGGCTTATTAAAATTAATTTCTTCGGTTCTACAGATAGTTTTTTTTAGAAAGCGCTCGGCGACGAATATGGGGCCTTCAAACTGCCGATCGATGTTACGAAACTATGGGTCATCACATCATCAGGCGTTAGTGCCGTCCGATTGTGCATACTAATATTTAATTAAATTTTATTTAATCGCCAGCGGATGGGCCCAAGAAGGAAGTGGGAGAAATTGCACGGCCGGAGAGAGACTAGCCAGGTAATATGGGAAAAACTTGATGGTCGGCGTCCTCAGAGGTACTTTCTGTTGGAATTTGTGGAAGTGTCTTCGAGGGGGTTTTGGTATGTCAGTTGGTGGTTCAATGGGCTTTACTTTATACGTGCAGACCCTGTCGCCTTTATGGCACTCGGAACGTGAGTCGTGTTTATATGAATAATAATAACGATATTCAAATTATGAGCTTCCAAAGCGGTTGCCGAGGATCCCAGTCCCGAGATCCCAGGAAAGCAGGGGCTTCGTGCGGTCGTGAGTAACGTTCTCTGGCTTTCTATAACCATATATACCTGGCTTATACACATATATACACAGTAGGTGTAAGTCCAGACCAGTATTTGTGTATATAGAGGAGGAAAGACCGACCGGCACGTGACTGTTTTGTATAATCGCGCATAAATATCTGTAATGTAAAGCCTATAGATGGCACCGAGTACAGAGAGCGGTATAGAGAGTCTCTCCTGTTCGAGGTAATCGTGGAGGAAAGATCTAGGGATGTCTCATCCTCCATCCTCTGTAACCATTCCAGTTCGAGCGGAAGTGGCTAACGCTGCGCATGCGCCTTGTTTGGCCCTGGACAATGCATTTTTGGGACCCAAATTCCAATTCCCAATCCGAATCCAAAACCACAACGACTCGGACGTGGACGCACGGCTTAAAAATCTTATTTCATTTCATATTTTGTCTCAAAAAAGGGAGTTCATTAATATTCCGGGCAGACGGCATTGCGCTAAAAACGCTTAAGCGGCGCACAGTCGCGTCGCCGGCGGACTGACTGACTGCTACCTGTCGCCCGTCCAGGTACAGGTAATACACACTAACACACACATACACCTGGGCAGCACCCCCACTCGGCGGGAATGGTGTGCGTGAGCTGGCAACGGGCCGCAATCCCCGTATTTAGCCGCTCCATGTGTTAGTGTCAAATGCCAACTAATTGAAACTTCTTCAATTGCCGAGGTGTGGTGCTGAGCTCGCCGCTCGGCTTCGGAATCAGTTGCCAATTAGTCTCCACCGCTGACGGATTACACTTGCCACTACTGTCCAGCCAGAAGCCAGCCAACCCGTCCAGTTCCAAGTCCCAAAACTTGTTAAGTGCTTTTCAAAACAACAAGCGTTTCATTGATAAAAGCCATTGACAACAACAGCCCGAATAATAGACGACAATTCTGTGTGCTTCTGTGAGAATTTATTTCCGTGGATTTTTGTGTGGCAAACTTGCTTTCGGTGTTATGTCTTGGGCTCTACAGGCCGGGCACATTCGATCATGGATCATGGATTCCGTTGGTAAATTGGCAAGATGTCGGCATAGCTGACGTTGGAAAGCGAATTTTGTAGAGCGCTATGCTGCATCTAGTCAGTTATTCAACAGGAACAGTCAACGAGATCAAAATGTGTCTGAAAATATAGTTTATTTAATGTAGAAATATATAGCAGGAATTAGAATTATATTTATACCCCGAAAATGTACGTTTATGGCAGGTTAAAGCAAGTATTTAAAGGGAATTGATGGTTAAAGGATGAAACATCTGAAAACTCTTCAATAAATTTGTCAAGAAACACTTGGAAGACTATTAAAACAAATGTTTAAAACTTTTTGAACAATTCAGTTTCAGTTTTCTTCCAGATTACTGTGAAAAGCAGTCATTTTACGGATCTACAGGACTAACTACACTAAAAAGGATACTTAATTACAGTTGTGGCCACAGGAAATAAGCTGCTCAAAAAATTATAAAAAACAATTGGATAAGATCTTAAATGTACAGGAAATACCCCAAAAACCAATCCTTGTAATACAGGAAATTAAATTTTTAGAGCACATACATCTACTTTCGCAATTGGATCATCAAAATAAACTTAATTATATTAAAATTTGGCTTCTTTTAAATGTCAATCTCCCCCATTAACATACATAATGGTCAATAAATAAAGAACCTACTAATAGTTACACAAACAAAAATGAATTGTTTTGTTATTTTGTTGACTTTTCAGCTATTTATTTGTTTATTTGCCAAACAAATTCAAATGGCAACAAGTTGATAGCTAATCGATCGACGAAGTTATCGAATAAGTGCCTATCGATAGAGCTTTAATCGGGTGAGCTAGTGCCCATCTCTAAACAACTGTTTTGGTTGAACAAAACAATTGTTTGCGCCAATTGTTTACAGAATCAGTGTAAAAAACGACTAAACAAACAGTTGGTGGGCGGTTGAAGGCTGGCGAATCTCAGATAAGACTATTCCATAAGTGATGGATAGCCAGGTAAGTGGCCAATTGCTGGTATTTGATCAGGGAAAAGGCCTGTTGAATGATACGTCGTCTGGCCGATGATAGGAACACGGCTGCTAGTCGCTGTTGGTCTGCGTTACCTGTGGCCAATTATCGCTTCACAGTAATTAGTCGCAGCTCGGCCGCACTTATCAAGGCGCCCATTGTGATAAATCTAAATACGCGCAATACCGTGTCTCCAGTATTTGGCGTAGAGTGACGTAATTCCGCCAGCGGGGGCGTTGTCATTGCTTCCACGGAGCTAATCTCTTGGTGTGTGTTGCAGGCACCGATCGACGATCTGCTGCTGGACATTGTGGACAATGCTTGGCGCATGGAAGTACTGCCTTTCGACCAGATTCTAGTGCCACGCGAAAAGCTACCCGATCCGGAGGCCGACGGCGGTGATTCACACTTGACGGTGAGCGAGCAGGTGAGTTTATATTTCCGGGCTTAATTTTGTGCAGATTTATGATTTGGTTTTTTTTTTGCGCTTTGGCAGGAGCAAAAGTGGACTGATCTGGCCCTGGGTTCCTTAGCCCCAGATGCGGCTTTGATTGATCAGCTCAACATCACTTCTATCTAACCAAGGACCGGGAGTCCGCGGGCGAGTGCCACCGCCTCGCCCACCAGCCTTTGGGCACCGCAACAACTACATCAATATGACTAGCAGCAACAGTAGCCACACCACATCCGGCCTTAGCCACCAGCATTTGCACTCACCCACCAAACTCACTGAATTCGCTAGGAACTTTGAGGACAAACCAGAGTCGCTCTTTGGGCGCGTTGTCAACAAGATCCAGAATGTGTATAACCAAAGCTATAACACCGTCAATGACATATCAAGTGGCACGAGCGGGAGCAGCAGCAGTGCCGCCTCCTCGCAGGCCGTTCAAGTGGGCAAGTCGCAGTTTTTTAGCGAAAACAAAACGATAGGCTCTGATGTGGCTGAAGGGGAAACCTCTGTGAGTCGCCCAACCACGCTAAGCTTAAGGGCCACCAGCGAGTCGAGGAGCACGAGCACAGTTGCCTCTAGTTCTGCCACTGCCGCTGAGGATTCCGAGTCAAATGAACGCTTGGAGGCATTGCCCAGCGAAGCGAATCAGGGGCGCACCGTTTCCAATGTACTCAAGCACATCAGCAACATAGTGGCCACAAAAAACAACAATGTGAGTGAAAGTTGCAACAGCAACGAGTTTGCAAGCGAAATAGAAATAAATAAATATAGAATCAAGTATTTATATACGTTCCCCCTCTATTCCCTCTTCTAGGATCTTCGCAACTACAAAGACACCGAGCTGCAGCGCTTCTGGATGCCTGATTCCAAGGCCAAAGAGTGCTATGACTGCTCACAAAAGTTCTCCACCTTTCGGCGCAAGCACCACTGCCGGCTATGCGGCCAGATTTTCTGCTCCAAGTGCTGCAACCAGGTGGTGCCTGGCATGATCATACGCTGTGATGGCGACCTCAAGGTCTGCAACTACTGCTCCAAGATAGTTTTGACCTTTTTGAAGTCCTCCAGCTCGGAGATGGGCCAGGATTTGCAGGCTTTGCAGCAGCATTTGAGCAACAAACTGGAGGTACAGGACAGCGCCACGCCGCATGCCAAGCACCCGCAGCAGCAGAGAGCGCCGCTTTCCAGGAAGACCTCCGTGGGCTACCAGGAAGAGCGCTTCAGCTCGCAAACCAATTACAACACCCTGTCCATAGATGACCGCAAGAACATCCTGCAGCAGTCAAATTCACTGATAACCCTGCACGAGGAGATGCAACGGGATCTGCCAGCCCAGAACTGTGGCCAACGGCTGATTGAGTTCCTCAATAGCAACAACAAGTCAGCGAATGAAGTCCAGGCAGTGGCCATTCTGAATGCCATGCTGGCAGCTGGTTTCCTCGAGCCCATTGTCCCTGATCCCGAGCAGTTGGACTTTGATCCTTCGCTGCACTACAAGTTTGCCAAGAGCAGCAGCGGGCCAGACTCTACACGCACAATGAGTCCACAGTTTGAGGTGGTCTCGCATGCGGAACCGCAGCCACCCAAGTCCATGGATCAGTCCATGGCTGAGGAGAAGGAAAGGGAGCTGGAGAATGAGTTAGAGAATGATCTCTGCTTCACCACGGCCACCTCAAAGCTGCTGGAGTCCTATTGCGAGCATGAAGATCAGCTGCTGGCCCAGCTCTTACGGGCGAATCACCTCGACCAGGAGTGGGACAAGGTGCTGCAGATGCTCTGCTCCACAGCCGCCAATCACTTCAAGCCAGAGCACTGCACCAACGATTTGATGGACATTCGAAACTATGTGAACTTCAAGAAGGTGCCGGGTGGCAAGCGCAAGGACTCAACCATTGTTCATGGAGTGGCCTTCTCTAAGAATGTGGCCCACAAGGACATGGCCACGCATGTGCCTTTTCCCCGCATACTCCTGCTCCAGTGTCCCATTGTCTACGAGCGGATCGAGGGCAAGTTTGTGACCATTGAGACGGTTCTGCTGCAGGAAAAGGAGTACCTCCGCAATGTCTGTGCTAGGATTATGAGCTTTACTCCAAATGTGGTGTTGGTTCACAAAAATGTGGCTGGCATTGCCCAGGATCTGCTGCGGTCGTACGGCGTGACCCTTGTTTTGGATGTGAAGCTGTCGGTGATGGAGCGCCTGTCGCGCACGCTGCAGTGCGACATTGTTAGCTCCATTGAATCCAATATAACCATGCCCAAGCTGGGCTACTGCAATGACTTTTACATAAGGAACTACAATGGCAAGACTCTGATGTTCTTTGAGAAGCTCACCAATCCCAGAGGATACACCTGCCTCTTGAGAGGCGGCAGCAATGCGGAGCTCACCAGGGTCAAGCGTGTGGCCTCGGCATTGCTCTTTGCCCGCTACAACTGGCGCTTGGAGATGTCCTTCCTGCTGAATGAGTTCGCCCAGCCCCTGAGTCCCAAGCCCTCGATATTTGACTCCAAGGAGACGAGTCCCAAGACCCCTGAAACGGAGGCGGAACTGCGGGCTAAGAGACCTACCATGGCAGAGCGCAAGTCGGAGGATAAGATCGTTGTGAGCATAGTCAGTGAAAATGTGGCTGACTTTACGGACCCCCTGCGTTCATCCCAAGCGGAGGCCTTGTCCACCTCACCCTGTGCCCCGCCTGTGGTCCAAGCGTTGGCTGTGGAGCCACGCTACGATAACCGTTTCCGCACAGCGCTGAGCTCCACGCTGTTGTCGGTGAGTCCTTTTCTAAGCTTCCCGCTTCCCTACCTGGAAACTGAACAAGGACGCAAGTGCAAGCTTAGGAAGCTGTTCCCCGCCGAGCTGTATTTCTCCAAGCAGTGGTCACGCACGTCGGAGAGACCGGAGAGCGAGGCCAGGGACAGCGAAACAGCCAGCCGAGAACCTGGAAACAAGGAGAACCACAACCAGCAGATGCAGCTCCTGCCGGCCCATGACTTTGTGAAGATGAAGATTACAGCGCCGGCGAGCAGTCGCGATATACAGACCAAGCTGGCCGAGTTTCGATCCTTTGGGGGACGTTTCCCCAAGGGCAAGGCGCCGAGTAAGTAAGGTAAGCCCAGAAACCAAACCAAACTCACTTCCTTGTCTCTCCAGTGCTAAGACCCAAGAAGAAGAACGCCGAGCTTATCCAGCGCCCGCAGAAGGTAAGCGAAGAGCAGCTGTATAAGGATGCCCTGGATCCACAGAACCACCAGCGTCTGCCTGTGCTCTTCTGCAGCTTCCATTACAATCCCAAGGGTGTGTCCTCCTTCTGCAAGCTCCCTATGCTGCTGGACATGAAGTTCTATGGGCAGTATGACATCATGCTGGAGCAGTTCCTGCAGCGCTACTGCTGCCTGTTTAACTCGATGTGTCCCTCGTGCAATCTTCCTATGCTGGGCCATGTCCGTCGCTATGTTCACTCCCTGGGCTGTGTGTATGTCTACCTCACCGAGGACTCTACGCGTTCTGATCCCAAAAGGATTTACTTCACCTCCTGGTGTAGTATTTGCAATGCCACTACGCCCACGATACCGCTCTCCGACTCTGCCAAGTGCTTGTCCCTGGCCAAGTATTTGGAGATGCGTTTCCATGGCCATGCCTACAAGCGTCGTCCGCCGCCAGATGCCGAGCCAGGCAGCAGTCCCTGCGAGCACTCAATCCACCGGGACTACGTCCATCACTTTAGCTTTCGCGGCGTGGGAGCCAAGTTCCAGTATACTCCTCTTGAGGTCTGGGAAACGGATCTGCCCTCGCTGACCTTGCAGTTGGATCTGCCTAAATCTCTACCCGGCATCCAGGTTCAAGAGGAGATCAAGAACTTTTCAGTGCGAGGGCATGAGGTGTACACGAGAATCCACGAGAGGATTGCTGACCTGGCCACTGAGGAGGAGAACACGCCGCTGGTGCAGAACCTGAAGACGATGCTCACCCATGACCAGTTTATCTTCAAGCAAAAGATCGAGATAGTGCACACACTGCTCACGGATAGCCGAGCCACGCCCTACGACACCAGCGATGCCTTGGCCATGGCCAGGCGGGCTCTGGCCGAGAGCATTGAGCTGTGGGGCCCAAGGCTGCAGGAGATTGAGAAGCTGTCCGCCAAGCAGGCGCATCACATAGACTCGGGGACCATATGCACCGAGGAACTGAGGCCGGATTCGGGGGTTTCCTGTAATCCCGAAGCCCCCAAGACCACCAGCTCTACGCTGGCCAGGGAGAATGATCCCCTGGAGTGTCCCAGCGAGGATACGGAGACCAACCCGGCCAGTGCTCAATCTGTTGCGGAAAAGAAGTTCTCCATTGACCAGCTGCTGGCCAACACGGTGAATGTGTACTCGGATAAGAAGTCCATCAGGAAGATTCTCACCCAGCTCTTGCCTTCCACCAATCAGGTGAATCCCTTGCAGTCTCCCTTCTCCACCCAGGAGCATCTCACGCTTCCAGCGGGCAGCATTCCCATCCATGTCCGGGAGAACGACCTGAGCTCAGTGATTGCCTACAGCTTGACCTCGGCGGAGTACCAAAAGGCCAAGGAGGAGGTGGAGCTTAATTGCAATGCGGCTGCCGTGGCCTCTTCCACCTCCATCACCTCTGCTGCCCACTCAAGTCCCCAATTGAAGCGGAAGATTGTTCTGGCGGAGAACCAAAGCGATGCCGAGGAAAGTCCTAGTATTTCACGTACCTCCAGCAACACAAGTGCGGCTCCCAATGTCACAGCCACGCCTCAAACTGCTGCCGATTCCGAGGAGAAGAGCAAGGAGCGCACCAAGCAGCCACCCAGTCCGCATGTCACTTTGTCCTTCCAGGACAACGGCTGTCAGTTTCAGTGCAAGATCTTCTTTGCCCGGGAGTTTGATGCGATGCGCGCCAAGAGCCTGAAGCCGCCCAAGCTGGATAGATCGTTGTACCGCCGGCTGGAGAAGAGTAAGATGCGCGAGGAGTTGAGAATCTCACAGAGTCGCACGGGCTCTGAAATGGAGCTGGTGCGCAAGCCCAGCGATGTGGGCGGTCCGCGACCCACAGAGGAGGCTATGGACTTGGAGGAAGAGTCCAGGATTGCGCTGGCACGAAGCCTGTGCAACAGTGTTCAGTGGGAGGCAAGGGGTGGAAAATCAGGATCAAGATTCTCCAAGACATTGGGTGAGTTTGCCTTCAGGTAGCTAAACTTTGATCAGCTTATTTTATGTATGATTTTCCTTTAAAGATGACCGCTTTGTACTCAAGGAAATGAACTCCAAGGACATGAGCATCTTTGAGCCCTTTGCCCCAAAGTATTTCGAGTACATAGACCGTTGCCAGCAGCAGCAACTGCCCACCCTTCTGGCCAAGATCTTTGGGGTATTCAGAGTCAGCGTGAAGACAAAGGAGTGGGTTTTCTTAAAAATAAATACTTTTATGAGTTTCTAATAACTAAAATCCTTTAATAACCAGCTCAACAGTGGAACGATCAGTGATGGTCATGGAAAATCTGTTCTACGGCTGCGAAATTGAAAAGAAATTCGATCTAAAAGGATCCGAGCGGAATCGTTTGGTGGATCCCACCACTCAGCAGGGCGAAATTGTACTTCTAGATGAGAATCTAGTGCAAAGTAAGTATAAATGCATCAAAAGAGAGGTATTGAAACAAATTAACCCTTGCTAATTTCTTTAACCTCCTTCCTAGTGTCCTGGTCAAAGCCTCTGTATGTGCTGTCGCATAGCAAAACTGTGCTAAGGGATGCCATTCAGCGGGACTCGTCTTTTCTAGAGCGAAATGAGGTCATGGACTACTCCATGCTGGTGGGTTTGGAGAAGAAAAACAATTTGCTGGTTCTGGGTATTATTGGTAAGCCTTTACAAAGTCATGAAAGTCCTGTAAAATACTAATAATCTATATATTGTATAACAGATTACATACGCACCTTCACCTTGGACAAGCGTATGGAGTCCATTATCAAGGGTTCGGGTATCCTAGGCGGCAAGGGCAAAGATCCCACGGTGGTAAATCCCGAACGCTACAAGCTGCGCTTTATTGATGCAATGGATCGCTACTTCCTCACTGTTCCCGATCGCTGGGAGGGTCTCTCCAAGGTCTGAGATCAACCCTACACACAAACACACCTTAGTTAACATAGCTGTAGATGCAATAAAATAAAAAAGTAAACTACAAAACCCACTCAATCTAAACCAATTCGCAACAACACTCTGTCAGCCAGCATTTCCGACTCGGCTGGCGAATTGATTTGGCCTTGACCGGCATCCGCAGCCCCGGAAGCCACCCGCTGCTCATGACAATTGAAAGCCATGTACTTGTGCTCCGGCCGGTGGAGTTGCGTGCCAGGAAAGGAAATTATTATCATGATGGAGACCGCGCGCGTCGCGAAATGAAATCGTTAAGAGGCGAGTAAATCAGGCAAAATGGGCCCCCAATAAGCATGGTTTCATTAGCAAGGCGTCAAAATGCCGCGAACTGGGTTAAGGAACTCAACTAAACTCTGACAGCTGCAGCGGGTGGCCCAAATCCAGATCAAAATACCATTTCATATTCAAATCAACTGCAGCTGCAAGAGAGGAGTGCTGGCAGCGGGAGGAGGAGGAGGTGTTGCCCGATTGCATGTAACAGCCAAAATGGAATCCTTTCATTACCGCCCAAGCTTTTGCTGTTATCCCCCCGCAGTGACACCTCAAGTCAGTCGTCGTGTCGTGGGAAAATGTTGGCGGAGCAGAAGCGCAAATGGAGTTGGAAGGCACCGACAGGCAATGGTGTGTGTGTGTGTCGGAAAGTTGGCGTGCGAAAAACTGGCTAACTTCTTGACTGTGGTGCCACCTTTTCAGTTGGGATTTACGATCTGAGCGGTCAAGTTGTGGTTCGGCGAGCTGCGCTTGAATGGCGCCTTTGGGGCCAGGAACTGGCCACAGGCCCAAGGATGTGTGTGCCGCCGACCAAGTGTGTGCCTCAAGTGTGTGTGTGCCCGTCCCCCCAGAAGTGCAGACTCATTTAATGTTTAATTAAAGTGTGCAGAGCCCCAAAAGCAAGGAAACTCAATAATGGCGATTGCCTACGACTGGAAAAGCAGTGATGGGTAAGAGGTCTATAATGAATAATACAAGAGGTAGTTATACGTAAAAGTTACTAGTTTATGAACTCAAAGTTTTGGCTATAAATATAGTACTTCTTATATAGCAAAAGTGAAAGGAATTCCATTAGATAAATTCACTTTAGTAAATCCTGAGTAATTCCAATTAAATGTATTTAAATTTTTCTTTTAATTAGAGAGCCTGCCTTTCTTCATAAAGAGAAGGAAAGAGCTTGTTTTTCTCCTTTAGGTAAAAAGGTTTCTGGAAAACCATCCTGTTAAAGACTTTAGGGGAAATCCTTTAGCTTAGTAGTAAATTACACAGGTACACAGCCAAAAATTTACACGAACCATTTCAAGTTTTCCATGATATTTGGATGCTCCTGAGTAAAAGTCCCATACAAAATTATTTTCCATCACCTACAGGTTCCGCGGTAGACCTAAGAATACAAAAAACCTATGTTTGCCGACATTTTGAATTACGTGGCCTATATAATCGGACTTACCTTTATTATTTTCGGTGGGACGTACTCTCAATACATCACGGCACTACTAAAAAATAGTCCCAATCGTGGACCATTGCCCATGTCTTTGGAATTCGACGCCAAAGTTGAAACTCCCAAAATTTTCAACATTTCTGTGATGAAAAAACAATTCTGAGAATTAAATCTTATATGGAACTAATTTTAAATATTCATTGAATCTATTGTTCATTGTATTCTTTAATTTCGGTTTAAAGCGTTTTCATGAGGACATTTTATTGGATTTATTAAACGAATAAAACCCCTTTTTTGGTTTGATTATCTACTACTATTTTCTGTCAAAATTCAAATAAGTCAAGGCAACCTATAGAATGCGAGTAAAAGTGGTCTGTAAAAAGACCTAGTCTTAAATAGGTCATAGTTTTGCCTATTTCGAACATTTTTATACCCTTGCAAGGGTCTTATAATTTCAGTCAAAAGAATAAAACTCAGTGAAAGAATCATTTGCGGCCCTATAAAGTATATATATTTTTGATCAGCATAAACAGGCGAATCTTTCTGGTCGTGTTCGGAAGAATTTTTTTTTTTTTAATTTTTTTCAATATTTTATAAGGGGTTACATCGTTAAAATTTTAAATTTTTGAAAAAAATTATGATTTCTTAAATTTTAAAATTGGGTATATAGCTTTTAAAAACTAATAAAAACTAACACAAAACTGCTTTCCGAAATAAAATTGATGAATTTTTAGCGTAGCTATGATAGATTTAAAATTAAAAAAAATTCATTTAAAATTTGAACTTTTTTCCCATTACCCCTATTGATTCAGAAAGTATATTGTATTAATACGGAATATTCCTTCTAAATTTGTAGCTTGAAATTAAATACTTAAAAAATAAATGTATAAGTAAAGGTGTATATCATATCCTAGTCACCATTTCCATTTGAAATCCCTGATATCCTGACTATACAGACCTGCCCTTTTGGTTTAGCCTGCTAATATAAACTCTGCAGCTAGTGCAGTTGAAGCTAATCGAATTCCCGGCTTGCGGTTGACCTTGTCCGTTTGGTGGTTAACATAATGGTGCATTCTTGTTTATTGCATTACGTATACGCCCCGTGGCGTGACTGGGCCGTGTAATAGCAATTAAAACGTCATAAATCTGCAACTGTAATTATGTGAGTGTCCTGGCATCACAGCTAACCCACTGGCCCACTGATTAGCATATTTAAATGGGGTTGCGACGTTCCGCTGGCTGGCGCCGCTTTAAAAATAGCCAAAGGTCATTTGGCATTGTCAGGATTAGTCCGGGCCAGCTCCGCGCTCCTTTGACTTTCTCAGAGTTTCCTTTGGCTGAAATTGGGTCAGACTTGGCCAGGTTCTCCCCCACCTTCTTTCTGTCTGTTTCCGTTTCTGATTCTCTGATTCAACCAGCAAATCACGCACACTCCGTGGCCAGGGGATTGCGTAGTATAAACCATTTGGCAGCCATCAATTATAACCATTGGGTGGGGGGTGGTCGCTTGCTACAAATTTTCCCACACGTGAGAACTCGAAATTCCAATGTACTACAAGTCCAAAGGTGCAGGTGAGCCGTTCAACAGGTGCTTGTGGTCACATTTAGCTTAGCCAGTAGCCAAAGGGCCATAAAAGCCAAAGGGAGACTTGCAATTTGCATGCTCGCAGGTTCAGCTTTGACGACGGGCAATCCTTGTGCATTTTTAATGGCTCGCTGGGAGTCCTACACGAGTCCTTGGCAATGCCTCAACAAAAAACTCATTTCCGGATATGGATATTGCCAAGGACCCGGAGTCGTTGTCAGGACTAACAAAGGTTGGGGGAAGGGAAACGGAGACGTAGCCGGAGACACTATGAGCTATTGATTGGCATCGATTGAAAGGGTGGGTGGGTTTCACATATGAACAGGAGCAGATTGGAGGGGATTAGGGTTTGGAAAGATTATTATATGAAAATTATATTAATTCATTTGATATTTTGAAACATTTAACTAAGAGAGTTTTGGGTGGGTTTCATATGAAAAGTAGGAAGAGCTTCAGAAATATTAGGGCTTACAGAAATTTCTGGGGCATACCCTGTTGGTTCCTTTCCTTTTATAAAGTCCTGACGCCTAAGTCCACCTTCTGACCAGCCCTGTCTTTATCCATCGACTGCTCCCATGATAGTCGAAAGACAATTTTCTAATTTGCAGCAATTTCATCCTTTTGCCATATTCATTAGTTTGTTTACCAATGTCTGTGAGTGTGCCTAGCAACATTGCCCCGACACGCCATGGCTGGTGGGCCAAGGGAGGTGGCTATATGGTAGTGGAAAGCCAACAAAATGCCTTTACTGGTTTGCCTACCAAGTCCAAGGCAGCCGCCTGGAAGGCTCCCAACTGCAAATGCTTTTGGGGGAGAAGGGCTGGCCCCATTATAAAGGAACCTACCTGTTATTTGGTCGTGGTGGCGACGACCACCAACAGCTATAACCGTAACTTTTACGCTCAGTTTGCAGCCAAAGACTAGACGAATCGGTTGCTCTCCTAACCCAGCTCCAACTGTTTCTCTCCCAACCTTAGCTTTGATGCCGACTTTGGCTGGAATCGCTCCTTCTCCGAGCCGGATCTCACAGCCAACCAGAAGAACCAGGGCGACCTTAGCCGGTTTGCCATCAAGCATCCGCACGAGTATATAGCCGTTGATGACCTCAAGTACTTCCGTCGCCGCCAGCCCGTCCAGCTGCACACGCGGAGCAACGTCTGTCTGTACAATAGCGACGAGCCAGTGGTCAGTTTTGGATCCTTGAAGAGCGAGTATCGCAAGCACTTCCGTGGCCAAGGCCCACAAAACCGTCCCAGATCCCTGCTGAGGCGATCGACGTCGCTGCGTCTGGAGGGATTAATGCAGCTGCTGTCGGAGCACCAAGAGAAATACCACTGGTACACGCCCGAGGATCTGCAATTGTCAGTATATATCCAAAATATTTGTATTTTATATTAAATCTTTCAATTTTAATATTCTTCCCTCAGCTCCCGCACCTTTCCGGTTCGCAATCCCGAGAACTTGCAGTTGGGCAACGGCGGCGGAGCCAGCAGAGAGGCCACCAGTGGCGCCGATGGCATGAAGAACTCCTCGTACCTCATGGCTCCCATGGTGGATCCCAGCGCCAAGATCTTGCCTCGTGAGGTTTTCCTCGACGAGTCAGAGCTGGCGGCTAGGAATCACAACCAACCCACCAGCAAGCTGGCCGCGGACAAGTTCCGTCGCGATGTGGCCGCCCAGGAGCAGCAGCGGTGCCACCTGCAGATGCGGGCCCAGGCCGTGGACCGTGAGCAGCAGGGTCAGCAGCCGGAGCCGTCCGAGTACCGTCGCCAGTTCGTCCAACAGTTCCCCGAGAAGGCGCACTCCATACCCCAGATGAGCAGCATCAAGATTCAGGGGGAGTTTGTGGCCGTGCCGGAGTACAGGGACAGCTTCCGAATGTATGCCAACTACTCGAAAAGTGCTCCGATTAAGAAGGACGACAACCTGCGCGTGTCCGGCTCCGAGGGTGCCTGTGAGCCTAGCCCCGAGGTGCCGGAGTATCGCGACAAATTCATCGACCCACCCAAGCACGTGGCCAAAGAGAAGTCCCTCAAGACGGATGACCATCTGCGTCCGCGCGGGGAGTTCACCAAAGAGATTCCCGAGTACCACGAGAGCTTCCGAGACCCGCACATCACCGAGATGCCGGAGCGTGGCAAGCCGCGGGAGCCCTTTCTCCGGCTGCGCGGCAAGATCGAATTTAATCCGGAGTATCGCAACAATTACCAGGATTTTCCCCGCTCCCGTCCCGTAGTCCAAAAGCCCACCTCCTGCTTCCGGCTGCCCACCTCGGGCATGAATCACGCCCTCTCTGTACAGCATCATCAGGCGGGTGAGGATCTGGAGACGCCTGTCCTGGTGACCGTTCCTCCCTCGGAGGTCACAGCCACGCCAGAGTACCGCCGGGCCCAGTACAACTATCAGCTAAGAGAGCGTCCAAGGGAATTGGATGCAGGTCCCTCAGGGATGCCTGGCAGCCTGCGCAAAAGCTCGGATTCCTCATTGGAGGCACGACAGCCTCAGGCTCCGCACAAGCGCAGAACCTCGCGTCAGCGTGGACAGATCAAGGAGCCAGTACAGCCCACGGCGGCGGCGGCTCACTTTGAGGATGTGGGCGGCAATGCAGCCAAGAAGCCAGCCAGATATGGCCGGAGAGCCTCTGTCCTGCAGAATGCCTCCAACTGCCGGGATAACTCGTCGATCATCGAGGGGAATCCCAAGTATGCCGTGGGCTGTCGCCGCTCGAAGCAGCCGCAGCAGCAGCAGCCAGCAGGAGCCTTTGTGGTCCTTGACGAGCCCTGCAAGCCTTCCAACTGGATGAAAAAGACCTGGTACGACTCCTAGGTCCAAAGCATCTGCACCTCTTAACCGTAGTATTGTGTTTTAAATGTGTCTAATAAAAAAAAGTAAATAAATTCAAGAAGTAAAAGGAGAGGTTGGGGAGTTGTATTTTATATTGAAAATTATTCATTTAATTTAATTAACTAGCTGGTTTTGATTAAGTATACATTTTCTTCTGTATTTCTGCACTCATAAACCTATTCGGACAACGCCCATTTGCTGTATTTTAAGTTCAAGATGGACTAGTTTTCACATTAACAAGTTTAAAATTATTAATAATTGCTACAAGAGGAGTAAGCTAATTTAATTTAAACTTTATAAATCATTATCTACTCCTATAAATTTAAATTATTACTATTACTAGCTAGCATGCTTAACTATATTATATTTTAATCTGTGACTCTCTCATTCATGCCGCAAAAACGTAAACAAACGTGGTATTTCTCACCTTAACAATTGTTTTATCTTATCTCACGCACTGATAATGGTTCCCAAGAGAGAGGCGGTTACTCATAGAGGTTCAGTTTTTCGTCGGATTTCGCAAGCTACAGATGTGATCCTCCTTTCTACTTTAACATCAAAGGGAGTTCCCCCAAAAGAAGTGGCATCATCACAGAAATGGAGGCTCAGGTGGCCCATGCCGCCAGTCCACCGCCTCACATACTCGGCTACACGATTAGGAGTAGGACAAGGATATGGGTCTCCTACATAGTGCCCGCCTGCCTGGGAGTCCTCGTTTATATAGTCCAAACTGCCTCGGACTTGGCACTGAGCTACCAGCATTTTAGCCAGAAGGAACCGGGTTTTGGAGCGGGTACATTAGTCCTGGTGATCCTTCCCCCACTGATCACCTTCCTTCTGGTGTTGACTTCTAGGGAGCAGCGCGATTGTGCCTGCTCTGGTAGGAATAGGTGCACTGCCCTTGCCCTTGGACTCGTTAAGCTCCTGCTGTTTCCCTTCTTTGTGGTGTTTAGGTGAGTCGCAGCGATGTGGGTCACTGTCAGGTCTGATAACTCTCATCGATAAGGTTTTGTACGCGTCTGTTCTGGGCCATCGAGGGACTCTTTCACGACGACGACGATGTGGAGCGCATGAAGTGTTTGGCCAAGGCAGAACAAACCTCCAATATCGAGCTGTATCTGTTTATACAGGCCTACGCCCAGGCAGCTCCACAGATTATCCTGCAGCTGTACCACATGCTCGCCCAGGACATGTTCCGGAACTATGAGACCTGTAAGTTTTGCTGGTTCATCCGTAAAAGTTTTTATAAATTGCATTTTTCCAGCTGCTGTCCAGGCTTTATCTCTAGTATTCTCCGCCATTGACTTGGCAGCTGTGACCACCAGCTATCATCGCATTGAGAGCCAGCGGCGAGTGGGACGCCATTATCCTTGGGCCACGCCAAAGCAGGTGGATGGCCATCGCTGTCAGTTGGAGCAGAATGAACGCCTGTGCTGCGAGGCTGCGCGAAGGAAACGCCAGTCCGAGCGCACCATAACCAGCTTCCCAGAATCGGACAAGATCATGGAGAACTTTCGATCCCGAACGTCACTCTTTAACCCCGGTGAAGCCTCCCACGAGTTGCACTTCCAGGGCGAGGACGAGGTGGACAACGATGCCTTGGAGCAGATGGAAACTCGGGCTTTATTGCACTCCGGTCCCCGAGACAATGCCACAGACGAGGAAAAGATTCAGGGGACGAGACCCAAGCTGAAAGTGCGACACGAGGATCTGGGTGATGTGAATACCATCGAGGTGCTGGACAGCATTCCCGAGACTCCAGCACCACCGCCTCCGCCAAAAACAGCTCCGCCTGAGCTACCTGTCCTGCAGCCCACCGAAGATGATCCCCCAACTCCCGATCTCCGTAGAACCATGTCGGATAAGGATACCACAAAGAGTCGTCGGGTCACCAGACCCCTCTCACAATTGGAAACCTTCAAGGACATGCTTCTGGTCAACGCTCAGCTCTACATCAAGCAAAATGTCCCCCATCCGCCAAAGCTACTCCTGGGAAAAGTGAGCGAGGATGCGGCGGATGATCACAGCATCCTCATTCCACAGACACCCAAGACACCATCTCCCCTGACGCCCAAAGATGTGGTGGACTTTTACTTTCCGCGGCCCACAAAGATAGTGAATGGCATCCAGCAGGATGACTTTGCGGGCAAAACAGTATCCTTTTTCGGATGGGTCGCCTTCATCATCATGCGGATGCTGGCGCTGTCCACCTTTTGTGTCTTCTATCCGCGTGCCTTCTTCATCCTGGTCGGTGTTCACTACGCCCTGATGCTGGCCTGCCTGGTCCTGGAAACCCGCTGTCGAGGCAGCTGGAGCCGCACCCTCTTCCTTCTACTCCTGGCCTACATATACATCTTTGTGCTGATGGAGTTCCGGGTGAGCTTCAAGAGCGTTCGCCTTTGGTATGGGGGCTACTTGGTCCTAACCATGGCGGAGAACATCACCGTGTCGAGCATTTGGTTTGTAAACGAAGAGTGGGAGTCCTGGTGGATTGGCTTCATCTGGGAGTGGATCGTGTACAGCGGTGTGCTCTTCGTGGCCACGCTCATAGTCTACTACTGGATTTTGAAGCCGAAGGAGGTCGCCCTCATAGTGGAGGATGAAGCGTTAAATCCCGAGGCAAGTCCAGAGGAGCAACCCGTTACCTAGCAATGGCTGCCTTGGTTGATTTGTTGGATCGAAGGAGTCGCCTGGTTGTAGCTTGTAAGCTGTCAGTCTTGTTGCTGGCAAACGAATAAATTATTTATCTTAGTCTTAGAACCGAAACATTAGTATTAAAAATGGTGGACCGTGGCAATAACTTCGTCCTCCCCGTGGGGCCGTGCTCCACGGAGCTCACCGAATCGCAGACCAGCTTTGGTCCGCCCAAAATCAAGAAAGTCCTGCGTAAGTCAATGCTCTAGGTTAACCGGGATAATATTAATAGCTTTATCGATACTCCAGCCACCAGGGCCAACCGAATGGAGCAGTTCCTGTGGCAGGAGCTCTTCGCCGAGTACAATCGCCAGGCATCGGCTCCAGAGGAGGTGACCGAGGATCGCACGGAGTACTACGACCAGTTCTGCAAGGATGTGGCGCCAAAGAACGAGGAGGCCGAGGAGGTTCTGACCCAAAAGTATCCGCTCTACTGCACCACGGCTGTTACCCTGTGGAATGAGGACGGGGATCCCACCAAGACATTCAAGAAGAGCTATTCGATAACCCGGCCCATTAATGAGTGTACTGAGAAATTTGCTCCTTAGAGAGCTTTTATATTTACCAAGTCTTGGAGAAAATGGTGCATCCCTCATTCTCCTTCATTAAACATAATTAAGTTGGCTATACAATACTTTTCTCAATATTTTATATTTCAATTGAAATCCGAAATATTTTGAGCATTTAGGAATTTTACCTTTTTAGGTATTTTATGCCCTGAAGAAGAAATATACATTAATTTTGTTTAAGATTTATTTTTATAATAGTTTTATGAACTTAATAAAGCTTAGAAATATCAATAACAAAGTCACAAAAGCATTAATTTTAATTCTGAATGCTGTTCTAAGCCAGTTTTCATTAGGTTTACAAATCAGACAAGTATATGCCACAATTTTTATACCCTTGCAGGTTTTGATTGTCATTTTAATTTTAAAGTGTTTAAGGAAACTCTTCGTTCATTTTGGTGTTCAAAATTAAAGATCTTTACGTTTTGATTGACATTTAATTTTCAGTGATACTGAGTTTCCTTAAACTCATTTAAGACAATGATACAAGTACAGGCCAATGCCTGTACACAAAACAAATGATGATTGACCTATAATGCAAGTTCTTCTTTGAACTACATTTTCCATAAACAATAATAATGTTTTTATAACAAAATAGCAATAAGTGTGTATGAAGATATAGTCAAAAATTATAACGAAATTAATTATTTCACTTTACCGCCGTAAAAATCTTAATACAAATGCGTTCCCGTTGCCCGCGGTTTGTCTTATTGTTTTTCTTATTCGTTAGTCGTCTTTTTTTATGTTAAATAATGAGAATATCTGCTTTTGGCCAAACATACCTGAAAAGAAAGAAACAAAAGGAAAACAAAAACTACATGAAAAACACACTCTTTTATGTGGATAAAAGATCCGTTAGAAAAAAAACGTATAGATCTAGAGATGAGAGAATAAGCGCGTTACACAGCCATAATCAGCTGTGTCACGATGGAAAGCTTACATATGTATAACAGTTTTGTATTTAAAAAAGCCTCTGCTGGCCACCAGGGACTGTTGCATTTGTTTTTTGTTTTGGCCAGTAAAGTTATGAAGCAGTAAGGTTATGAGCACAGGACCGACAGTCAACTCACCAGATGTGTGTCCTAGAGACTTCTTTTGGTCGCGGGTACGGTGATCCGCTTCATGTTTTCAAAGAACTGTATTATTTCGGAAGGATACGTCAACTTTAAGTCCTTCAAGGGAACCACATCGATCACCGTGAGACCCTTCCAAGTGACAAACATATACCGTTTACCGGCCGCCTCAAAGATGTGTAGAATTTTGTCCAGTTCCAGGCCGCGAATCAGGCCAAAAGGGGCCTTGCGTACTGGCACCTTCCAACCGGATTTTAGCGATCTACGTTTGTTGCTAGACATTTGCGGCAGCATCAAAGGAGTATCCGAGTCATCACTGCTCTCAATTTTCTGGCTTTTGTTTGGGCTTTCCTTCGGACTCTTATTTTTATTCTTCTTCGAGCTTTGTGGAGTTTGATCAATTTGTGGACTATTTGGCGTGTCCATTGGCTTGGGAACCTGTTACAATTTTCTTAGTTTTAATTGAATTTCATTAATAAAAACGGATTTTATTTTCTTACGCTCTTTGGGGCCTCATCGATGCCATCCTCAGAAGTTGCCGAACTGGAATGTATACGCATTTTTTTCGTCCCTGTCTTTTTTGGCGGTACGGACGCCTTCTCGGTTGGAATCGTCTTTTTGGCAGACTTTGATGTAGGCAGCAAGTCGGATTCCGAGGACTCTGATCTTGAAGAGGTTGTGGAGGATACGCTTATAATCATTATATCCACATCAGAATTCTCGTCATCGCAGCTGGATTTAGGCACAGACGCTGGAGTAGATGTAGTCTTATCTTCACTAGACTTGCTCAATGCTAAAAATGGTACAGGATCGTTCTTTTTAGGGCCCTTAACCGGTGGCTGAGTGTTGAATTTCTTGTTCTTACCCATCGTATGGCCTGCATTGGGCTTTGGTGTGCTACTTTTGACACTATTTGTTAAATTTACTTTGGGCCCAATTGCTTTGCCGCTTTCCACTTTGCGTCCCACGGGAGCAGCGGCATCTCCTAGACGCTTTACAGGCAATGTGGCCTGGGCTGTCATATTTTCGGCACCCTTCTTGCTGCCGCTACTGCTCGCATTTTTCTTGCCGTGTCCATTTTGAAGCCTCTTCTTGTGTTCCCGGCGCTTGAAAAGCTCCGCCTCAAAATCGGCGAGCAGCACCATGCAGTTGCCTATGTTCTCCATGGGCTCCCAGGTGTTCTCCTCCGGTGGATAGCCCTGCCACTTGATCTGTACCTGGGGACGCCCGTTCCAGTAACGTTTTCCTGTGATCTTTTCCACAATATACTCTGACTCCCCTGCTGGATTGATCGTGGGCGTGAGTTTATTGACGCCACTTGCTGTGGCCGCCTTTTGCGACTTGAATTGGCCACCAGGGCCTCTTGGCCCACCGCCTTTCTTTGAAGTACCACCGCTGGACATTATCTTCGCGAAAAATGAAATTTTCACATAATTTCGTCGCAAAAAATTAAACAGTAATAGCGGCTAGCTTGGTCAGCGCTGGCAACTTACGCGAAAATAAGATCCGTTATAAATTAAGCGCAGGCAGAGCTTTGTGAAAATGATGAACGATAAATTATCGATAAAAAGAAAGAAGCAAAAATTCAAAATGGAGCCTGCCTAATTGGCGTCAAATCAGAATGTGTTAACAACCCCAATTAAAAGGAAACAATGGAATTCAATTCGCTCCAGCCGCTTTGCATACTGCAAATGTTCGCTTTCAACGAACTTGATCTCGGTTCTTAATGATCTACTCGCAAGCTGCAAGGGTATTCAAACTTCGGTAAGCTTCCTTTCTTATTTACCTTAAATTTTTTACACTAAATTGGCAGTGTTCCTCCCACTGTGCACTCCCCACTGTAATAACTATCGTTAACGATAAACGATAGTCGAGACGTATGGCAGTGCTAGTTTTTGAACGTCTGGCAGCACTGATGGTACCGGCTTCAACTTGCACTCGTTTAAAGCTGTTTTTCTCTAGTTTAACGGTGTTTTTCGCAGGGAACACAATTAAATAATTTGCTGCGGCCTGTCGGGCATCCAAATATAAGTTTTATATCTGCATACAGAGTCGGAATAAGGACAAAATTGCTTAACTGACACCAAGCGGGTGTGACAGAGACGTTTTGGCCTTATGAGGAGAAAAGAATGCGGGCACACTACACTTTCCAAGCGACACCGGCCCTATATGTGACGTGTCTGAAAAATTTCCTAATAGAAAATAAGTGGCGTGTGGAAGCGCGATCCCCAGAATAGGAAAATGTTAAAGCTAGGTGCGTAGATTGGGCAGCCTTGCGTCCCGTAACCAAGGTCTCAAAGCCACCTGCAGCGAAATGCCGGCTGCTCGGAGGTCGGCGCTCTCCCGGCGTCGCTGTCGGATTTTTGTGGTTAGCAGCAGTTGCCGGCGACTTAGAATCTCACCTTTTTCTTTTCCCCCCACGAAGGTCTGACGCTCCTCTGCGTGCTGGTCGCCTGCGGGCCGACGTGGAGCGCCCGCACCGTGGACAGTCACCTGGGGCCCAAGGATCTCACCCGCCTGCAAAAGGTTTTCGTTGATGGCTTCGGCTCCAGCGACCTGCAGTCCATCTTCTTCTCCAGCCTCAACATCCAGCTGACCGATGCCACTCAGAAGGAGCCGCTGTGCAAGAAGATTGCCACACTGCATGCGGAGTCCAAGCTGAACGTGGGTCCTTCCTAGACACGCCCATTTTTACACGTATTAATACTCCCTTAACTCCTTGCAGAGCTTCGAGAAGGACTACTACTACATTGGTGCCAGCAAGAACCTGGGCTGCTCGGCCAAGCTGGACGAGGCGCTGCTCTCCAAGGTGTACGCTTCCCTCAACTCCGATCTGGGCAGCAGCCAGGAGATCTTCTACCGAGTGGTCACCCATAAGATCCTCGGCGTGGCAATCAATGAGGCCACGCAGGCAAAGGTAGTGAAACGCCTGCAGGAGCTGCTCAAGAAAGATGACACGCTCACCGGACTGGGCTATGCCTTCAACGTGGCCACTCAGCTCGGAAGCAGTGCCTCCTTCATCGCCAACAGGGTAGAGGATGCAATCGTGCAGGCAGATGAGGTCGACGGCAAGCTGCTGCAGTTCGAAGGCGGCCTCAGCATCACATCCCTTATCATCAACGGTGCCTTCGGCGTGGCCAAGAGCTTCAACAAGCCATCGCCTGTGACTGCGGAACAGGCTGTAAAGTTTGCCAACTACTTCCTGAGCCGGCGATCCGTCCAAACCGCCAAGGGAGCTCATGTGCTAATCGAGGCGCTGAAAACCATCAGCGGAGCCGAGAAGATTGCGCCCGTGTGCGTGCAGCTCATCGGGAATGGACAACTGGAGGCGCAGTCTCCCACATTGAACGTGGCTGTGGTCGATCTGCTGGGAAAGCCATTGTCGCCGGCTCCGAAGGCCATCACTGCCAAAGTGATTCGCAAGGACAAATCCGTGCTGGCCGAGAAAGTGACTGTGGCTTCAAAGTCCTCTGACAAGACCACCTACGTGGCGGATCTGGCCAGCTTGAAGCCGACTCGTGGAAGCTACCAAGCGGAACTTAATGCCGACGGTGTGTACACGCAGACTCTGCATTTCAAGGTGCTCGGACGCGTCAAGGTTCAGTCCCTGGAGCTGGGCATCGCTGAGTCGGATGCCAGTGCCGCCACCCGCAAGCAGAGCGTCAACTATCCCAGCAAGCTGCAGGAGGTCCTCTCCGCCGACAGTACCCAGAAGCTTTTGCTGAAGGCTGTTCTCGTCGAGGAGTCCAGCGGCAAGTCCCTGGCTGTCCACCAGGCCTTCGTTCGTCTGCAGAACAAGAAGACGGACAAGGAGATCATCTTTGTGGCCGAGCAGGACAGCAGCAAGGCGTACAAGTTCGACATGGATGTGGGCAACAACGGCAAGAACTTTAACTACCAGAGCGGCACCTACAGCATCTACCTGACCGTGGGCGATGCCTCACTATCCAATTCCTTCGAGTGGCTGGTGGCAGAAGTGCAGCTGAAATTCAACGAAGACAAGGGTAGGTTATATATGTTTGAAACCTAAAAATGGATGGTAATTATGTGATCCTTGCAGAAGTCAAGCCCAAGACGACATCGGGTCCACTGCCTGAGATTGTGCATCAGTTCCGCGTGCCCGACAAGCGCCCGCCGCGTATCGTGTCGGATATCTTTACCGGACTGTGCATCACCCCCTTGGTACTGCTCTTCGTGTTCTGGGGCAAGCTGGGCATCAATGTGTCCAATCTCACGCTGGCGCCCAGCACTCTGGGTTTCCATGCGGGCTTTGGTGGCATATTGGTGCTGTTCTTTGTTTTTTGGCTGCAACTCGATATGTTCCAGACACTGCGCTTGCTGATACCCATCGCAGTATTCACATTCCTGGCTGGCAACCGGTTGCTGAGGCGTCTCTACGCCCAGCGCACCTCCAAGGGCAGTTCGTCGTCGTCGTAGGTCAGTGCTTCAAGTCACAGAGTTACTTTCCATCTTGCAACTCCTTCATCTGAAAGAAAACCCCTTTAATAAAGCGTTTTAGTTAAGTCCAACACTAAAGCTTGACTTTTGCTTGAAATTCAGTTTATTTAAAGCCTAGTTTCAACTGCTTAAGCCATAATTTCGGTTGTCTTTCAGACATTTTGCTAAGCAACACGGTTGCGGAAATACGAAAACAATACAAAAACATTACAAAATATACAGATTATATTTACAAGAGTAACAGTAGTGAGGATAATAATCAGTTGGCATCGTCTAGAGGTGAGCCTTCATGAAGGGCTTCAAGTACTTGTGGAATGATCCATTCACTGGTTCTTTGTTAAGAGGATTTTTCTTGGTCGACTCGAAAATGTGCTCGTAAACATTGCCATCGTAGGCTCCTAAGGCGGAGTCCAAAACGCGATCGTGCAGATCAAAGCTGTCCACCAGGGTGACGGCATTCGGACGCAAACGTTTCAGGCAGCTCTCCAGGCGGACCTCCAGCTTGGTGACATCTTGATCTGTGAGTTCAATGAACTATAAATGGGAAACAAGGTTAAATTATGAAGACTTGAGGTTAGAAAAGCTGGCAAATCCTACCCTTAAGAAGTCCCCAATGCGGTTGAGGCAGGCATCCACCAGGTACAGTTCAAGGACCACCTTGAGGACATCGGCCAGGGCGGGCGAGACCTGTCGCGACAACTCCAAAAGTTCCGTATAAGCAGTCTGGGCCAAAAAGGCGCGGCCATGAAGCTGTAATTTTAGGGTAGAATTAGTATTTATAATTAATTAATAATAAAGCTATTTAAACTTACATCTGCCGCTGCTGTCAGGAAGGTTCCACACAGATTGGCTGCCACCTCAGTGCCATGTCCCTGCTTGCGACGCAGCTCAAGTTGCTCATAGGCAATGCGGGTTTTGCTGTAAAACAAAAAACCGAAGCCAACTTAATATAAAAATCATTTCAATTAAAATCTAGACTCCACTTACTTGGCAGCCACAAACTGGAAAGCCTTCACAATCGACTCCAAGGAACCGTCAAAGTTAACAAACTTCTGTTGGGTCAGAGCCTCATTTATATAGGCCACCGTCGGCACCAGTTTCTCTCCATTGAGAGCCTGACCATAAACTTTGACCAGGTAACGTGCCGTCTGCAGCAGCATCACCGTGTTCTCACCCTCATAGGTGCACACGGCGGTGGTCATGCCGTAAATTGTGGGAAAGTTAGAGCAGTCCATGTAGCCATGACCGCCACACGAAAGACGGCAAGTCTCCACACCAGCGGCGGCATCGGCACTGCAGATGGCCTTCAGGCAGCAGGAGAGGGCGTGCATTTCGGGCAAGCGATCAAGATTACCCTGTTCAATCTCTCCAGAAATCACATTGTACATGTTCCAGATGCCATCGCCCGTTGTCTTGAAAACAATAGCCTTGGCTATCTGGGGGAACAGCTTGAGTTGCTGTGTGGTGTGTTCCATGATCTGGGGCTCCGGCTGATTGGGATCAATGGGACTCTGGCGACGCACAGCGGAATACCTGGTGGCAATGGTGGAGGCCTTGGCCAGACTCTGGGCGGTGTCGCGGATCAAAGCGCAGCGCACAAACATCTACAAGGAAGGTTTAATGTAAAAAAAACCTTCTATAGGACTAGCATTGTTTTATCCTTACCATGGTTCCATAAGTGAGCACACTGTTCTTGGGCGCCACATAGGTGCCATCGGCCAGGACCTGCTGGTTCTTCATCAGCATGTTGTTCAGCGGAACCCGCACATTTTTCAATCCCAAATAGCCATTGTTTACGCTCTTCATGCCCAGCTTGGTGCCAATATCTCCAATATCAATGCCAGGCATGGGCTTGTGGGTGTCCGAGTCCCTCAGCTGGACAATGAAGGGGGCCAGGCCACGGTGCACGCCCTTGGTGTATAGCTGAGCCACCACCACGGCATGGTTAGCCGTGTGGCCCACTGGAAATTATGGAAATTTTATAATTAAAACCTTTAAAGGAAAACAATATGGATAACTCACATCCTCCTGGCCACCATTTGTAGGAACTCAGAGATGGTGTGTTGATCACAAACTCCTGGGTCTTGGGGTCGTAGTCCGCCCGGGTTTCCAGGCCGCGCAAAAAGGTTCCATGCCCCAGCTCTGTCTGGGCATAGGTGCCAATAATCTCACAGTCCCAGGCCTTGCTCAGCCACTCCACCTGCTGGTCCATGGTTCCCTGGCCCATGATGGTGGGCACAAACATCACATAGTGCAGGGTCAGGGGATTGCCCTCTTTCAAGATGGCTGCTCCCAGGGATCCGCCAAGGAGAGCACTATCCAAGGAGTACAAATTAATATAAGAACTCTGGTTAGTTAAAGTGGCTTTCCTTACTTGTAGGTATCCACACCATCTTCGCCGTCAGCCCTTAGCTTGCGGATCTTCTCGCCAATGATGCAGGCTTTGCGCAGGCTGTGCTCATAGAGCTCCTTGTGTGACAAGTAGGAGACAGGGAGGTCATCTTCAAGGGCAGGGTCCTCCAGAAACATTTTCTCTGTTTGAAAATAAACAAAAAAGAAGTTCATGTTTGAATGTCAAAGGATTTATAATTCTTGAATGATAATTCATTCTGAATTCCGCTGCGTAATCATGATTGGTCACTTCACTAAATCCCCCTGGTGTTACCGGGTATTGTCCATTTATGATGCCCTGTTCCACCGGTCAAATCGGTCAGATAAACCTATCAGCTAAACCAATTTCAAGTGGAGTGCCACTGGAAATAGATTGAGGCGGACCTGCGGCAAACATAGCAAAGTGCACGTCAACCCGAATCGGTTAAGATTCGTGCGAAGTTCAAAGATTAATAACCCATAGCTAGGTGGCTAATAGGAGCAGATTAACTTGTCGCAGTTTGTTTATGCGGAATACATAATTAATGAACCCTACAGGGGGGACGGACTGGACTGCGACTGGGACTAGTGAATGAATGGACAAAGAAGAGCCGTATCAAAACAAAGAAATCAATATAGTAAGCTTATGAGGGGCGTGTCGGAAGCAAGAGTTGTAAGCTTAGAACGGAAATGACCTCAAAAAAAGGGGGGGTGCTAATAATACAGAGTTATAAATTTTATAAACTGATTACAGGTAAAGAAGAAAGATGTGATATCTGATCTTGCTGATATAATAAATATTTATAATGTCTATTATGCAAATATTATCTAAGACTGTAGCACAACGTTGTAAATGATAGAGTACATACTTGAGAAACCCATATATCAATTATAATGCCTATATTTTAACGGGGAGATCTTAAAGTTGCCAGGGAAATGTCATATATTCCAATCTTAATGGAATTTGAACCAGAACAAACTGTTTTAGAGAATGTATTAATGTTCTGACACCTCTCTCATCTGATTTTATTTCTCATGTTTAAGAAACACTCTCTGTTTTCTTGCAATTTTGACCTGATAGATCTCTACGTAAGACACAGCTCTAGTGCCAAGTCATGCTTCTGACACAATTTTTAATTTCTTGCACTGGCGATTGTGAAACGCCAAGCCAAGCTCAACAGATAAAGCTTTAAGCGACCGGTTAATGCCTTTCCAGAAGAGCTTGGCTTGCAGCACTCCAATAGCTTACCCAGAGTCTTCTTCTCCTTGTATCTTTCCTCGCCACCTGCCCATAGCACGGAGAACTCGCGTGGATTGAAGGTGGCCGTGTTGCGTTCCTTCTGGATGTCGGGATTTACTTCTTTGGCTGGCATTTTGCACGTTGCACGTAGTAAAACGTAAACTGGTTTTTAACAACAATCCAAGGCGTCCGTCTTGGGTGAGTATCGCGCACTGACTGATTGCTGCGGAGAAGGCAATTCCACACTCACAGTGGCACACAGTGGCGATCTTCAAGTGCTCGACACAGTGGGGACAGTAGCGCCAATCCAGTCCAGATTAAGTGTGGAGTAGGTGCTGCTGATCTGATCCGTGCCAAATCGGAATCTAATCGCGGTTGCCAGCCCTCGTGTACGTGAACTTTAACCGCCAGCATACACAAGTAATGAGTTGGCTTTGTGTGTATTTAATCGCTTGCTGAAACAATTATTATTCACTTGCTCTTTGTTGTTGGACTACATTTGTTACTAAATACACAAAATAAATACACTTACAAAGAGGAGAGTACATTGGTTGGGCAAGCATAAGCATTTCAATGTCTGTTTTAGTTGTGTTTTTGTGTTAAATACTTCAAAAATGTTTAGATCTAAAAACCACCGATTTATTTGTTAGGTTGAAGTGTTTTAAATGAGTTAAATTTATAAATTTAAACCTTTTTCAGCAAGAAAGAGCATTCTAAAGCCTTCTCCAAACGCTATTTATTTTTGTTGTTAGCAGGTCTTTGTTTGTGTGATTGGGCAATCAGCTGCTCACCAGAGTTGTCGCTTGCACTAAAGGCTACCAGGGCTGCAAACTTAAACTCTGTGCCGTCCGTTAAATTGAAAATTAATCAACATTTTTTAAATTACAAAACATACACATATATATTTGCTAATAAACTGATAGATCATGAGGTAACACCAATCTTTGGCCTTATAGCGATAATTACAAGTTGCACATACAAGTAGATCACGTTTTAATACAATTACTAGGAGTTAAATGCGGCTTCATTATAGACCATGAGCATGGCTGGTGGCTATTGCTATTCCTCGCTGATGCTGCCCCACGCCCGTCTCGTAAGAACAGCTAGGCGAGGGCTCCATTTGATGCATTTCCGCCGGATACCAGTGACCATGGGACTCCGGCAGCTGGTGGTAACTGAGATCCGCTTGGACATGGGCCTCATTCCGTGTGGTTTTCGGATAGCCCTGGATGGGATGATGCAGAGACTGCCAGTCCATGCGGCCGGAGGAGGAGCTGGAGGATGTGGCCGCACCAAAGGCAGCCAGGCTGCGACTGCTCTGATGGAACTCGAAAGGCCAGCTCTGCAAAATCAGAAGAGAGAGAGAGAGAATGTGAGGAGGATGTGATGTGTGGATGATGCTTTCATAAATCATGCCAGCGGAGAAAACCGCACGGAGCTATAAATGGAACAATATGACGACAACCCGTCCCGTCCCGTCCGTCCGTCCGACAGCGCCATTGTTTGTTTACGCAACTTTGATTGTTTTTAGTGCCCCCCTCTCAGTCCCTACTCTTGTTCCCTGGATCTACAATAACAGCCTCATTAACGGATCTATAAAAACATATAAACAGCCAAACACTTGCGGACAAGAGACACTCTTGCGAGCTCGGGATATCTGGAGAGGAGAAGGAATGGGCTCTAGGGCTGCTAGGGATAGCGAGCAAATACCGAACAAATGGGTTGTTCCCACCAGAACGGATCATGTCGGGGCGCGTGCTGGAATGGGATGAGATGCAGATAGGGTCGGGAGTGGGACTCTCCCACCCAATGCCGTCCAATCTGATCCGATTTGCCGCCATATGGGCACAAGACGGGACCGTATTTGCTGAAAATTTCACGGGTAAACAATCGCCTCTATTTGGATAAGTTCTACGCCCAGAATCTTGTGTAAACTCTTCGGATTGGAATGAATAAACACGGTTAGACGAGCCACAAATTTAATTACAATTATCAGAAGTGGGGAAAAGAAACGACCCAGAGCAAGGCGAGGCGACACTTTCCCCGGGATGTCATTCACTTTGTCGCATCAAAGTCGAGCCAGCGAGCATCTTTAAAAATAAAAGCAAAGACTAACCAATGCCCCTCCTACCACTCCCATCCCGATCTGCAGGTCGCCTGTCCTAGCTCCATGGGCCTGTCACTCATATTTAATATTTTTGAAATTCACAAAAGTATCCGATTACAGGAAAGCCAAGGCAGTCTGAAATCACAAAATGTGATTTCAAGCGGTCGCCAGTGGGGGGCCCGATCTTGGTCTATGGTGTGGGAATGGAGTCCACCTCCATCTCAGGAAGGTGGAAATACTTGTCGCCGCACAGCGGAATCAGCCAAGCAGATGTTGCACCATAAATATTGTGGATATTGGATATTCGGTAACTAATTTTTAAATTTTAGGGCCATTGAGAGAAGTTGAGCAAGATTTTTGTCAAACTAATTATAATTGATTTTAAGATTTAAGCACATAGTTCTACGGTTAAGGGATTTTTGGAAAATCGAGGGAGACTTACTAACTAATTAATCACAAATTAAGAATGTTAATGCCTTCTTTCGGGATTTGGAGAAATATCAAGGTAACTAATTTTGGGATTTTAAGGAACATTGATTGAAGATTTAAGTAACTTTTCAAAGATTTTATGGAATTTTAGAAACGGAGAGAGATTTACTAGCTAAAAAACTACAAATTAAGAAAGTTAGTACCTACTTCTGTGACTGTGAGAAAAATAATTAAAGAAATGGAAAGGAATATAGAAAGACTTATAGATATTTTATTTAAAAATCTATTTTAATTGAATTTAAAGAAGAACTTTAAGATTGTTTCTCGTTCATTGTTATCAGTTCATTGTTACAGCAAAATGTAATAATTTATGAACCATAAAATGTTCTAATTTATTGCAATAACCGACGGAACAGGTAACTATTAATTATTGGCTTTAAAGTCTAAACAAAAAAATTATAAAACAAGAAATAAAGCTAACTTTGGCCAGCCAAAGTTTGTATACCCTTGCAGGTAACAATTAAAATATATCATAACTAAGCCAAAAATGCATTAATTTCGATTCGGAAAGCAGTTTTGTGTTAGTTTTTATTAATTTAAAAAAACTGCATACCAAATTTAAAATTTTAAGAAATCAAAATTGTTGGCCATTTTTGCTAATTTTAATGATGTAACCCCTTATAAAATTTCGCAAAAATAGCCAAAAAATCGATTTCTTCCGGACATGTCTAGAAAGATTCGCATGCTGATGCTGATCAAGAATATATATGGTTTATGGGGTCGGAAATGATTCCTTGACTTGGAAAAATATTATTTTGTATTAGAAAATCTGATTTTTTATATAAAAAAACTTCTTGATATTTTTTAAATTAAAAATATCATAACTCGGGCAAAAGAGCATTAATTTTAAATCGGAAAACTGTTCTGTGCAAGATTTTCTACAGTTAATAAATCTGCGTACTTCATTTAAAAATTTTGAAAATTCAATTTTTTATCGAAACCAAAAATTTTAATGATGTAACCCCTTATAAAATTTTTCAAAAATGGCCAAATTCCTGACATATCTAGAAAGATTCCACTGTTTATGCTGATCAAGAAAATATATGGTTTATAGGGTCGGAAACGTCTCCTTCACTGCGTTGCAAACTTCTGAGTGAAATTATAATAAATATAGTACAAAGGCAACAGCAATTGTATAGATTCTGACTAAAATTATATTACCCAAGGGTTGCAAGGGTATAAAAATTAATATAAATAGAAACTTAATTTTATGTAAACCCAACACAAATGATCCTATTGTTTTCTATATTCTATTCCTCAATTATAATAATAATTGATTTTACAACCTTTTTAAATCTCAAATAAAATATATTCTCGCACCTGTTTCGATTTGACTGAAAACCCCAAAGATTATGATTAACTTGGATCACTGCTGGGTATCCCCCGACAACGACGACACCCGTCAGCCGGCTGACGCAATCCACCTGGAGTGGCCGGCCGGCCGGCAGGCAGGCTCATTAATGCCCCTCCAATGCCTAACCTAACCGGCGGATGCAATGCCTCGTTAAGTGGTGCCAGTGACATCACTTATTGGGGACAGGGATCGCAATTGCAATGACACTTACCATGCCGTGCCCGCTGCCATGAAAATGGAAATTGCCTGCTCCAGAGGCAGCCTCTCCTGCCATGTGACTCGTGTCCAGGCCATCGGAGCTGGCGGTGCTTGAATGGCTGTGGTTCAGGCTGTGACTGTGCCCGTTCCCGTGACTCTGGTTGTGATTCTGTGTGTGGCTGTGGTGGCTGCCCGTTTCCACTGCCGTGATAAGCTGCTTGATGTATAGGGTGGCCAGGCGCAGGGTGTCCAACTTGGAGAGTTTCGTGTCCGGCGGAATGTTGGGCAGCTTGGTCTTGAGGCGTCCGTAGGCGCTGGATAGCACCCGCATACGCATTCGCTCCCGGGCATTGGCCGCATTCCGTTGCACCGGCGGCTGGGAGCCTGAGAAATTGGAGGAAATTATTTAAATTAAAAGTGGAAAATGTCACTAAACAAATTTAATAAAAATTAGAAATTATGTGTTTTTTAAACACGATTTCTTGTGTTTAAAAAAGCCTCTTTAGATTTTGTTTTTTAATGCTATTTCTTTTATAAAAATAATATCTAAAATTGTTTAAAAACTCACTATGTGAACTAGCATCCTCATCAAAGTCTTCATCGTAGAGATCCAAGGGGCTGGAGGCGCGCTTCTTGCGGGGCATTTTCACACAATTTCTTAAAAAACTATCACAAGTATCACCACTCTCTTTATATTCGGTATATAAAATATAGATATTCAATTCCAAACACAGAATTTTCAAAACTCGAAAAGCATCCAAATTTTTTAAAAACCAAACGAAGACATCCGTTCCGCGGCGCACATAGAGCACATCTGCCAAGGCTTGCCCGGAGAGGCCTCCTTTTTGAGCACTCAGCTCCTCGGCGCTCAGCTCTCCAGATTCCGTCTATTTCTGGCACCTCCGGTGGGCGTGCCCTGCTCTGCCGGCCATCCCAATTGGCGGAGGAAGCCAAACACATGGTGCGATCTGCGGTCTCTTTCTCGGATGCCTGGCTGCCTCTGCGGGCTTCTGGCTGCCACCACATTGGCCCAGTTTGCTTTACAAAATGAAACGCTGCTCTGGGTGTTGTTTATCCGGTGCTACGGACTATTTTCGAGTTGTGTCACAAGGATGTGCGATGTGCGGCGAGTGCGAAGCGTGCCAAGACTCCCGATCCAGATGGTACCACCTGGTTTGTGGGTCGCCTGACAGTACATTTAGGGATCAGCGATCGGCATTTAATGGCAGACAAAACGGGAGTGATCTTAATCCTGGGATGCAATGGCATATCCTGTTCTTGGGGTCAGAGAGTGGATGTCAAACGAATTGAGGTCTGAAGTTTAGTTGGGGGGAGATTCATGGAGTCTTTAGTGAGTTTTTACTTGGAAAACAAAAGGATCTTGCTTCCAGAAAGAGAATATTGGAGAATATGAAAAGGGAGTGTAGGAATCTCTCCCATTTAATGTTCTAGAAAATATTAAGTCTATGTGCCCAAAAAAACGATGCAAATTTAAATTTTCTTAATAATTTTAAACCTATGAATTAAACTTTATAACAGCCCTAAAAATCTAAAGTTTATATGTCGCCATTGCATTTTTCAAACAATGTATTCCCCCAATCATCATTTAAAATCCACAACTTTGAATCTCTTAAAAATAATTAAAAACATTTCTATATATAAACCCAAATTGCTCCGATTAAATTGTTTTTTGACCTAGGAGGACGATCCGAACTAATTTTACTGCTGGGCAGGCACACCCCCCTGATAAGGAATATATAGCAAGAGCTTCAGCCTTGATTAGGGCCTCCGACTGACGCCAAGACGTCATGAGGTTTATCAGGATGCCTGACCCGTGGGATCATCAGACCCATTCAGCCAGAGATTACCGCAGGCGAATCGTATTCTGATTCCACAAAATTCAGTTCAAAATCTTGAGTCGTGGCGCGAGGCAGCATCTCGAAATGTGGCGCCAACGCATCCTGCAGCAGGCATCCCGCCGGGGGATGAGCAAGCAAACCAAAGGAGTCGGAGAAGGAGGAGCAGCCAGGAAGGAGCCCAGTGGTTCGTTGCCTTCATCGGCGGATGTGGTGGTGATTGGCGGCGGGTCCGCCGGCTGCCACACTTTATACCACCTGGCTCGACGTGGTGTCAAGGCCGTGCTCCTGGAGCGTGCTCAACTCACGGCTGGCACCACCTGGCACACCGCCGGCCTGTTGTGGCGTCTGCGTCCCAACGATGTGGACATCCAGCTGCTGGCCAACTCGCGCCGGATGCTGCAGCAATTGGAGGAGGAAACGGGCCTAGATCCGGGTTGGATACAGAATGGAGGCATCTTCATTGCGCACAACGAAACGCGACTGGACGAGTACCGACGGCTGGCCACGGTGGGCTCTGCTCTGGGCATTGAGAACCAAGTGCTGAGTCCGGAGGAGACACAGAAACTGTTCCCCCTCCTCGATCCCTCGGCTTTTGTGGGAGCTCTCTACTCACCCGGCGATGGTGTCATGGATCCTGCCATGCTCTGTGCGGCTCTCAAAAAGGCAGCCACCAATCTGGGCGCCCAAGTGATAGAGAACTGTGGAGTGGATGACCTCCTGCTGGAACAGAACTCCAGGGGTAAGAAGGTAGTGGGTGTGTCCACTTCCTTTGGCGATATCAGGTCAGAGAAGGTTGTGAATGCCACGGGCGTTTGGGGACGCGATCTGGTGGCCAAGCATGGCTCCCACCTGCCGTTGGTGCCCATGAAGCATGCCTACATTGTGTCCGAGTCGATTCCTGGCGTCCGTGGGCTGCCCAACATCAGGGATCACGACTACTCCACCTACTTCCGGATCCAGGGCGATGCCATCTGCATGGGTGGCTACGAACCGAATCCCATACTCCTGGAGCCAGTGCCCAAGGACTTTCACTTTGGCCTCTACGAGCTGGACTGGTCCGTGTTCGAGGCTCATGTCGAGGGCGCCCAGAAATTGTGTCCCAGCTATGCCAAGTACGGAGTCAAGAGCACGGTCTGCGGTCCTGAATCCTTCACCCCCGACCACAAGCCTTTAATGGGTCCTGATCCTGTTCTGAGTGGACTCTACCACAACTGCGGCTTCAACTCGGCGGGCATGATGTTCGGCGGCGGTTGCGGAGAGCAGACGGCCCTCTGGGTTACCAAGGGACAGCCGGACCTGCCCATGTTCGGCTTTGATCTGCGACGCTTCACCCAGGAGCAAGGCAAGGCCACTCAGTGGATCAGGGAGAAGTCGCACGAGAGCTACGTGAAGAACTACAGTATGGTGTTCAAGTACGATCAGCCATTGGCGGGACGTGACTTCCAAAAGGATCCGCTCCATGACGAGATGATGCAGGCGGGCGCCGTGATGGAGGAGAAGCAGGGCTGGGAGAGGCCGGGCTTCTTTCTGCCTGCAAACTCCAAGAAGGCGGTGGTTCTGCCCTACGACTGGTATGGCAGCTATGGCCACCAAAGGATCCAAGACAGCGAGTACGAGCGGGTTTTGGAGGGAGATCTACACTACAGCAGATTCTCGGAGCACCATGAACTGGTAAATAGAATTTCTTCGTGGTTATATGGTTCTTTATAGACAATTTTTCCGTTTAGATTGGATCAGAGGCCTTGGCCTGCCGCAACAATGCCGTTGTCTTCAACATGAGCTACTTTGCCAAGCTGCTGCTGGATGGTTCCCAGGCCCAGGAGGCCGCCGACTGGCTCTTCTCCGCCAACACCAATCGGGAGCCCAGCAAGTGAGTTCCAAGCAGTACCCTCCTCTACCCAACTGTAACCAATTTTTCTTCACTCCCAGAACCGTTTACACCTGCGCCCTCAATGATGCTGGCGGCGTAGAGGCCGATGTGACCATCTCCCGCCTGGAGTCCGGCTCAGGCCAAATCCATGATCCCAAAATCAATGGTCAAGGCTTTTATATTGTGGCTGGCGGAGCCTCTGCCTTTTACACGTATAGCGCTCTCCAGGCCGAGATCCGGCGCAAGGGTTTCAATGCCAATCTCAAGGACTTGACCGCCGAGTTGGGTGTCATTTCCATCCAGGGACCCAACAGCCGAAAGATCCTGCAGCCCCTGATCGACTGCGATCTGTCGGACGAGCAGGTGCCCCCGAATAGCACACGACTGGCCAGCTTTGGGGATGTGGGCGTGCGCCTGCTCCGAGTGAGCTTCGTGGGCGAGCTGGGCTATGAGCTCCATGTGCCCAAGAAGGACTGTGTGGCTGTCTATAGGAACCTAATGAAGGCGGGCGCAGGGCAGGATCTACGCAATGCTGGCTACCGCTCGCTGTACTCCCTTAGCAGCGAGAAGGGCTACCATTTGTGGAGCTTCGATCTGCGGCCGGATGACACTCCCCTGGAGGCTGGTCTGGGATTCACCTGTCGCCGCAATGGAGCTGACTACCGAGGCAAGGCAGCCATAGAAAAACAGCGAGCGGAGGGCTTGAAGAAGCGCCTGGTCTACCTGACCCTCCAAGATCAGGTGCCCATTTGGGGCCTAGAGGGTGTCTACCGCAACGGCGAGCCCGTGGGCATTCTGCGGCGTGCAGAGTATGCCTATACCCTAGGCAAGTCCCTGGGACAGGCCTACATCTCCCGACCCGATGGCCAGCTCATCGATGTCGAGTACATCAAGGGCGGGGAGTACGAGGTGGATATTTTGGGCAAGAAATACCGCGCCGACTGCCACTTGCGCAGCCCATTCGATCCCACCGGCCAACGGGTTCTCGGTAACTATGCATCGGAGTCCAAGGCCAATAAATAAAGACGTGACTGTGTGTCTGGCTTCTAAGAACTCGTTTTCATTTGGTTTGCGGGGAATCTCCAGGCCACTCGATGTGAAGTGGCCATAAATTACTTTCGCCGCTGACAGAGGTTCGGAGAAAGGTCCGAGGAAAGGCAGACAGGCAGTCTGCCTGCGGTTTACGGCTCAATTAATTCCCCTGTCCAACTATTGTGACATAATACCTCTTCGGTTTCTCCCAGGAATTTCTCGTCCACTTTCTGGACGTAATCCTAGAGCTCTGGCTCTTTCCCTGGCCAGACAAACTGTCGCCTTTCGAGTGGTTTTTATGTTCTTAAATGCTACTCTATTTAGTTTGTGATCTTGAGGTAATACTTTCAGCTAAGATCTTAGTAAAACTTAAGACTTTCTAGGCCTCCATGGTCACGGTGGAGGCTGTGTGCGAGGGACTATCAAAGTGACTGGCCACCACCTCCTCCAGCGTCACATCAAACTTGAAGATGGGTCGCAGGTCATTCTTCAGGCGACAGACCACTCCAGCGGAGGCAATGTTCCAGTTCCAGCAGATCATGGCGCAGTTTAGGGCCTCCAAATCCCCCTTCATGGAGACAATGTTCTAGAAAGGAATACATTGAGATTATTCAGGACATTAATCACTCAAAATAAAGCTAATTACCATGGCCACTGTGTAGTCAATCGAGTTGATCTCCTCGCCGCGTATGACCACCAATTGGGTCTCTCCGTTCTGCTGGTTGAGGAAGCGAACCACCTTCTCCTTGAGGTATTCTGCAGAGGCATAGTCCAGCTTCTGTTTCACATCCACGAGACCCACTTCATGGCCATTGACCTTCTCCAACTTGATGTCCACATGGGGACGGGCACTGCTGTAGAGGATGTACACCATATTGGCAGCTATGCCACACAGAATGCCATACTCCAGGCTCCAGAACATGCAGGTGATCAGCGTGACCGTAAAGGGAAAGAGATCCTTCTCTGCAATATGTTTTAAGGAGTTTTAAACACTATTTCAAGGGCTAAAAGAATTAATTTTTTACTCACTTTTTGACTGCCACATATCCTTGATCTTGTGCAGCTCCACCAGGGATATCATCGCCGCTATAATGATGGCAGCCAGCGTGCACTTGGGTATAAAGTAAAAGGTTTGTGTGAGGAAAGCCAAGGCCATTAGCACCAAAGTGCCAGTCACTGCACCGCCCAGAGGTGTCTTCACTCCACTGGCATTATTCACTGCTGTTCGGGTAAATGATCCGGTCACGGGCATGGACAGCACAAAGCTGCCCATGATGTTGCACATGCCCAGAGCCACCATCTCCTGCGAGGCGTCTACAATTTTTCCCTTGGCTGTACATACAAAAAAAATTAATTCTTTTTAATTCAAGAAGGGAAGAAAAGAAAATGTATAGAAACCTACAAAAAGCCTTCGATATAGCCACTATTTCCAGGATGGAGATCAGCGGAATGGAGCCCAGCGAGGCGCCCACTGTGCTGATCATGTCGCCAAAGGACACGTACTCCCCATCCACAGTGGTGCTAAAGGGCGGCAGTCGGAAGGGCGGCACTCCTGCCGTAATATTGCCGGTGACCCGGAAGGGTTGATTTCCATCTCTGCTCAGGATGTAGGCCAAAAAGGTGCCAAAGATCACAGCCAGGGCATTGCGAGAGAGACCCAGGTACTTCCAGAAAATGCGATTGCCCCACTTGATGTCCTTGACAAGCTGTAGGGAATATATCTCAATATTTACTAGATCTTCTAGAGAGTTGTTTTTAAGTGAAAAGTTTGATTCCTCTTCCGCACAGCAACACTTTCAAAAGAATCTCTCGACAGTAGCACCCAGAACAAGGTTAATTGTCTTCAATTGGAAAGGGAACCACCCATTATAGGTATTAATTTATATATTCACCGTCATGAGGAGCAGGAAAACAAGAGAAGAGATGCCCAGCAGGGCATCCCAGATCCTTATAGAGTCCAAGTGCGTGAAGAAGTTCTTCCAGGCGGGCAGCAAGTCATTCGAAGGACCTGTTCAGTACAAGGATTCCTTAAGTTAGACTGTACTTGGAGTACTAAAACCTCAACTTACTGGACAGACCCACAATATTGTTGATCTGGGCACTTCCTATGGTGGTGGCCGCCGCCATGGTGAAGCCTGTGATTACGGGTATCGAGATGAAGCGCACCAGCACGCCCATGTTGAGCAGCCCAAGCAGCAGGACAATGCAGCCAGCCAAAAAGCACACTAAAACAGCATAGTCCGGACTAATGGTGGCATATTGGTTGACCATCAGGGCCATGATGGCTGTGGTGGCTACACAAAAGACAGTAGAAGATTAAAACCCTTTTTTAACTTGTAGAAATATATCCACTTACCAATGGTGACATCCTTGCAGGAGCCAAAAACAATGTAGGTGAAGCAGCCCATAAAGGCAGAGTACAAGCCATACTGTGGCTCCAAACCAGCCACCACACCATAGGCTATGGCCTGCGGAATAGTGGTCAGGCCCACGGTGAAGCCAGCTATAAAATCCTGCATGATGTACTCCAGCCGGTAGCGGGGCAGCCAGTTGAGAATCGGGAACTTGCTGGTCACGGTCGCCGGCCGACACAGCTTGCGACCTCCATCCCTGATAAGCGAGCCCAGGCTGGGCAACTGCTCCCGGTAGAGATTATCTGTGGAGCCATGGAAGTTTTCGATCAGTGGCCACCAGCAGCGATAACCCCTCCTCTTCTTCTTAAGCTAATCTGCCCTGGCAGCAACAGGGCTCGGACATCTGGTGATCTTGCTTTTATTGACATTGGCCTGGTCATCTTATCGGTTGGGAGCCGGTAGACTGGACTACCCTACAGTGATAAGGCCCCTCCTTGAGATACTCTTTTATGAATTGGCACGTATTTGAAACGAGGCAGTCACTCCGATTACAGGCCCACTTTCTCGCCATAAATCCACGCTGACCCTGAGAATGCGCAGCCGGAAAAACCCCGGGGGGGACCAGTTACTCACCCTCATCGGCTCTCATGGCGGATGATGCGCTTGTTCCGCGTTCGGAAAACTAACTAAGCACGATCGGAGATCGAGCAATCAATATAACGATAGCGCGAGCTTAGGCAACCGCTCAGTGTGCCGCTCCAGACGCGACTGCCGACGAGAACTGAGTCGGCAACGGTCGTGAGTGCCGCTCGTGTGTTGGCCATATATGATTTACAAGAGCAGGTACTGAGGCGGCTTATCTTGTTAGCCAAGTTATATTCCAGCGTTCAACAATTACAGAGATAACTTGGTCGATTGCCCCGCAACCCAGACGTAGCCACAACAAAGGCAATCCTATCCCAACTTAATATCAATCTTAATTCCTAAGAAAACTTCTTATGACTGAACCGCTGGAGACTCCTCTTCGCTGCTCTTCCAGAGCTTCACAGTAAAGCCGTTCTGCAGGGCCCCCGTGGCTATCACATTCTCCTTGGGATGGCAGTCAGTGCAGATCACTTGGTCACCCTCGGTGTCCGCCTTCTGGACCAGCTCCTTGTTCTGCAGCTTCCAGATGCACAGCGACTTGTCCTCGCTGCCCGACACAATCCAGATGCCGCCAGTGATCGAGAAGTTTGAGTTGATGCAGTAGGCCTCGTTCACATGTCCGCGGTACGAGCGCAGGCACTTGGCCTTGAAGAAGTTCCACAGCTTGAGGGTGCAGTTCAGGGTGGAGGCCAGGACATACCGGCCGTTGGGCGAGAACTTCACATGGCCCACCGGCGCATTGTCGCCGTCAATGAGGGTCTTTAGCAGCTGACAGGTGGCCGTGTCCCACACGCGGATCAGGCCGTCGAAGCTCCCAGTGGCGAAGAGAGTGCCATCGCGATTGAAGTCCAACGAGGTAATGGGATCATGATGGGCTGGCACCACCTTCAGGGCCCGGTTCGTTCGCACATCCCACAGGCGGACAGTCTCATCGAAGCTGCAGGAGGCCAGCAAGTTTCCGGACGGATTGAAGCGGCACGCGAAGACCTGAAGGCTGTGCCCTCGCAGGGTCTTTTGACATGTCCCGAGGCGAGGATCCCACAGACGCACGGTCTTGTCGTCGCTACAGCTGGCCAAGAGGTGTCCCTGCGACCAGGTCAAATCATTAATTCCCACCTTATGCCCAGACATCGATTGCTGAAACTTGGCTGTGTTAACGTCCCACAGCATCAGGAGCGTGTCAGACGAGCTGCTGACCAGCTGCTGGCCATCCGGACGAAACTTTACAGACGTGATGCATGACTTGTGTCCGGACAGGGTGCTCTTTACGGCGTAGCCCGGGCAATCGGGCTTCGGGGGCAAAGGCACCCTGAAGATGTCCTCATCCGCTTCCTGATTACCAGGGGTTACCGGTGGTTCCTCGGCAGGATTTATTGTCTCTGTGCAGTCCATTTCCACCGATTCCATTTGTTCAGTCATCTTCAAAAGCGTGAAAAGGGGTATTAATCCAGTATGTGACATTTACTTAACAAAATAACTTACTTTTCTCTTGCTACTAAAATTATTTAAGTAATTTAAAGCAAATTAATATTATGACGATGATTGAGAAAGGCTCTGTCATTGCCAAGGATCTGTCAAACTTATTTAAAGCTTTTCAACCCTGCAAGTCTAAATTGACATTTTATTAAATCCCTAAAATTCATCTTACTAACCACTGAAGGGAAATACAAATTTTTACCTCTTCTACAAAATCCAGTCAAGCTCTTAGTTAAATTTAGCTTTTTACTGCAGTTATAATTTAAGAGACTTCAAACAAATATGTTAAACCAAAAACTAAAGGCGCAATTTCCATTCATTAAGTAGTTTTATTACAACAATATTTGTCGGGTGAAAACAAATGATAATTATTTCGCTTACTATTGCTCTTTCGCCAAACTGTTTGCCCAGACAACCCAGGGCAATGATAAAAATATATAAGGTCTTATAATAGGAAATAATCTCTTTTGAGAACGGTATTGTTCTCCCTTTAGCTTGTCTTTCTGAGATCAGAGTCAGTTCTGCAAAAGTATATCCCCCTCAAGAAGTATTAAATTAAAAATCAGACTGAGAGAGGCGAGCAAACAAAAGCAATTAATTTGCTGGCAAATATTTGGCTACAAGGCGGCCTATTTGCACAGCCTGCTGTGGGGCCCAGACTTGTTAACCAAACATTAAACATTGCCGCCTATATTTGTCACCTAATTATTTGACGATTCTGCAAAAACTTACACATGTACATGTGGTCCGAACCGGAGAAGGAGCGATAATAAAGTCAGTGAACTGGCAATTTGCATGATAATTTGCCAGACGAGACGGTTTTAAGGAATGCTACCAATAATTCTCATTATATTTATATGCTTGGACACAACCTTATTTAGGTATTAAGTAACTTTAACTAAACTAACAAATAACAAGAGAGAAAGCTAACTTTGGCCAGCCAAAGTTTGTATACCCTTGCAGGTAACAATTAAAATATATCATAACTAAGCCAAAAATGCATTAATTTCGATTCGGAAAGCAGTTTTGTGTTAGTTTTTATTAATTTAAAAAAACTGCAAACCAAATTTAAAATTTTAAGAAATCAAAATTTTTGGGCATTTTTGCTAATTTTAATGATGTAACCCCTTATCAAATTTCGCAAAAATGGCCAAAAAATCGATTTCTTCCGGACATGTCTAGAAAGATTCCACTGTTGATGCTGATCAAGAATATATATGGTTTATGGGGTCGGAAATGATTCCTTGACTTAGAAAAATATTATTTTGTATTATGAAATCGGATTTTTATACCCTTGCAGGGTATTATAATTTCAGTCAGAAGTTTGCAACGCTGTGATGGAGACCTTTCCCACCCTACAAAGTAATTTTATATAATTTTAGGATTGTCAGAGATGAAGCTGGAGGAGCGAGCAGATGGCTGGACAGACCTCAACCGGATGGCAGTGGAGGACGGTGATCGGATCTTGGCTCCGGGCTATATGAAAGCCTGCAGAAGGCGTAAATAGTTAAAATATTTATAAATACAATTTAAATATGTAAATGTAATTGATGGAACACACAAATATGAATCAATAAAAGATGGTGAATTCAATGTGCAATTGTTTGGTGAAGGCGGCATTTATTTGGGATCGTTTGGGGAAAAATCTAATTATTTTGAAAGCCAAATCTAAATTTTTAATTTTTTTCTGAATTTTAAACATTTTTTTCGGATGTCTTACAATTTTTCTAAATTAAAAATTTTTTTTCTAAATATTTAAAACTTTTCTGAATTCTTAAAATTTTGCCTGAATTTTTAAATTTTTTTTTTAGATTTTTTATATTTTTTAGAATATTTTTTAGAATTTGTTACATTTTTTTAAATGTAACTGCCAAATTTGAATTTGAATTTAACTGTCATGAGTGATGCTCATCTGGCTATATTTCAATATTGGAGGTCAATAAAGTCGGGTTTAATGTCAGTGATGCGCATGTGCATCAGTGATGCTCATCTAGCTATTTTTTATTTATTGGTAGAAAATTGCATCTCACTAGCTGCCAGTGATGAGCATCACTGATGAAAGTGAGCATCACTGATGGAAGTGAGCATCACTGATGGAAGTGAGCATCACTGATGGAAGTGAGCATCACTGATGGAAGTGAGCATCACTGATGGAAGTGAGCATCACTGATGGAAGTGATCATCACTGATGGAAGTGAGCATCACTGATGGAAGTGAGCATCACTGATGGAAGTGAGCATCACTGATGGAAGTGAGCATCACTGATGGAAGTGAGCATCACTGATGGAAGTGAGCATCACTGATCGAAGTGAGCATCACTGATGGAAGTGAGCAAAAATTTCCATCCAATTTGGCCGTTGCCCAAACTGGGGTAACAGGCGAACAGAAACCAGCAGCAAGCAACTGAAAACTGGTATAAACTGTTATAAAAACATTTGGGCAAAAATAATCATTGGTATAAACTGTTATATTTCATTTTATGCATTTATACCTATTTGTTGCCGACAACAACAGCTTATGGCAACAACAACCTTTTTAAAACAACATCCCTACAGCAGCGCATCCAAATTTCCGAACATTTCCATGCAAATTGCCCGTTTCCCAAATTGGGGTACCAGGCGAACAGAAACCAGCAGCAAGCAACTGAAAACTGGTATAAACTGTTATAAAAAGTCCGAGTTTCAAACCATTTATGAGCCGGCGCAAGTTAGCGGAGACTCAAACCTTTTGAATCTATATTTAGGTGTTATTTTACAACTGCACCTGGGCACACTGAAACTGATCGTCGTTAAATTCAAATTTGACAGTTAAATTAAAATTCAAATTTGGCAGTTACAACATTTAAAAAAATTTAACAAATTCTAAAAAAAATTCTAAAAAATATAAAAAATCTGAAAAAAATGTTAAAAATGACTCCTTCACTGGGAAATCAACTTCTGACTGAAAGTATGCTCTTAAAAAATAAGCAATAGTGGCGCATCTTTTGGGCCAAAGCCAAAGCTTATCTTCTTGTTTATCAAATATAATATACACTCAAAGTTAATCCAAAGTTAGTCTTTGACCCAATAACACCTTTATAAACCCCATACCTTACTCAATAAAATAAGTACGAAAATATATATATAAGCTTTTGTTATTATTTTAGAATTTTGGTATAAATTTTATGAAAATCGGACAACTATATCATATAGCTGCCATAGAAGCGATCGGTAGATGTTGAGAAAATGTAAAGCTAGGAATGTAACTGTAACTATCAAACTGTAAACATAATAAGTATAGTTAAAATGTAATAAAATAATATCTGCAAGGGTATACAAACTTCGGCGTGCCGAAGTTAGCTTCCTTTCTTGTTTATATCAAAAAAACTTCTTGATTTTTTCTAAAATTAAAAATATCTAACTCGGCCAAAAGAGCATTAATTTTAAATCGGAAAACTGTTCTGTGCAAGATTTTCTACAGTTAATAAATCTGCATACTTCATTTAAAAATTTTGAAAATTCAATTTTTTATCAAAATCAAAAATTTTAATGATGTAACCCCTTATAAAATGTTGCAAAAATGGCCAAAAAATCGATTTCTTCCGGACATATCTAGAAAGATTCCCCTGTTGATACTGATCAAGAATATATACACTTTATAGGGTCGGAAACGTCTCCTTCACTGCGTTGCAAACTTCTGACTGAAATTATAATACCCTGCAAGGGTATAATAATATTGTATTTCGCCTCATCATTTGGGGGCGTTATTCTTTGGGATAACGCCTCTGTTTTCGGAAAAAATGACTTGTAGAAATTCAACAACAATATAAGTAATTGTGGCTATCAAGGAGCAGCCATAAGTGAAAAGGCCCACCATGTGGGTAGCTCTGAAGTTACTCCTAGCTTGGACACAAATTTTAATCAGTAGTGTCTGTGGTTCCCCCCTGGAATTTATTATCCGGGCTGCTGAGAAATCTTCGCTCTCTGTGCTGGTAATACACAATGACTACTGTCCCGAATCCTGGTTAAAGGATGTCTTTGGGCAACCAAGAATACCGGTGGTCTTACGCTCAGTCAAAGATTTTCACCCAATAGAACAGGACTTATCTCGACCTTTGCATGTTCTTTGCCTGCCTGGGGGTGAGCTGCAGTTGGACCAAGAACTTCTCCAAAAGTTGGCCACTTCACTGGAGGTGTTTCCCCAGCAGAAGGTCGTCTTGTATGTAGCCAACAGCTCATCAGATCGTGCCAGAATGGATGCTCTACTAGAAACCAGCGTTAATTTCCGACTCCCCAACATAATCGGTCTCTTGGCTTCAGATGAGTTGCTCTACTTCTACAAATACCAACCATATCCTAGCTTCCGAACGGAGCAAAATCCTATACAATCCCCCCACATCTTTGACCAACGGTTCCCCAACATGCAGGGTCATCCGCTGATAGTGATGCCCGACCAATGGCTGCCTCGCACGATCCTGTATGTGGACAGACGCACGGGTAGGAAAATCCTGGCCGGATCCGTGGGTCGTTTCATTCATGTTCTGGCCTGGAAACTGAACGCCACACTGCAGCTGACTCAGGAGGTCACTCCAGGACGATTCTTCCAAACGAACGAGCTTCGGCAGCTGGGCAAAGATATGTCCATTGATGTTTCGGCTAGCATGACGATGCTGGAGCGAGAAGAGCAGTTGCCCCGCACAAGCTATCCCCTGGAGCTGACCCACATTTGCCTGATGATACCCGTGGCCCAAGAAATTCCTCTGAAGGATATATATTGGCACCTGAGCAGCCTTACCAATATGCTCCTGGCCGTGTTTGTCGTCTATGCCTTTGGCTTTGTTCTGTGCCTCCTTCAGCTGTTGAGGAGCGATAATGTCCGCCCCGTGGACTTTTTGCTTAACGATAGGGCGCTGCGTGGAGTTTTGGGTCAGTCCTTCAGACTGCCTTGGCCAAGGAGAGGCTGTTCCAGCCGATGGATCTACCTGATGCTGGGCATTGTGGGGCTCAACGTAAGCAGCATCTTTGAGGCGGCTCTGGAGACAATGATGGCGCATCCACCGCGGGAGTTTCAGGCGCGAAGCTTCGCTGATCTGCGACGCACGAGAATGCCATTGGTGACCACGCCCGATGACTTCCACACTGTGCTGGATAAGCAACTCAACCTCCTAGTGGTCAATGTGAGTGAGTATCATCACCTGAGGAGTGGCGGCAACGCCAGCAGCGCCTACTTCGCCTCTCGTCTCCACTGGACGCTGTTCAGTGAGCAGCAGAAGCGTTTCACCCGCCAGCTCTTTATCTACTCCATGGACGCCTGCCTGTGGTCACTGGCCCTCCTCTCGTTCCAGTGGCCACAGAGCTCCTGGTTCGCCGAGCCCGTCAGCAAGCTGATACTGGAGATAAGGGCCAATGGGCTGTACCAATTCTGGGTGGGAATGCATCATTACGATATGACCGAGGCGGGTTTGGCCAGCCTAGATGATCCCAGTCTTAGGGAGACGGTAAAGGGATCTAAAGCGCTGCGGTTGGAGGATTTGGAATGGGTGTGGCTGGCCTATGGAGGGCTCGTGGCTGCTTCCTTGGCAGTTTTCTTGCTGGAAATGTTCTGGAGAAGGCTTGGGTTTCAAATTCACACATTTATTCGAGAATTCCATGCACTTTTTAACAATTATGAAGCAAATTAAAACACATAACTTTAACGATTAAAATTTAAAAAAGATGTAAACTACTCATCGTCATCGATGATCTCTATGGGTGACCCCGACTCCTCGGGGTCGTCATCCCCACTCTCCCTGCCACTGTTGGGATTTCTTAGTTCCTCAATCTCATCCCTGAGGTCTTCGATTTCCTCCTCGTAGTGACGCTTTTGGGCAGAGAGCTGTGAACGATCGGCTATTAGTATTTAAGAATATTTAAAACAAAGAAAATTGCCTTACCTTAAAGTCTGCTTCCCTTCCTGCAATCAGCAGCTTCTTCTCGCACTCATCCTCGGCCTGTTTCCTGTTGTTTTTAATTATCTCCTGGTAAGTTTCCGAAAGCTCCTTGCGCAGCTTCTCTTCCAGCAACTGCATTTGCAGCACATGATCGTGCTTGAGGCGCTCAACCTCCAGCCGCAGGTAAACAACCTCATCCTCCAGCTCCTTGGTGTACTCGTTACCTCCCTCATCAGCTGCCATTTTCGAGAACTCCATGAAGCCAGCATAGCTAATCCGATGCTGCTTGATCACAGGCTCCTTGAACACAATATTCTTGGCAATCGAGGCAAAGTTTAGGACATTCAGGTTCTCCTCGTAGTATTTATCCACAGGAGTGACCGTGACGATCATGGCCAACTTCTCCTTGCCCACCAGCGCCGACTGCAGCAGCATCGTTAGCTTGGAGTCCCGATACGGTATGACATCGGCGTTCTTCTTCTTCTGGGCCGTGCTGGCCGCATCCAGGCAACGGCCCAGGACCATCAGTGAGGTGTTGATATTCTTGGCCTCCTTGAGCCGCAGGCCAGTGGTGCCAGTGTTGTTTACCCGCTCGGAGCCCGCCAAGTCGCAAAACTTGTACGAGCTCTGTGTGGTGATGCCCGATCGGTTATATTTCAGTATGTCTACGGTGAAGACGCAATGCGATCGGCTGGAGTTGGCGTTGACCGAGGTGGCGGCGTATGTGGAACGCTGCTGGCCCAATCGCAGCAATTTCAAGGCTTCCTCGCTGCTTTTCACGAAGACACTGGTCAGCCCCTTGACAAACACATGACCCTTATTGCACACGATCTTCAGGTTCTTGCGCGGCCCCTCGGCCATCTTTGTCTGCTTCGGTGGAATGGCCAGAAGGTCGTGCACCAGTTCGTTGTAGATTTCCACAAAAGACACCCAAATCAGGACAGACTCTTCGCTGTTCGCCTTCGTCTCGAACGTGTGATCTTCGTTGATCATCTGTCTTAGGCGCTGATAAGGAGCGCCCATGTCAGGACATAGATCCAGCAGCTTCTTGCGGATTTGCAGCTCCTTGAGGGAGGCGTCGTCCTGCAGAAAGACAATGCAGCCATTGATCAGCTTCAACTTGGGCGAGTGATACACCGTGTCCTTGCAGATGGTGAAAATGTTCTCCAAGGCACGGGGAATGATGCCAGCGCTCACATCATCGCCTGGGGAATAGATTTGATTTAGTAATGGGTCAAGGGAAACGGTATAAAGGACACTCACCGAGCAGGGTATAGGTTTTCCCAGAGCCGGATGTGCCGTAGGTCATTATGGTCACGCACTCTTCCTCACAGATCCTGGGGCCCACGCAAATGTCGTAGATGTCGCGCTGGTCCACATAGCTATCGAAGATGGAGGTGAAGCCAAAGTGCTTCTCCATACGGTTCACATTGTTGCTGGTGGAGTCCACCTTGTAGGTGGTGATGAGCACATTCCCATCATCAGAGATTGAGTACGCCTTTGAGGATTCGCTGACGGGGCGCAGACGCAGAAAGACTTGCGGCCCTGCCTCCAGGCTCGTAGTCTCGGCGTTGCTCGTGGCGGTTGATGCAGTATCGATGCCACTCGCCGTGTACTCCGATTCCGTGTCAGAGCCTTCGGAAAAGCTCTCCTCCTCGGACTCCTGGATGTGTTCAAACAGACGCATCTTTTTGTTGGGTCGCGGGCGGAAGCGACGGTCGATGGAGGGTTCGCGAGCCACCAAGAATGAGCGCACCTCCCGCTTCTGCAACTCCGACTTATCTTGGTGTTCCATGATGCGACTTACACTGTTAATAAAGGATTTAAGGTTTCTGGCTTCCTTTCGCGCGAATTTTCATGCGCTTAGCTAGGGCTGGAAACTGTTCGCAGAGGTAACACCAGGGCTGGAGTGTTTCCGATAGTTCTTATCGATATCGATTGCAGCAATCGAAATCAAAATTAATTCTAAATGACAGTTTATTTTTGAAAGACTAGATTTGGACTTGTTGAACCAGAAATATTCATAACACGTGAGGCAGAAGTACATTCATACCCTTTTTTAAGGACTTTCAATGGTTCCAATGGCTTAACTCACTGAAGGAGCTATAGACATCACCTGAAGCTCTATAGGTTCTGAGATTTGGCAGGATCAGAGCTAATCACTGACACCACCTGCCTCCGTTTCAAGAAGGCTCTTAAACAAAAACAAGAAATAAAGCTAACTTTGGCCAGCCAAAGTTTGTATACCCTTGCAGGTAACAATTAAAATATATCATAACTAAGCCAAAAATGCATTAATTTCGATTCGGAAAGCAGTTTTGTGTTAGTTTTTATTAATTTAAAAAAACTGCATACCAAATTTAAAATTTTAAGAAATCAAAATTTTTGGCCATTTTTGCTCATTTTAATGATGTAACCCCTTATCAAATTTCGCAAAAATGGCCAAAAAATCGATTTCTTCCGGACATGTCTAGAAAGATTCGCATGTTGATGCTGATCAAGAATATATATGGTTTATGGGGTCGGAAATGATTCCTTGAAGAATATTATTTGAATGAAAAATATTATTTTGTATTATAAAATCGGATTTTTTATATTAAAAAACTTCTTGATTTTTTTTTTAAATTAAAAATATCATAACCGGCCAAAAGAGCATTAATTTTAAATCGGAAAACTGTTCTGTGCAAGATTTTTTACAGTTAATAAATCTGCATACTTTATTTAAAAATTTTAAAAATTCAATTTTTTGTCAAAATTAAAAATTTTAATGATGAAATTTTGCAAAAATGGCCAAAAAATCGATTTCTTCCCGACATATCTAGAAAGATTCCCCTGTTGATGCTGATCAAGAATATATATGGTTTATGGGGTCGGAAACGTCTCCTTCACTGCGTTGCAAACTTCTGACTGAAATTAAAAAACCCTGCAAGGGTATAAAAACCCCACCTCTGATTTCCCCCAATGATAAAGCACAATATTTGTTCACCGATTGTAATATGCATATCTCAAAATATGTAATCTTTGCTAGTGGTAGTTACAGTTGTTAAATAGTTAGTTTATGCTTTGTGTGTGTTTGTGTTGATTTACAATTATTTGTCCATTGTTTCCTGCTGCAAATAAATATTACAAAATAGGCGGTAAAACTAAATAGGTATCTTAATAATAGTTGTTTGTGTGTATATAATTATATATATATATATATGTTTGTCTGCTTTCTCTAGGTACTTAAGTCACGTTGCACATCTGAGAGAGCAAAGAAGAAAATAGAACTGAGATAAAGGGTTCCAGGAGAGAGATTCAAATTTCGAAACAAAGTACATCATGGAGATCGCCCGTAAAACTAAGGTATCATATATCTTTTAGCCTAAACACAAGGTTAATTTGCACTAAACGGAATGTTAAATACACAGAGAGAATGTCACGAGATTGATCTACTAACAACAGGGTTAGCCGCCGCGGGTTATAACAAAATAAATAATATAAAATAATATTCAAGAGAAGCTCAGATAACGCTGCTTAGATTCGAGCCGGAAACGGTTTCCGGCTGGTTTTTCTGCGGCGACATGTTTAAGCCATTGCCATTGCCATTGCTTATACCGCCATCTAGGAGTTGCAGCAACCTTTGGCGCGTCCGCTTGTCGCTGACACAGATGCACTGAATCAGGCTGGTCAGCTGCTTCGTGGAGTACTCATCGCCCAGGCGCTGCTGCTCGATCCACTGCTCAAACTGCTCGGGCGCAAAGTAGAAGGTCTTGATGAAGACATCCACGTAGGAGCGGTGCTGCGGGTACTTTTGGTTCGAGATTAGCTCGAGGAACGACATAAAGTTAGCAAAGTCCAGCTGCATGAGAGCTCGTCCGCCCGCCGAGCATTTCTTCACATTGGAGAACCTTTAAAAATGTAGATTTGAAATTAAATTTAAATTAAATTTGAATAAAATAAAGACGCACCCCTCCACCAGCAGATGGGTGGCCACATGGGCCATGGAATTCCACACGGGCTTGCTGGGCACCGGCACCTCCTTAGAGATTTCCTCCAGGCACATAGCGAAGCTCTGTATGTTCTGCAAAAACGGTATTTGTTATAAGGTAATTGTATCCTGATTATATCCTTACCCTGTTCAGCACATCGCTGTAGCTGCTGTGCTGGTGTATCACATGATTCACATCCCACTTGACCTTGGCCATCTGGGCCAGAATCGCTGTCAAATCAATGACGCGCGACGTGACGCACGTGTAAACGGGTTTGGCCAGATCCGCCATATACTCGCTGTACTCCAGGTAGCTGCTCAATGTGGGACGCTCAGCCAGGGGCAGCAAATGATTCAGATAATGCTGAAGTATGTGAAACTGCTGAAGCATGCTGCGTCCCGCCTCCACCGCCACAATGCGCTGGGAGAGCCCATACAGAGTGTCAGGGTTGGCCAGCTCGTTGTTGGCCTGCAAAGTGAACTCAATGAAACTGGAACTCTCAGTTCAGACCAAACAGAAACCTACCAGTGAGGAAAAATTAAGGGGCCAAAGCTTGATTTGGGGCAGGACATTGATCTCCACCGAACGCAGGCGCTGCTCTAGTCGCGGTGTATGCAAATTATCTGTGGCCACCAGCTGGAAAAGGGTTTTAAATTCAGTAAAATTTAAGGAATACATCAAGATTAACTCACCGCATCCTTGCCAAAGATTTCGTGCACGGCGTAGGCATAAAAGTCAATCAGCTCCAGCATGCTGGCCACTATCTTCGGCGAGATGCAGTGCAGCAACTTGCACATCTGCAGATATCTCCCAATGCAGCGCAGCACATTCAAGGCGGTGTTGTTAACCAGCAGTTGGCTAGGAAAAGAAAAACCTCTTAAAGAATGTTTTAGGAAGATCAAGACTCTGCTCCTACTTGCTGGTGTCGTCAAACTCCTTGCTCTGCAGACTCTTCTGCTCGTCGTCGCTCTCTTCGCTGAAGTAGCACGAGGCCTCGTCCACAATGCCCGAGAGAATGTCCTCCTCCAGCATGGCAGCATCGAGGCCGCCATCAAAGGGGGAACTCTTCTCGGAGAAGCGCAAAAAGTAGCCGTAGGAACCATATATTGAGCTACCGCCGCCATCCTGGGAATGCACGGACACTAGCTCGTCGCAGTTATTATTGCTGATGGGAGAGTTGTTGGACGAGGAGGCCAGCAGGGCCGTTGTGGGGGATTTGTGGCGTCTCAGAGTGTGACGAACCGAACGGAAGTCCTGTCAAAAATCAAAGATTATCATAAAATCAAGACAATTCTGGGTCTCGCTACTCACAGGCAATTGCAGAATGTGCGCAAACGAGTCCACCTGCGTCCAGGACTCGTTGTCCAGAAACAGGCAAATCTCCTCCACACAGCAGATGTGGTAGCGCCGGAAGAACTCCTCGCTCTGCTGCTGCATCGTCTCGATTAACTTCTCCGATTGCTCGCCACAAAACTCCAGGCCGACCTTCTTCAGGCGCTGCACCACGGACAGCACCTGGATGAACTGGTCGTACTTGAGCGTCTTTAGCTTGGCCGCCTGCAGGAACAGGCACACCTTGGTCAGGATGTCGTTCCACACCCGCGACTGTCCCTTCTTCAGCTTCTGCTGGATGTACATATCCGGTGAGTCCTCCTCGTCCTGTCCATACAACTTGTAGTTGTTGTGCCACATCACCACCTGGTAGTAGGAGGCCAGAATGGTCCAAAACGTCTTGCACAGGCTGATCAGGCAGGGCAGTAGCTTCTCCACACTCAGCTGCTCGCACAGCTGTTCGTAGAGCGGCTTGGCCTGGTCGTCCTGGCCGGGATCACTGTATCCCCGCAGCACCGAGTTCACCGAGGAGTGTATAGCCGAGATATAGTTGATGTGCAGCTGGTCCATGGCCATCAGCGACTTATTGGCCAGCTTGTAGGCCTCCTGCAGCTTGGCATACTTCCGACCATCGAAGCCGAGGACCATCTCGTTGAGCACAGTGTCCAGCTGGAACTCCATGAGCAGCATGGTCTCCTGCAGCTTCTTGGAGAGCGACTGCACGCAGTTGAACTGCATGTAGGCCTCCGCCGAGCTCTTGCACTGCAGCAGCAGGGCAATGGCAGCGCTGTAATTGTGGTCTGCCAGCAGCTTCTGCACCTCCACATCGGTGGTGCGCTGGAAGGGATCACAAATTAAACTGGGTTACACAAGGGTTAAGTGTCATCTCTCACCAGCTTCTTGATGGCCACTAGGGTGTCCAACACCTCCTTAAGCACCTCTCGCTTGCGATAGCTGGCCAAAATCTCCAGGCTCGTGGTTGTCAGGTTGGTCCGGGCGAAGTTCAGGTAGGATCTCGCCTTCTGGCACGTCCACAGCGACTCCTCCAGCTTCTTCTGGGTGTCGTTGATGGCCGCAAACTCGCTGCTGCAAGCGTTCCGCTGCTCCAAAATGTTCTGCAGAACCTGTTTGGTCAGAACCTTCTGCTGGGTGCGCAGTTGTGCAATGGTGACCTCGATGAGCTCGTTGTCGATGCCATCGTTGAGAACTTTCTGCGGGCGATAGTATGGAGCAGTTAATGGGTGGCTGTTCCCAGCTGTTGGAACTTGCTTACCTTGAGCTCGTACAGCTGTGGATTACTGTCGGGGCTGTAGTAGCACTGCTCGATGCTCTCCAAGATCTCCTGGTCGGACTTTTGTGCGTTGGCTTGTCCCGCAGCGGCGGCCGCATCCGTGGCATCCGCTTCATGGCTGGGCGAGGTGTCTGTGGTCACCGTTTGGATGAAGTAATCCGAAAAGCCCATGGCAGGAATTTTCATTTGTCGGTTCGTCTGTGTGTGTGTGCGAGTTTTAGTGGGCGGAACAGGAGGGGAAACGGATTGCTTCCGGTCATTGCACAGCTTTGTGGCTGTCTGGTTACCTGTTTGTGCAGCAGGTCCATGAATTTGCTCTTGAATTCATCCATTTTGGCCTTGGAGTTCTGCATGTTTCAGCCATGAAGAAGAAAACGCAACAAAAAACACACAAAACACTTTTTCCAACAGTGCAACGGGCCGTGATTCTATCGACTTATCGATATACATCTGGCAGACCATCGGCAGTGTCTGGCCACACTAACTGCATTTATGTTAATTTTGTTTGGGTTTCAAGTTTCCTATCAAGGAATGACCAATTTTCGTCTGGAGGAGGAAGAACTGAAGACTGAAAGATGCGCATCTGCATGGTATCGGACTTCTTCTACCCCAGCATCGGCGGGGTGGAGGAGCACGTGTACAATCTCTCACAAATGCTGCTCCGGCAGGGCCACAAGGCGAGTTGGAAGCGACCCACAAAGATAACGATTTTTGCTGAACCTCTAACCCCCCTAGGTTGTGGTGCTGACCCACGCCTATGGAGACTGCAGTGGCGTCCGCTATATAACCGGCGGCATGAAGGTCTACTATTTGCCTATTAAAGTCTGCTATAACCAGTGCATCCTGCCCACTGCCGTCTGCAATGTGCCCATGTTAAGGGCGGTGCTGCTGCGGGAGCGCATTGACGTGGTCCACGGGCACTCGGCCTTTAGCGCTTTGGCCCACGAAGCGCTCATGGTGGGCTCCCTGCTGGGCTTAAAGGTAGGGTTTAAGCAGCTCTATAAAATCCACAAACTAGTTGTTTTCTCCTCCCATCTTCCAGACCGTCTTCACCGATCACAGTTTGTTTGGCTTCGCGGATCTCTCGGCTGCATTAACCAACAACCTGCTGGAAGTCAACCTGAGTATGGTCAACCATGCCATATGTGTGTCCCACATCGGCAAGGAGAACACGGTTCTAAGGGCTCGAGTGGCCAAGCATCGTGTGTCGGTCATTCCCAATGCCGTGGATACTGCCCTGTTCACCCCCGATCCCCAGCAGCGGCCCAGCAATGGCACGAGTAAGTAAAAGGCAGAATTTATCTTATTCCTAACTTAAGCCTCACATTTTTCCAGTTAATATTGTGGTGGCCTCGCGCCTCGTCTACCGGAAAGGCATCGATCTACTGGCCGGCATTATTCCGCGCTTCAAGAACATTCCCTATGTGCACTTTATTATTGTGGGCGATGGCCCAAAGCGGGATCTTCTGGAGGAGATTCGCGAGAAGACCAACATGCAGGATAGAGTGGAAATGGTTGGCGCTGTGGAGCATGCCCAAGTGCGCGACCACCTGGTGCGTGGTCATATTTTCGTAAATACTTCCCTGACGGAGGCCTACTGCATGGCCATTGTTGAGGCAGCAGCCTGCGGCCTTCAGGTGGTCTCCACCAGTGTGGGTGGCATTCCAGAGGTTCTGCCCAAGAGCTTAATACTGCTGGCAGAGCCGGAAATTGATGCCATATACACGGGCATTTTGGTGGCCATCGAAAGGCATTTGAGATGCTCCTTTAAAGTAAATCCCCCGGCGACGGCAGGAACAGTCAATGGTCACGTGCCAACGGAGGCGAATGGAAGAGGAAAGCGGCGACGAAACAAGGCGAACAAGGCGACTCCCACACCCCAACTGCCGCAACCGGTCTTGGATCAGAAGAGCCACACCAAGCCAGTTCTTTGCCCCTACAGATGCAACGAGCTGGTGGAGACGCTCTACAACTGGGAGGATGTGGCTTTACGCACAGTTAAGGTCTACGATCGCGTCCTGCAGGAGCGCTCCTTTACCACCAGCGAGCTGGTGTATGCAGTGTGGCAGCACGGCTCCTGGTTCTTGGTCTTCTTTGTGGTGGCCCACTTCATGATGCGCCTGCTGGAGGCTTGGCGACCGCGAAGTCGCGTGGAGCCGGCCCAGGATATGCCACGTTCGCCTAGCTAGCGATACCAAAACGGATACCATTCCTACTCCAACAACTAGCCAAAGTCGTGAGCGTTTTCCTTTGCTGTCATTTCGACGGGAGTTTATTTATTGCCCACTTAGAATAATACACTGTCATCCTAAAATCACATTGCCAAATCCCTCGTAATGGAGAAAAATCCCAAAGAGCCCGAGCCAGGGGTTCTGGCTCAGAGCTCCTCGCTGAATGTCTTTCACGACGAATCCCCCTTGCCGCAGCGAAACGTCAAAACAAGTGAGTTTCTCCTCTGTTCATAGTCAGACTGTCCAAGAACTTACCTCAGTGTTTGCCAGCGGAGAATGTTCCCCCCAGTTGCTTGGAGAAGATTTTTTACGTGCTCTCGCTGATTGCGATTGCCCTTCTGTTGCCCTGGTCCCTGCTGTGCTGCCTTCGGGTCTTGAACGAGTTTCAACGCGGAGTGGTGTTGCGACTGGGTCGCTTGCGTCCCAAGCCGCCCTGCGGACCCGGCGTCATCTTCCTAGTTCCCTGCATCGACCAACTGCGCATAGTGGACATACGCACCAGTTCGTTCAGCTTGGAACGGCAGGAGATCCTAACGCGGGACATGGTTACGATCAGCATTGACGGAGTGGTGTACTTTAGCATTAAGAGCCCGTACGACGCCATAATGCAGGTGGCGGATGCCCAGGACGCCGTTGAAAAGCTGTCCATGACCACGCTGCGTAATGTGGCCGGCACGCACAAGCTAATGGATCTGCTGGCCTCCAAGGAGTACCTGTCCAGCCAAATCGAGGCCATTCTCTACACCACCACGGAGGCGTGGGGTGTGCGTGTGGAGCGCGTGGAAATGTAGCTAAATTTGAGATTTTTACCCAAAAATATTCAATGATTAATGATCTTTTATCTGCCAGCAAGGAAATCTTCATGCCGGAGCAGCTTAAACGGGCCCTGGCCGTGGAACAGGAGGCGATGCGAGAGGCCAAGGCCAAGGTGGCCGCTGCCCAGGGCGAGCGGGATGCTGTTACGGCACTCAAGGAGGCGGCAGACATCATGGAGACCAATCCGATTGCCCTGCAACTGCGCTACCTGCAAACCCTGAACACCATATGCAACGAACAGACCAGATCCTATGTCTTCCCCTTTCCCGTGGACATTGTGAAGAGGATGATGAAGTGACCCTCATTTTTTGTATTAAATAGCTTTACATAGGAGATAAGCGTGCCACCACTAGTCCATCCTCTAACTCCAGGAATGCTTTATGCCACAAAAGACCTCTTTTTTAGAGAGTAATTAAGATTGGTCAATTAAATTTAAAAACTAGGTTTAGTGCCAGGACAGCCAAAGTATGTGCTCATTAGAAAATACTCACCTAGCTAACTTTTATTTCTTAATGAAATATAAATTAATTATAAATACAGCTTTATTTTATTCAAGTAACCGGTTCCAATAAACGTAATTTTAAAAATCGTAACAAAAATTTTAGCATTTCCTAAATCATGTATCTAATTTTTGAATTTATTTATATATATTTCTTATTAGCAATTATTTTGAAATTTCTTATTAGCAATTGTTTTGAAATTTCTTATTAGCAATTATTTTCAAAATTTAACAGTCTGGCAACACCGCACTAACCAGGGCTACCATATGCTTCGAGCCCACCCTGTCTACAATCAATGCACTGCAGCCCTGGTTTATTTTGGGGAAAAAATTAAGAGGGAGCAGCAGTGGAGAGACGGGTGATAAATTAATTAGCCACTGCTACCACATAACCCGCGGCGCTCCGGATATAAGAAACTCGTACGCAACTCGCAAGCACTGACCCACCAGTTATTGCTAGATTTCCAGCTGCCAACCAGGGTCAAGGTGAGCATAAGCAGCGATGACCGATGGCCACCTGAAAGTCTGACATTGGCAGCGGATTTCGGTTACACTTCGCTTCCAGATCGCTGCTGCAGCTGCTTTGGGTGCGGAGGACGATGGCCGAACTGGTGCGGGATTGGCTGGCGGACTACCAGCGGACGCGGGGCCAGCCGGCCGAGGCGGAGGCGTTCGTTGTGGAGCACGAAACGGACCCGGAGATCGCCGAGGCCATCTTCACCATCTTCAACGAGCGGCAGCGCAATGAGGCGATGGTGCACGACATCTGCCAGCAGCTGCTGGCCTTCTACCGCTCGCCGGAGCTGACGCTGCACAAATTTCCGCTGCAGTTCATCCCGGTGCTCATTTACACGTACCTGCACTCGGTGGCCGGGGGCGATAAGAAGGCGGCCCGCGGCGTGGAGACGCTACTCATCTGCATTTACAACGGCGAGGTGTCCACCGATGATGGCGGCCAGCGCGTGGTGGCCTTTCGCATGCCCATCCTGGCCCAGACGTCGGTCTACCACGAGCTGAAGAACCTGCCCATGACGGACCTGCGGCGATGGGAGGAGAACTGCAACCGGGAGGTCAAATGGGGTCCGCACCAGCGCATCGAGTCGATACATGCGCAGAACCGCATGCGTATCCTTACGGCGCTGCTCTTCTGCTACAACCAGCAGGTTAGCCAGACGCAGAAGTCCTCGCTGCTCCACCTGTGCCGCGTTACGTCGCAGCTAGTCAACCAGGGCTTCACCACGAAGTCGGGGCACGGCCACCGCATGAGTTATGGGTAACTATCACAGAGCCTTACTTAATGATAAGCTTGTGGTATTAACTCCTCATCCTTTATTTGCAGCTCCGATCCGGTAACGGGAACCCCCTTTCCCAAACCCTCCTCGCCACGCATTCCACTGTCCGCGGCCTTCCTGATCGAACTGGTGCACGCAATCTACTTCGCCATGTTCAATGGCTATGGCACGATAGCCATTCAGACGCTGGACGATATCCACAACCGGGCCACCTACGAGATGTACTCGGAGTTGATACTGGTCACCAGTGCGGTGCGCAACTCGCTGCACGCCAATCCTTCCGGTCAGCCCAACGACGGCCCCATGGGCCTCAGTGTGGCCTTGACGCCGGCCACCACGACAGTGACCACATCTGTGTCCAAATCCATGATAACGAACGCCTCCTTCCGCACGAAAAAACTGCCCGACGACATACCCATTCAGGTGCAAGACCTCACCATGCCGCAGGCGCCGCAGCAGCTGGCCAGCGTGACGGAGGAGGCGGAACCCGGCTCTAAGGAGTCCCCATCGACAAAGGAGAAGGAGAGCTCCGGCTCGCGTACTTCCATAATGCGACCCAGCATGGAGGGGATCAAGGCGCAGGCACACAAGGCGCTCATTGCGGGCTTCAAGAAGTCCAAGGATAAGGAGAAGGAGAAGGACAAGGAGCCGCCAAAGCCGCCGCAGCGGAAGTTCGACAAGCACACCCAACGCAACTCGTTGCTCCAGCTGCAGGCGGAGAGTCCCAGTGCGAACGCCACCTGTGGGGGGGATGTGGGCGGTGATGTGCTGCCCTTGCAGACACTCTCGCTGATCAACGAGAACGGGAGCAATAGCTTTAGCGTGGACAGCGACCTCAACGATGGGGTAATGGCCGTGAATGTCACACCCCTGCCCGCGCTGAGCAGCACCACCAACTCGGTGACCAGCAGTGACCTGCTCACCAAGAGCTTTGACTCCAGCATCGAAATGGCGCCGCTGGGTCACAGCAGCAGCAACGGCGGCAAGCTGGCCGAGCATGGCCTGACAGCGACGGCGGCGGCGGAGTAGAGTCTGTGTGTGTAAGCCAAATCCAAGTATCAAGAATATATATATATATTTACAAACATTGCAAGGGCTAAGAGGGAGGAGCCAGCCGCCCCAACTATATATGTATTCGCCACCTCAACTACCGCTCGGTATTATCCGTAACAGAAGCCGGAGTTGATTTGAATTTATGGATTAAGGATCGTTTGAATTTGTTGAATTTGCTGATGGGTTTCCTTAGTTGTTTGTGCGCGCATGCATATGTATTATCTATTGTATATTCCAAGGCCCAATTGTGGGTTAGGCTAGGTGTTGCTAATGCCTCAAATTGTGGGAGAAACTGTGCTCCCGGTGCATTTCACTCGTTTTAGGGCAAGGCAGCAGCAGGCACACACACATTCGGCCACCAGGCAACTTCAATTGAATTCTACAGGTAACCGGATTAGTTCTGTCACTTATTAGCATATATATATACATATATACAGGCATGTGTAAACTAATATATACATACAAATATTTATTGAACGTTGACTTGAACCATGTTATTGATTTAAAATAAATACAACAACTAAATTGGTCACTCTTCTGGCTTCTTTCGGAACTTTCCCTGCAGGAAGATGCGCGGCACATCCACGCCCTCCTTGAGATTGAGCGTCCTCCTGTGCACGTAGGCATTGTCCACTATCTCGTAGCCATTCGCCTGGAACAGCTGGGACACCTCCTGCTCGGAAAAGAAGTAGCTGCGCGTCCCGTCCTGACGCACATATAGATTCTCGGCTATCTTGTTGCCCGGCTTGAAGCGCAGCTGCGCCATGTCGTACAGCCCGTAGTCCCTGAACAGCACCAATCCGCCTGGCTTGAGTAGCTTCCACAGATTCAGCACCACATCCCTGAACTTCTGCGGGTGTATGGCCGAGAGTACAAAGATCAGGGTGCAGACATCGAGGTTTCCCGCCGGTATGTGCTCGTGCACCTGTTGCGTCGTGATGTCACACTGAAAGGCGGTTATCTGGCTGGAATCGTACAGCGGATTGGAACGCACAAAGTCCACGGCTCGGGGCGAGAAATCGCAGGCGTAGAAGTAGAATTTGCCGCTGCTGAAGCAACCTTCCTCGCTGGTCTGCTCCGCAAGCAGCGGGAACACAAGGTTACCCACCCCGCAGCCCACTTCAAAGAGTGTGCGTTTGTCGCCGTTTGTCTCCTGGTCCAGCAGCTCTTTGAACTCCCGCGTGGTCCAGTGACGGTCCTTGAAGAAGCGCGTCTCATTCCGCTTGTAGAAGATGTCCCAGTTCCTCTGGGCATCTATTTCCAGCTTGTTGGCCTTGAATTCGGTCACGAAACCACGTTTGTTTTGGTCCTCCAGCTTTTGTCTCTCCTCTGGAGTTAGCTCCTTGGTTTGGGTGGTGAATACATCCGGTTCTAGGGCGTCCTGGAAGCGTGTTTATTATTAATTTTAAGCTTAAAAGAAGCGATCGCGTGGGAGCTTTACTAACCATTTTGTTTGTTCTATGTTGGGGTTTATATTTTAAACATTAATTAATGAGGTATTAAGTTTTAAGCGGCAGGCCACCAGGAATAGCTTTTTTCACAGTATTTAAATTGATTTTAATTAACAATTCTTGCGTTTAAATATTTTTATTCCCAATTTAAAGGCACGTAAACATCTTCACAGCTGATGCTCATGGAAGTAGCCAAGAAATCCGAAGGGGGTTCAACTGCATTGTTGCCACAATCGATTTTTGATAAATCCCCTTTACCGATACCGATAGCTTGTGCCAGCAATCGGAATATGAATTCTCAGCAACGGTTCGGCCACTGACTGACTGAAAATAATTCCTTTATTGCCTTTGAGAGATTCTTATAGTTATAAAGCGAACATTTTAGATACAGCCATTAGGAAAACAAACAAATAACAAAAGTGAAATGAAAAGCAACATCTATTGCTTTGTCTTTGGTTTCAGGAGGGCACATCCAATGGGATGGCGTTATCTGCCCATAATGGTGGGCTCATCGGCCATTGCCACTTCGTCATTTGGAGCCTTGGCTCCCTTCTTCTTGCCCGAGTACCAGAGGAACATAACACCGCACAGAATATTGTCCACAAATGTGAACCAGGCCAAGTAGACTCCATAACCATAGCTAAAAAAGTAAGATGACCGTCAGAAAATCGTTATTACTCCCTATATAATCCACTTACGTTAGTTCAGCGCCATCGGGATACGCGTAGAAGAGATGGTCCTTGGTGTAGTCAATCGAGGAGAAGAGCACCTGGATCACCACCAGCGCCGTGGAGGCGGCCACCAAATGGATGCCACCCGCCAGACGCTTGAACATGTAGCGCGGATTCATGAACGTGTAGAAGGAGAAGACAGCTCCCAGGCTCATCACGAACAGGGTGATGCAGGCAAAGGATGCCTGCGTCCGGATGTAATCTGAAAGGGAATACCAAGTGACTGCCAATTATGAGCCGTCGTCCTTGAGTTGGGAGTGTGCAAGGAGTGAGTGTATGTGGGAGAACCTACCCATTAGTTCGTCATCGAAGCCCGGCTCGTTGCGCAGGGCATTGGAGTTGGGGAACATGTCGATGTACTTGCAGCGCTCTAGGGCAGGATTAACGGAAAGATATAGAGGTATACTTGAAGCTAATGGAGCTGCAGACTCACGATTCGGTATATAGCTGTAGTAGGCGGTCTGTCCACCTCTCTTGGGCGGCAGTGGTGGCACCAGGATCAGGATCACCCGCTCGTCATTCAGCACGTAGGCCGGAATGCCAATGTCACGGATGTAGGTGCCCAGCAGACGCACCACCAGCGGATAATCCGTCCAGTTACCGAAGATGGCCAGCTGGGCCACCTCGGGAATGACATAGTACGACCAGGTGTTGTTGTACTTAACCCGCTGCAGCGCCGAACCGAAGGTGTTCCTCGCATTAATCCCCTTGACATCCAGCGGATCGATGGGTATGGGCTTGATTGCCGTGGCATTGATCTGCCGCTGATTGTCCTCCGTGTTCATCACGAGATTGCGGAAGGCATTGCGCATAGTCTGGAAGCCCTCATCCTCTCCCCGCGCCCAATGGGCAAACATATGACGGCGCGCCGACTCTGTAAAATTATCCGACGCTTCCAGCGGCTCCTGGGCGAACTTCTTGATGAAATCCATGTGCGAGAGATTCCTTTTCGCCTCGTTGATATTCGTCTGTGAGGTGTAGGACATAGAGCTGAAGTTGCGCACCACCTGGGCATTGCTCAAAGCATTGGGCACTATGGTGTTTCGGCAATGTCGCCACAACCCCGAGTGCGAGGACATGAAGAAGCGTCGCGATTCCGGGATGAAAATGCCTTCAAGGGAGTGCAATTTTCAAAGTCTGTAAGTAGATCCCTTAGAGAAGTCGTAAACTCACCTTTTCCTCCTGATATAATGATCCAGTGATCGGTCGAGATGGCCACTATCCAGATGAGCAGGGACACCACCATCAGCAGACTGCAACCGAGCAGGACGCGACGCTGGAACATGTATGCCTCCATCAGCGGCCGTCGGGCCTCATCCCGACCGATGGTCGACGTGGACAGGTCGCGCTTCATTCTGGTTTCGTTGCCGGATCACTCTTTCTCTGCCCCCTCCTAGGGCTCTCTGGACGTTTGCAACGGGCAATCCACACGCACATGGAACAGCGCACGTTCCTGGTGGGAGGAGAGGAGACGAGACAAGACAGTGTCAGAGTGTTGTGTGGGTGAGTTGGTGGCGGGTTTAACCAGCTTTTATTGCTCTCTGTAGGCAAATGAAGTCATGCGGACACACATCGCGGACACACATGTGAGACATTCTTGGGCGCCACGACCGTTTCCATCGTTCGGCAGGTGTTTTTACCGGGCCTACGCGTTCGTCAGGCCATCGGACAACCTACCTCATTCTCAGATTCGTCTCTAATTTAAACAATATATTTTATTTCTACGCTAAACATATAGAGGAGGATAGAACGAGAGAGCTAAGACTTAGGGGAAATTATGAAAACAGTTTTCTTTTAACTGAATATCATTTAAATTTAATATGCTTTACTTTTTAAAATTTAAAAGCATTACTCCATTATTTTTTCAAGTTTAAAGAGTTACTATTTTTGTGATATATACTTAAAAACAGCAGAGAAAATAAGGATACTGATGAGGAAGGTTGAGATTCCTAAGTTCCTGGTGAATAAGCAAGCCTTCTCTTTGACATAAAAATACCCTTTTTTAAACCCCAAAATTGAGCTCTTCTTGATATTTGAATATTTCGGTTATTAAACCCTTAATAAATTATATTTCCTCTCATAATTCCTAAAAAATTAATTTATTTTTTTACAACAAAAAACTATTTTGTTAACCCAAACTGTTGACTTTCTCAGGCAGCGCGCGAATCACCGAAAACGTGCCCATTAATTATGTTGTTTTGGATAAATTGTTTTTTATTTTATTTATGTATTTACATGTTGCCACGGTGACCAGAAATTCCCACTCGGAAATTTCTGAGGCTTTTCCTCTGTACTATATATTTTTTTCTTTTTCTTTTTTGACAGAAATTAAGCAAATTAGTGGACACGTCCAAAGGCCCGCGGAAAATAAATGACAAAAATGCGAATTCCTTCGTCAAAATGATTTTAGCCTCTTTGCGGAATATTTGGCGAGAATTAGGTGCGCCTATTCCGAGTTCCCGAGTGGGTGGGTGGCAGGTGTAGAGCAGGAGCAGGAAAAGGGGGAAGGCATGGCGTGCACAAGTGCCATATACATAGTTAGTGCTGCTTGCTGCCTGTATGCCATGTGGGATGCCTTCCGAATTTATGATATTTTCGTTATTCCGTCTTTGTTCCCAGTTATTGGGTTGCCGAAAGTGTCATCTTCAGAGGGGAAAACCCAGAGAAAAAGAGAGGAGCAAAGCGGCGCCAGCTTCTGCTTCTCCCTCCCACTCGAACTCCTCCTCCACTTCCGCGATCTATTCCCGGAATAGATCTTGCCCGTTGCAGTTGCAGCTGGGAGGAGTTGGGCTGCAGCCACTTGCGTCATGAAGTGCGTCATCGGATAAGGCGTAGCAGTGGGAGAACACTAATGTTTACCCAAAACTTTAGATATTTCCCTGCTCTAAAAGAAGTTCTATGGCCTGTCCCACTTTCGTTTATATTCTCTTAATATTTCTCAAAACAATTTGCCATTATTTTTAGTTAACAGATTCCTCTGACTGGCAACCGTCATTAATTCCCACCTCATTGTCTCTATTTTTTGGGCGCGATTATTGACACTTTTGACAGGGCGAAATTTTTATATATTTTTTTGTTTCAAAAACCGAAATAAACGCGAAACGCTCGCCTCTATTTATTTATTTATTTGTTTTGTGTGGTTAGCCTTTGTTTTACTTTCTGTGTCGGTGGCGGCGGCGGCCATTGTATTTTTGGTATGTGCCGAGGAGGAGCACACCACAACCGTCGTCGCAACACGTCGAATTCCTCATCCTCATCCTCATCCACCGCCTCCGCCTCGCGGCATAAAGCGTAAAAGAACGCGAATTTTGAGAAATGTGTATTTAATTAATGCCCCGCATAAATAATGCCAATGCCAGCCTGATTCTGATTCTGATACTGAAACGGATTTGGATTTGGGATCTGCTCATAAAAGCTCACTACTGACAGGCGTCCTGATTTATCGTTATATAAGAGCCAGGCGATCCGTGGCCATGTTTACCATTAAAGCTGCAACAATGCAACGGAGATCTCTGGGGCCCAGATTTATTTTTTGTTTATGGGGCGCGACGACGATGTGTGTTTATTTTTTATGAGCTGGCGTTAATCGCTGGGATGGAGCGCCCGATAATAACCGAAATAAATTAAATATACTGAACGGAATGAAAGAGCGCGATCTTGGCGTAGGCTGCTGCTCCTGGCGGACGGCGATCGGCACGGTTCCGTCTGCTGCTGGCCAAGGCAGAGCACAGACTGACTGGCTACTAGCCACCAGTGGTTGTCGTTTGCCTTTGCGTTCTTTTGTTTTTCTTTTTTTTTCGGGGGGAACGAAAGGCAACAGGCAGCGGGCAACAGGCAACAGGCATAGCGTGGCCATTGTTAGCCAGCATAAACATAAAAAAAATCGTTTCACATACACGCCGCTTGGGAGCGGGCGTGGGCTGGGGGCAGAGGAGCTGCCACCTGCAGCATGTAGCCGGAGGCAGGAATCGGAATCGGAATCTCTGTGGGGCTGTTGCTGCTGGCACAGACCGACGTCATCGTTTGCTTAATTGCGCCATAAACATGAACTCAACTCGACTCGGCCGATGCTGTGTGCACAAATTTAGAATTTAGATGGATTTAGGCATCTCTCTTTAATGGTACACAGAGCATGGTACATGGGCAGCTATTTTTATATCCTCCTCGCTAGCCACGCTAGCCATCGTTCGAAATTGCTCCGTCCGCGCGGCGGTCGCTCGCTCTCTCTCTTCCGCCGGCTGTGCCATTAAACCGTTGACATCGCGTTTATGAATGCCGTTGGATCTGAGTTTTGGCATACCATTAGCCAATCGTAAGGGGGCTGCGGAGGATGACGTGGTGCGAAAGACAGCTAGCTAACCACTTGTTGTGGCACAGCCAGCCAGTGGTTGTGTGCTATTGCCTCTTGTCCGAGATGCGTAGCGCACCCATGTCCAGGTTAAGCTCGCTGAGTATGTCATTGGGCGCCGAGCCCTGCATGGTTAGGCCGGCAATCACCTGTTGCGCCTCCGGGCAGTTGATGCAGGCATTCCGTATGGCCAAGATGCTCCACTCGCGCATCACTATTCGGGGGGAGGGATAAGAAAAGATGAAAGCGTTTTATTATGAGAATTAATCAAAGCATTTTATCTAATAATCAACATTACTTAGTAGTTTTATAAGCTGTAAAGTGTTAATGGTTTTTCTAGACAAAAATGTTATGGCAATCAAGAAAATAATATTATTTTTCTTGAATATTCTTACTGTGTGTCTCTTAAAGAGTTATTAAAATAAAATTCAAAAGGAAATTGTGTCTAGCTAATCGTTAAGAAATATATAAACTAAGTTAATTAAATTACTTAATGTTTTTATGTTGTTTTAACTGTGGAAACTATTAAAAATTAAAGGATGAGCCCCATCTTACATGGATTCCTGGCATCCATCGTTGTGCACTCCAGCAGGGCAGGCAGTAGTTGTGTGTCCAGGCAATACCCCTTGTTTTCCTTATTCTCATACAAAAGATTTGCACAGCAGCGCACGAGTAGGGTTTTCAGTTCATACGAGACCTTCTTTTCGTAGCCCGCATCAATGCCCGAGGTGAGAGCCACCTCCTCCAGCTTTGTCATGGGTTTATCCAGTCCGCCGCCATCGGGTTCTTTGCCCGCAGCCACCACGCATCTGAGCAAGCTGCTCACATTGATGAACAGCGACTGATCGGTGGCATAGACATTGCCGTACTTCTCGGAGCCACTGACGCTGGCTATGATCCGCAGGAGCGTGTGAACCTCGCGGGGATGCAGTTCGTGCTTCAGCTTGAGGGTTTCCCGAAGAATGCAATCCGATTTCAGGCGGAACTCCTTGGCAAAGTGCTGCAGCAGGAAGAGGGTAACCTCACCATTTGGGCTATTCTCCCTTAGGTAATGAGCCACGTAGTCCAGAAAGGCAATCCTATCCTCCGTGTCCAGTTTCTGGTAACAGGCCACGCACGCACGTCCATTCTGCACGATAAAGTGCTCCAGAAAGAAGTGCAAATACTCAAAGTTGTAGGTGCACTGAGCCTCGTTCAGGGCCCGCCACAGACGCAGGCAGGTTTGGAGCGCCACTAGGTCGGAAATAAGACCACCGCGGCCATTGAGGAATATGTTGTACATGATCATCAGGAGCACGTTGTTGGAGCTGCCTAGGGGAGCAGCATAGGCTTGCTCGGCGATCTTCGAGCCATGCTGATTCCAGGTCAATCTTTGGCTAAGCTCATTATTAACCACACTGTTGGCCAGCACCTGGAGCGACAGATTGTGGGCAAGCCGATGCTCCGTTCGCATTAGCGGGTTAAAGGCGACGGCATCAAGAAAACTGGAAAACTCTGGACTCCTGGCCAGAGTGTCTTGACTCTCCTGGCTTTGTGTGAGCAGCAGGCGCAGGTTTTTGAGAATACCCGCGACTTCCTCGGCATTTTCAGTCACACTTAGACCCACGAGCCTTTGTATGAGCTCACTGGTGTCGCTATGCTAATGAAAATCCTTTATTATTGCACTTTTCAGGATATAAACAACAATATTTACCGCATGCTCCATTTTGATAGGCCGACAGCTGATTACCGCCAGTTATCGATAGCACAGACAATCGGGTCAGGAAATTCTCAAGAGAGAAAGCGCGGATGGTCACACTGCGTGAACTACAAAAGAAAAACAAAAGTGAAGAATTCAACAAAAATATTAAAAGTCATGTAGCACACTGAGCTGCAGTCTTAATTAAAGCAACCAAACAAAGCGATGTCACTGCGGGCGCTGCGAAAGAGCCACAACAATAACACAGGAACTGCCAGAACGCCACAAACACCGTCGTCGTCGTCGTCGTCGCTCTTCAAGAAGGCCAGCACAGCAACATCGACGTCACCGAAGAAGAAATCTCTAGCCCAAACTCTAGGCAGCAACTCCGCCACCCGCTCAGTGGGCAAGCAAACGCTCTTCCGTCAGAGGCAGCTCCTGGGTCGCTGCTGCCACTCAAGTCCCGACCTGCGACAAGGGGAAAAGTATCGGAACAGCAGCCTGTTGCGCAGCAAATCGGAGGGGGATGTTGGCCTAGCCCTTCTGGAGCGAAACTCTGGTGCTACATTGACGGCGGCCAACGCCAAGTCGGAGGTGTGTCTGCAGAGAATAAGCTCGCACAGCTACGAGCACACGCGGTCCCCAAACTCAAATAGCTCAGCAATGCTAGGTGGAGCACGTTCCCATCGGGACTTAACCCAATCGTCGTATGGCCACCATGCTGGCGGAAACCATGGTGATAGCCTGGAGGTAAGCACCAGGGCCCCGCGTCGGATGAGCGAGTGTAGTTTGGGCTACAGCCAGACCAGCTCGCGTCTTACTGGCGGCAACTCTCACTCCATGTTCGCCAGCCAAATGACGCTCTCCTCGGGCTCCCAGGCACCGCCCGTGGATCCCAATGCCGTGCTGCGCGTGCCCATCATCGGTTACGAGGTGATGGAGGAGCGGGCACGCTTCACCGTGTACAAGTTGCGTGTGGAGAACCCGGAGACAAATGACTGCTGGCTGGTGATGCGGCGCTACACGGACTTTGTCCGGCTAAATGGCAAGCTGAAGCAATCCTTTCCCAAGCTGTCCCTCATGCTGCCGCGTAAGAAGCTCTTTGGGGACAACTTCAATGCCGTCTTCCTGGACAACCGTGTGCAGGGCCTGCAGATCTTCGTGAACTCGGTGATGGCCAAAGAGGAGCTGCGCAAGTGCAAGCTGGTGCGAGAGTTCTTTTGCCTGGACGAGCCGCCCTCGTACTCCGAGTCCATGGAGGAGTGTCGGGTATGAATCTGTTTATATTTATATTTTAGATTTGTTTATATCTTAAATAAGACATTTCTCATGTTTTCTAATATTTTTTAGGCAATTTTCGAGGCCCAGGAGGAGACCATTGCCCACTTGAAGCTGCAGATACAAAACAAAAACGATCTCATACTCAGCTTGCAGCAAAAGCTGCGCGACGAGATGAACGAAAAGGAGCAGCTCAGGGAGGCTATGAAGTAAGTGTTACACTGACAAAGTCAGACAAGCTTTTAATATTTATAATAACTCTCACAGAAACGTAGACCTCAACTGTTCGCACTGCTCCTCGGCCAACGAAGTGGAAGCTCTGGGCCTGAAGTAGACGTAGAACCCTTCCAAAATCCAGTTGGATGTGCATGTGCGTACTACATTATGCTGAGCATAACCCTACGCACTCGCACCGATCCAAACCCAAGTGCATATCGAGGAGCATGCTCCGCTCCGTCAGTGCTTTAGTATTCATATCTCTAGACCTAGAAGCTAGCCAGTGCTGCCCCAAGCTGGTACTGTATGAAAGGCAATCTTAGATATTTTTGATATACGTTTACGGGCAAGCTACCAGTTAAGGATAAGGAACTACACCTAGATGTAAGTGCAAAGATATAACCCCTGTATACAATGTGTTATGCAAGTTCACATACAAAATAAACCTAAGGCACAATTTATTACTCAATGGAAATGGTGGCACGAAATGGAATGAAAAGAAAACTAAACCTAAAGCAAAATGTGTTAATTGTGATGATTATGATAATTATGATGCGAGGGCATCTCTCAGAGACTCGTCATGGCTGGCGGTCGGGCGTAGGCCTTCGGAATGAAGCCATATTTGCGAGTCTTGGGGGCATAAGCCCAAAGCCATCCGTCCACCGTTTGATTGTTCAGATCGGCATAGATCCAGTCGCCACGACGCACAGAAAGGTACAGATCATCGGGAGCCTGTGCCTTGTAGTCATACAGCATAACCAGCTCGGTGCCATGGTAGCGCAAATCATCCGTTCCCAAACCCAGTGGCTGCTGCTGCTGTTGGTTTTGCTGCTGACCCTGCTGCTGTCCTGGTTGGCCCTGCTGCAAGATAGTTTCCATAGCATTCAGGGTGGCCTTTTGCTGCTGCAGAACTCGCACGCTGTCCGCCGGATAAATAAAGCTGGCCGGCACGAATCCCTCCTGGCCATCGCTGCGCATAATCCAAAACCAATCGGGATCCTCGCGATTGAGAACGGTTACGAACTCCCCACGCTCCACGGATAAATCATTCTCGTCCCGGGCTATAAAGGTGTACAGAACAATGCAGCGACCGGAGGGCTCCTTGACGAATGGCGTGCACTCTGGCTCCGCGAGGAGTATGTTCTCCATACTGTTGGCAGACCCAGGATTCAAGGCCTCGTCACAGAGCACATCCAGTTTATTGTCCGCTCCCAGGAGCGGTAAATTCTCATCGATCGGCTGCTCGGGACATTGTTCCCGGGGCAGTTTCTTCTTCACGGCCAAATCCGCCAGCTGGGTGTTGCAGGGAGCACAATAGGAGAAGGGTATGAAGCCCTCCTGGCGTGAATCCTGGCCTATTACATAAACCCAGTCGTTCTCTCTGTACAGAATATTGACCAACTGGCCCCTCTTCACCTCCAGCTCGTCGTCCACGCAGGGCGTAAAGTCGTGCAGCACCACCATCTTGGAATCGGGACTGAATGTGAATATATGATGAATAATAGGGAATAATCAAATGACATATTTAGATAGGCTTACCTCAATCCGTGCTCCTTTTCGATGCCCACACGGACCAGGGTTTCGATACTGGAGGATCCAGTTATCCTGCCCATGCCCAAGCCTCCCACGGCGGGCAGATCCCTTTCGATGCTGGCATTAGTGGCTGCAATGTTCAGGTTTTTTTTATATATGTATCGTGCTTTTCAGTTAATATTTTTCTCTGTGTAACAAGCAACAGAGTTCGTGTCTTGAAGTCTTTCGTTTGTTGAAGCCACTTCTTCCGCTTTTGATTTCGCTGACCTTTCTTCTTATCGCGCCGCATGCGCACGGGACAAAGGAACGCCATCCCTTTAACCCAATCCTCAACGCAGTCAATAAAAATAACAGCAACTACTTTAATTTTATAATTGTTTTGCTCAAGTTCCAAAAACTGTCCCCGATCTTTTTCTGATCGAGGGATGACACATTTACAATTTCGATTGACTGTATCGTTAATCGATTATTATAAAGTATAGCGCGAAAATTAAAAACTGTAGTCTCTGCTCTCTCAAGCATGAAATATTTCCAAAGACCTTAGATTTTGGGTGCACTTGGCGTGTGTTCATGCCTGAAATATCGAACATACATATAATAAATGGATACCCCGCCGCGCTGATTGCCCCTGTCTTCGACTGGGGTATATCCGATGATAGGGTCAATTTCCGTTGAGGTTAAAAACCTCATTCGTACCCTGGTGGTTTCCAAAATCGAGTTATACATATTACCGACTGAATTTCTGACCCCATTGGTCCAACCCTTTTTTCGCTCGCGTCACTTGCATTTTTTTTTGTTCTTGGTCGCTTTGTGAAAAAAGTGGGGGCAATGCACTATTTTGGTGCCAAGGATACCCGAGTTCGCATGCAATTTTCGATTATAATTCAGCGAGAGGAGCCAGTCCCACCGAAAAGAGCGTGACTGACGTGACGAAGAGAGAGAAAGTGTGCAAACTGACCTACACTTCGGCACATCTCGCAATCGCCCCCCCTCTAACAGCCCAACTATTGCGAAATTGCGCATTAAGTTTCGTCAGAAGCCACCTTGTGCCCCCTCCAGAAGCAGCAGCAGGTGCCACACCTCCAAAAAAAAAAAAAGAATAAACACCACCCCCGCAACTTTGACTTTTGCCAACTACGCAGTTGATTTCACATCCGCATCCACAGGCCCATCCTCATCCCCAGTGGCATCCTCCCCATGCCCTACCCCAAGCTCCGGCTGAGAGAGCTGTCTTCTCAGATAATCAATAGAGCGGAGTCTGCGCAATGTTTTAATCCTCGGATGCCATTCACAAAACGGGGCGTCCAGGAGTTGGGGGCTGACATGGACGTGGACGAGAGATGGCCACTCATCAACGGCTGCTGCTGCTGCTCCTCCTCCTCCTCCTCCCCTGCTGCTGTTGTGTCTGCTGGTAATTGTTGCTCGGACCTCTGATGTCTGAAAAAATGTGACTAGACAGGGGAGACAATTAAGAGAAATGGCAGGGAAAATGTTACGGATACGTTCCGGGGTGGAGGGATAGCCGGAAAAGGCAGCTCGCTGGCTTTTTGGGTCAGCTATTTTGGGTTTGTCACGCGTATATTTTATTTGCATACAACTCGAATATTAAATGTACAAAAAGGACAGATGAATTTATCTCCGGCCTTGCATAAAATTAAAATGAGAATGTATGTTATGCACGACCTTGAAAAGGAACACCCCTAAATTTTGCATCAAAGGTGGTGAAATCATAGCCTCCCTGACCTTGTATACATATATATATTTATTATTTTAAGAGTGGCAGCTAAAAGGGTTACAATTTAAAAGGAATTTACTTTAGCCATTGTTTATACATGGCATTAAATTCCATTTAAAATTATGCCTCTACAATGTACCATTAACACCCTTAATTAAAACTCATAAAGTATCATTTAAATCAAAGTAGAAATTTACTTTATATAATCCAATACATTCCCTATTTCATCATAGTATTTCAAAAGTTGTGTAATGCCTTTTAATCATTCGTGAAAATCCAAACAATGAGTGGAAAATGAGAAAAGCTGGCAGGAAAACTGCAATATACAATATACAATATTTTTGGGTTCGAAAATATGCAATGCACTTGTGTATATTTTGATTTGGCTAAAAATGTTCGGCAATTGGCATGAGTCCAAAAATGTATAAAGATTTTCAGGAGGGGATTATATGGTATTCAAGGGGGTTTAACAAACGTATATGCAACTTAGCGCCCTACTCTCTGGGCCTGGTCAAGCGAGCAGTGGTGAATCAGTGAAAGTATCTCTGGAGAAGGAACTTAACCCCATCAAAGCTCACTTGACTTGTGGGCCGCAAAATGAGCAATAAGAGGAATAAGAGCCATCGTCCTACAAGAATATAAAAGTCCCGAATCCCCGGTTTCTCTGGTCGTGCGCAAGCATCGGTTGTCGATTTCATTATCCGACTCTGCTCCTTGCCTGCAACGCTGTCAAGTGTCACGTATGCGGGTACCTACACTGGGGGATATTTTGGTGTTAAACTAATTTCTTTAATATGGTTTATTTTATTTATAATATATAATTTTTTTTATTTCGATTTTAAATTAATGAAATATATTTTATATTAGCTTATAGTACATTTGAGTAGTTGATACATTTTTTAATCACTTTTAGTGCCCCTGTGTTTGTTTCTCTGGACGACCCACGTCACAAAAGAGCAGCAGTTCAGAACAATCTAGAATGTTGGCAGTGGGCGGCAGGTGGCAGGGACAGGGGGCATGGCAAAGTGTGCGTTCAAGGACATGCATACATTACATTACGGCGGGGCTTTACGCCCTCAGCCAGAGGCATTAAGCCGTGAAATGCGACCAAAGCGAACGCCACAACAGCTAACGGCAAAGCCCAGCGCCGCAGTTAACGCTGCGTATGTGCGATATTTAATTATCGCAACGTGGGGCGTGGGGGGTGGCGGTGGGGTCCGAATGCAGCGGCTACGAAGTCGACGTCCTTGCCAACTCTTCGGTTGAGAGAGCCGGCGAGAGCGGCCGAGAGAGAGAGAAGCCTGTCGCTTTCATTCAGTAGAAATGGCCCCCGCAATGGCGTACGCTGCTTGGAGCACGTTATTTTTCCGCTCATTCTATGTTGGTGCTTCGTCCGGTGTGGTTTACAGTTATTTTTCTCTCAGAGTCCGTGCGAGTGTGTGTGCGTATTTTGAGTGAGTGTGTGGCCCTTGGCCAGCAACAACAAGCAGCAGAGGGAAGAAAGCAGAAACATCAGCCGAAAATTAGGTAAATGGAGGTACAAGTGTTGCAACTGGTAACGGTACTTTAAGGCTGCACTGAGAAAAATAGTGTGTCACCTTAAAAACATTTCTAAGTAATCTGTATTTGAATTTCTGTACATTTAATTTTCGCTGAATGAATTAATTTTAAACAAATGTACAATTTGGAACAGACGTACAAATTTAATTGAATTAAAAACTTCCAAAACTCAATTTTGAAAAAATTGAATATTTCTAATAACCTTCCGTCCATTTTCCCCAGTTCCGTTTCATCCGGAATTGTACGCACACAAACAGAGAATGTTTTTATTTATTTCTCAATGTTTACAATTTTCATCGTTGCTTTTGTCATTTTATTTATTTTCTTTATTCTGAAATAAAACAGAGCATTAAAAACTGTTTTTCTCTTTGCCGAATTTTTTTGCGACGTCAAAGACATTTTAATGTGCGCACATACATATAAACATGTGTACATACTTATATACATCAATTGCTTTTTAAAAATTTGAGAAATTTTCGCTGTTTATTTCGTTGTATTTTAAGACCGTCGACACGCAAAATATCCATCTCGGGTTAAGTGCCAGACATCATCAATCAATTAGTCATTTTATGGCGCTATTATCGCATATAACATACAGCTAAAGGCATCGATATAGAATAATCAGGGGATTAGGGGTTAGGTTAAATGAGTTTTCCACCCCAGGGCTAATGATTTAGGCTAATTTACGGCGAACAAAGAAAATGACAAAATATCTATTATATTGGGCCAACGACTGTGTATTTTATAGCTTTCCTTTCGAGAATAATATTGATTTTGTTTTCCAAATGTTTGTGTTGCGTTTTAGACAACATTTTGAATAATACATACTGACTTATTCGTAATTAAAGTATTAAGTTTTTTTGTATCCTTAAAAATTTAGAAAAGGGATGTAGAAAGGAAACTAATTTTTGTTTAGTAAATAGATATTAAAAGGAGTAGGACTATGAAAATGTAATTTAATAAATTTTAATATATTTTAAACTCAAATTTCTGCCAACGTTCATTTTTTGTAATTATTCTCGAACAAAGAAAGCAAAGCAAATGTGAAAAGTAAATGTGCTTAAATTAAAAATCAAATTTATTATTATATAGTGCAGTCTCTGCAGTTTTATCACTTTTCTTTCCTGTACTTTATCGTCGACTTTACTGCATTTCCAGCGATTTTCGCGTAAACAGACTCCAGCTGCCGTCTCGTTCTTGTTTGCTTTCCATTTTCCATTTTGCATTTGCATAATCAAATTTTGTTTATTGGCAGCCACGTCAATTTAAATGCAAATCTGAGAGCTGGCCAATTGCAGAAACTATTTCATTTTGCCCCCACACCTCCCCTTTTCCACTCTCTTCTTGGGAATTTCTCGAAAGTTCGCTGGGGTTCATTAAAAGGAATAAGAACTTGACACCCGTGAATTATTGAGCTCTCTTCCTCGCCCAACGGTAAATTGCATCCAATTGAACTTAATTGCTCAATCTGAACTTGTTTTTGTTGCTGTTTGTGTGAATTTTATTAATTAACGAGCCCTAATTAACCATCCCCCATCCCTTCTCTCTTTTTAGCTATGGATAAACAGTATGCAAAAATGGAATGGAAATGCCCCACAATTATTGAGCCACGAAAATGAACCAAAAGAGCATTTAGCCAAAGTCAGGTGTGAGTGGGAGAAATTTTCATTGCAACGTCATCGTCATCTTAAGAGCATCGCGGAGGATAAGAGAGCGCGGGCGCATTACGCCTTTACACCCATTTACACGCCCATTTCCGACTCCCCCCGAAGGAAAATCATCCAGAATTTGCATTAACCAAACGAAGACGATAATTAAACTGAAGATAAAAACCCGACCGATAAAGAGTCTGCGCAAAGAGAACGGCCGCAAGAGAGAGGGAGGAAAGAGAGCACGAGCACTGCTTTTTCGGGCTCCAAGTTTTTGTGCTCCCCAATTGGATTTTGCGTCTCTTTCGTGACACAACGTGCGTTCAAAGTAGCGGAAAGTTTTTCAATCGCGGCCCGGTCTGTGGTTGTGTTAGTAAATGCAGTTTTAATTGTAGTTTTGTGCTTCGAAAGTGGAGTTTTCTTGTCGAAATCGGGAAAATCTGCCATGACAAAGTAGATAAACAAAGGCCAGCCCTGCAAAACCAGTGCCGCGAGCGTGTAAATATCGATTTTTCGGCAGACGCGCGTCGATGACCTCGCACACAACAGAGACTAAAATTGCGAGATAAAAAATCTGCAATACAGCGAAAATAAACCGAACGTTTTTAGACAGAGTTTTAAAGTAAGCCAAACGCTTTACATAATTGCAACCACAACGACGGCGGTGCAAGGGGGAAAACTCTCGATTGGAGGCAGCAGCAGCAGTACAGAAAGAAGAAGAAGAAGCGGCAACAGAAGAAGCAGAGCACCACTGGAGCGGCAGAGCAGCGACTGCGGCGCAAGCAGCGAAAAGAGCGCCAGCCGAATACCGCAGCGACACATGCTCAGATACCGTCTCGTTTCCACTCACTTCCTCAAGCAGCCGTAGTGAGCGAGCGCAAGGGAGACAGCTATACCGCGAGAGAGACGTGGGTGCAGCTGAAAGTGCATTTGGCCGATCGAGCAGGATATAAAATAAATATAAAAGCGCGACAGGTGCGTTCTACGTCAATCTCTTAGAACCCCCAAAAGAAGGTGGAAGACAGGCCCGGAGCGCGCCGCACAGGGCAGAAGGAAATTCGCATCCGATCCGGCATCAAAATCCAGTCACAACGTATTCGCCAGGAGTCCTGCGCCTGCTGGGTCTGAGCTCTAGTTTGGATAGTGAAAATGTGCAGAGATCGCGATATGAGTTCGTGGTAGATCAGCGCAACCGTCGTTACAAGGTCAAGAAAAAAATCAAGCTCGAGGGCGAGTAGGGCGCACCTGGGCAGCAGCCCTCGGGAGAGCGGAGTGCGCAGACGCGAGATCCTGGACCAGCAGCAGCAGCAACAACCAGATCGTCAGCTACCAAACCAAAGTTAACAATATTAGCAAAATTAAATAATAGTTAAGCATCAATAGCCCTTCCATTTCGAGTGCGCGTCGTATTATCCCCGGCAATGTGACTATTCCGCGCATCCTGCGTATCCGGGCCACATCCAAGCGATTCAGGCAACAGCTACACCGAGTGACTCCTCCTCTCTCGATCTTCTTCCAATTTTTCCATCCCCCAAAACCAAAGGATAACGTCGTGCAACTGGCGAACGTACGGGGAAAAACCAGCAAGATTGAAGACTTTGGGAGAAATCTTTGGAAGTCCGTTAAGGCTTGCATTGTAAGTAGAAATATATATATAATAATATTTTTATTAACTTTATTTCTTAAGAGAGAGGGGTTTTTGGCTAATTATTTTTAAGGAGATTTGTTTGAGATGACCATTCAAGGCATTTATAAAAGATTGAAACCTTCTTACTCAACTATAAAAATAAAGATGTTTAAGAATAAAGAAGAAAACACCCTTAATTTTAATAAATAAAATACTTAAAAGCTCAGATTTCTTCACATAAACAGTCATAGAAATTAAATAATTTCCTATTTGGGGAAGGTCACATTACATTATATTTGTAAATAAACAGGCTCTTAATTGCTTGAAAATAGTATCAGATAATGTAAATAATGTCTTCTTCAGTTTCCCCCTTATTTTCACACCTGTCCGCCACAATTACCGGACGCCTATTTACGTTTGCGTTACGGTTTCAAACTAATTGAGAGGTGTACCATATATATTATGCCATGTTTATTTTCGCCACCGCTGGGGCTTATAAAGAAATTAACACATTTGGCCAGGGCGATGGAAAAAACGTTGGCAAGCGTAATCGGATAGTAGACATTGCATATTTTCAGACGCCAGTCACAAAGCGAGAAAGTCTGGCAATTTCCAGGGAAAATCCCGGCCGATAAACATATTGGTATCCAATTCACAGTGCCATATATAAATCGATGGGCGACATACAAAAACCTTATCTTGTTGTTGGCTTGGCTACTGATTTTTCCATTACATTCCCCCCATTCGATCGATTCATTTGGCGTTCTGTTTTCCTATTTCCAGCCTGTTTCTGTCTGCTTTGTTTATTGTTACTTATGGTGTTTTTATTATTTTATCGTTTTGAGTCATGGGGGAACAGTGGGCCCTCTCTGTAACTACTGACAGAACGGAATGTTCTACAAGCCCCAAGCCCAGGAAAATTGTTTCATATTTATTTGCACAAATTATTATCAGGGCTTATTTACTTTATGGTTGGGGGAAACACATAACAAAACTGTTGCCCGTTTTTCGGGGCAAAATGGCGGTAGCTTTTCCCCATTTTCCCCCAAAAAAACCCACTCTCGGCACTCGGATAACTCCCATTGTCATGTCAGTTGTCGTGACGTGCAACGAAAATTGGTTTGTCGAGTATGTTGACCCAAAAAATTACCAACTCTATTGACTGTCTACGTCTAAATATGTTTGTATTCGTATCAGCAGACTATAATTGAAGGTAAACCAATTAAGTTGTAGACCACGGCGACATGAACAGCAGCAGTATTTTAGTAGTCACTGTGCTGCTTCGCCCGCCAGGCGAAATTCAATTAACGCATCAACTAAACGGATTAGCAAACACATTTTTTCCACTTTTTATTTTATGTATTTTTATTTTTTGCCAAACTGCGCTGTTTTATCTATTTTTAGAGGGCGCCCACCGAAAAGTTCAATGTGTAAGCGATCAATTGTGGTTGGGGTCTATTTTTGGCTTTGTTTAAATTTGTATTTGGCAGTCGGCCTGGTCCACTGAACAGAATTTATTATCATCGCAGATCACTGTGTTTGACCAGACAGAATTTCATCATGCGAGGAGGAAATATGAAAGAACTTTATAAGTGGAAAAACAAAGAAAAAAATAATAGAGATATTAATAATTCCACCCTTTCTTTGTACGTTTTAAATAGGATTTTCTTTGGGGAAATTATGAATTATTTATATTCTGTTTGAAAATTAAGTTTTTTGATGCATTCAAACCTTGAGGTCACGTTTTCTTTTTTATTATTTATCTTTTAAGTTAATCAAAAAATTGTTCAAGCTGGAAATATCTTATATTTATCTTGTTCTTTGTCCTGTTAAAACCTTTCCCATTCCGTCAGCTACTTTCTTTACCAATCTAAATACTTTATTTAAGCTACAACAAAAGAGTGTCACTGACCTGCTTTACTCAATTACTTGTTGGGTTTTCACTACCAAGCATTGAGCATGCGAGCTGTATGCACTGTAAGCCACATGATCTCGCCGGTCTCCCGTTCTTGAGAGATCATTCATTAACCAAAATCGCCAGTCATTTGGCAGCGAGGCGATTGTATAAGAGAGACCGAGTGTATCCATTAGATGCATCTGCCCAGGGTCGTTCCACGTTCCTCGTGAGCTCCATTGTCTTTGGGTCTCGTGATCGTTTGTTGGTCATGTGGCCAGAGTGTCTAGCTGGAACCAGGCTGTGATGTGATACCGGCAAATGGCTTACTATATATTCAAAGAATTCTAGATGTCTTATCAAAGATTAAGTGTTTTAAATTAAAACGAAACCAAAGAGAATAAATTAAATAACAAAAAACCTGTTCATCACGTGGAACAAGGCTCGTAAATTATCGCAAAATATTGTGTGAGAGCCGCGCGAACATCCCCCTTTCTTCAGTCGCTTTTTTTATTATATTTATATAAACGAGTTGCCAAAGTTCACGAAACTGGAAAAAGAAATTTCTGATTGCTGGCTGGGCGCATTTTAACTGAACTCGAGATGAAGATGCCTTCATCAATTGAAATTGATTGATTCTACCGAAAAAAAAAAACAGAAAAAAATATAAATAAATGTGTAGGGAGTAGCAGCAGAAAACGGAATTGGGAATTTGTCAATTAATTGAATGCAAACGGGAGAAAAACAACAACAGAAGCCGATCAAGTGACCACCAATAAAGTAATTACGTCACGAACTGCACAGGCGAAAAAAAATGAGAAAACTTGTACTTTGGCCTGAGAAAAGTTTAAGGTGCCATTTCCTGATGTTTTATAGAAGAAATCTTGAGTCATTTTAGCTTATTTTCATTGATTTATTCCCTGCAGAAGTTCAAGAGTCATGATAGGGAACGCATACAGGTGTAGCTAAGACAGTTTTTATACCCTTGCAGGGTATTATAATTTCAGTCAGAAGTTTGCAACGCCGTGAAGAAGACGTTTCCGACCCTATAAAGTATATATATTCTTGATCAGCATCAACAGGGGAATCTTTCTAGATATGTCCGGAAGAAATCGATTTTTTGGCCATTTTTGCAAAATTTTATAAGGGGTTACATCATTAAAAATGTTGATTTTGATAAAAAATTGAATTTTCAAAATTTTTAAATGAAGTATGCAGATTTATTAACTGTAGAATTTCTAGCACAGAACAGTTTTCCGATTTAAAATTAATGCTCTTTTGGCCGATTTATGATATTTTTAATTTTAAAAAAATCAAGAAGTTTTTTAATATAAAAAATCCGATTTTATAATACAAAATACTATTTTTGTAAGTCAAGGAATCATTTTCGACCCCATAAACCATATATATTCTTGATCAGCATCAACAGGGGAATCTTTCTAGACATGTCCGGAAGAAATCGATTTTTTGGCCATTTTTGCGAAATTTGATAAGGGGTTACATCATTAAAATTAGCAAAAATGGCCAAAAATTTTAATTTCTTAAAATTTTAAATTTGGTATGCAGTTTTTTTAAATTAATAAAAACTAACACAAAACTGCTTTCCGAATCGAAATTAATGCATTTTTGGCTTAGTTATGATATATTTTAATTGTTACCTGCAAGGGTATACAAACTTTGGCTGGCCAAAGTTAACTTTCTTTCTTGTTATTATTTAAATTTAATTGATTGGTTTAATGGCTTATTTCTTAGGTATTTACTTATTTATTTTCGTAACAAATTCTAAAAAGAAACTTCAACAAATAGAACTAAGAATAATAAGTACTTCTAGCCCAGTTATTTTCCCACCATTATACACGTTTATTGCTGGAATGTTTTCCACGCATTTTCAATTTCCTCATTAGTTGTAATTTACTACCTTCTTATGTATATCACCTTTCTACTTTTATTTACTTTTCCCCTTTATACTCACCTTATTTGCTTGATTTTTTCTTTTTTGTTTGATGTTCCAGTCGCGCTTCATTAAAATTTTGTGTGTTTCGCATTTGCATTTTGATTTTCGGTATTGCTAATATTCCACTGGCATTACCCCATAACTTGTTGGGGAGTAAATCGCATACCACTGGCTCATTCTACTCATCCAATATTTTTTTGACATTGCGCAATCGTAGGAAATGCAAGGAACACGTGACTGACATTAACTGATTTCAATAACGAAAAAAGAATAGGCATTCCGTCTAGATAGTCACTTTGTTTAGTCGATATAGCAAGCTAGCTAGCTAGCAGTGATTGATGCGAATCGCAGCGGAAAATTACGATTTCCCAAAATAGAAATACACAAAAAATAGAATATAGCTTGGCCACAACCCATCATCATGTCTGGCCGGCCACTTGAGATGGCTTCTTGAAATTCCAGCGGCAGTACATAAATTAAACCCCGTTATCTGTGTTCCCGTGCGAATCGCTTTTTCGCCTTATCTAATCGCTGGGTGTGATTAATTGTCGTTCAATTAGGCGAGCTTCAGCATATCCATTGAAAACAAACACTGAACGTGCTGTCAACTGGGTGCAGCGTGAATATCATTCTTGAAAACATGGAAACTCGAAATTCCATTCCATATTTTTAATGGGGTTTTGCCGGCCTTGTCTTCGATTTATGGGCTTTCAAAATGCACTGACTGGCAAGTCATTTAAGCAAAACAAAATTCCAATTAGCAGCTGGGCATGCCCTGCCCTAACTAGGAGCTATTATTATTATTATTAGTTATGTGGCAGTGCATAATTGGCCAGTTATGATGGGAAAAGTACGAGTAAGACGCACCTCTATGAATAAATAAAGCAAATTTTCCATTCAAGGTGAATACCTTGACATAATATGATAAATATTTCGATTTTCTAGATAATAACTACATTCATAATCTCTGTAAACTATTTCTTAAACTTTTCCCATTAGTTTCACTCTTAAAAATGAATTTCATTTGACTTTCTTAAAAATATTATAAATGCAACTTCCTTAAAATGGTATTGATTTTGCTAATAAAATGACTTTAGACAATCTTTCCTTCCCTTACATCACTTATCTTTTTAAATAAACATTACAATCTATTTTTCAGTTACTTGCAATGCTTATATATTTCAAGTACTGATATAAATCAATTGTTAAAAGCCATCAAGTTAATAGACAATTTCTAGGAATAAGCCAAAAACATGGTAAACAATTACAATCGCTTTGTTTACGATTACTCGAGCAGCCGAAATTCGGAAGGCACTCAAATTGATGAAATGTCAACACCGAAAAATGGTGAGAGACTCGAAATGCCGATACAATTAGGCTAAAACTGTTTACCCCCGAATGGGAATCGGAGAGCAGTATTAACTTGAGTGGTAGAGACCTGCAATTAACCAGTTCGCCACCGGTTTCAGCCGGCGTTAGGCAGTCTGCGGCAGTTGATGTGTTGATTTCGGCGATATATTTTAGCCCCTGGTTACCAGGTAAATCCTACTTATCAGCCGGTGAAAATTCCTACTCAATATTTGCAGGCCGCTTAAAGTACACCCGGGGATAATCGCTGGCCGCATAGGAGTTCACACGGGTCTGTTAAAATGCCCGAAAACCGCCCATCATCTCATGGCTGGCATCGCGCATACGCCGCGTGGTCCAATTTTAGCATCACCGTGCGATGCTGGTTACTCGCTTCGGTCTGTTGTTGTTCAGCAGCAACAAAGACCCATAAATACAACATGCTATTGTACCCATGACTTTGTTTTCGTGTTTTTTTTTTCGTCTTCGTCATTGGTAAACATATTGATTTCAGCGCGTGGCACGGCTCTTTAAAAGGTGTGTGTAGGCGGTGCGACCTTCTTTACTCTTGGCATAAGCTTAAGGATTATGAAATATTAGAGTTTCCTGTGCCGGGAGCTCTTTGAAAGTTCCCCAAAGAAGCATTGCCGCAAAGTTTTCACATTAAATTCAGCTTTTAGTGTTGCCTTAAAAGCGTTTTAAACAAAGTTAAGGGCTTAGGAGTTTACCTTTTATCAAAAGTTTCTGAATTTAAGTTAAATAGAATTCTAAAAACTTTTGTTTTTTTTATTATATAAGTAAAATGGGTAAAATTAATATTTAAACTACAAAAGAAAAAGCTTTTTCCTTTAATAAGGCGTTATACAAATTTATTAAGGTCAACGCCATTCCCAAAGGGTGTCATTATTCAGTATTTGCTATAATTATTATCACAAAGTTTGTCTTTAATAATAACACAGAAAACATGTGTAGACACACGCCTCCTTTATCAACCTTAGAACTCGTGCAAGGCACTTTTATTTTTATTCTTCATGTTTTGGTTCCGAAACCACTTAAACGTTAATCGCGTCTGCTCTGTCAGTCCACAAATAGTTCATGACGACGAGGGAATCTTATCGAGAATTCCTGATAAACAAAGATGGTGGGAAACTGGCACTGGCACCACCACCTGCTGCTTGGCTTTATCTGAAAAACTACAAAACTGAAAGCGAAATTCGAATAAATGCCAATTCATTTGTGGCGTTGTCTCGTGACAACCACTACTTCTAGTACCGCGACTGGTGGGGATTCGGTTCCCTGGATGTTATCCATTCCGGCCGACCTTTTGTCGAAGCTTTTTGAGTCATGCACTTGTGTGGTTTGCCTGCCGGCCTGCCTACCTGCCTCTGTGTAAACAATTATCGTGGATTTTTATTGCATAAACAATTCTGGGTAAGGTGGTAGGAATCACAATGACGGGATCCAATGAGATATTATTTGCTTCACTTTCGATGAGTAAACTGTGCCATTTCTTCAGCTCCTTTCGCTTATATAATCAATACACGACAATGTGTTTATAATTAATGTGTCCATATATAGTTTTGGCCCATCGAAAGGTGGTTCGATTTCCATTGATTCGTAGGTAAACACAAGCCCGATTGAAGTCCAATTCATTATCCATCATAAAAAGGCTTTCGAGTGTCGCTATCTGTCTGCTAGTGAAAATCCTCAAAACAAATTCCCCTTTCCGTTGGTGTCTAATTAATTTGATAAAGCCTAAGACTGGTCTTCGGGAAAGAAATGCTTTGCACGCGCCTTCTTTTGCTGGAATTCTCTAAATAAATATTTATATATTAGAAAATTGTGACATTTAAGGTGCTCTATCTGTTGGTTTTATTATGTTTTCAAATAGGAAAATCGTATATGTGTAGAAGAAAATACTGAGATGTTGACAAATATCAAATGTTTTCTTTATTTAATGTAGACATTTCTTTGCTCAGACAAGAAAACTGCGCAAAAAATTCTATGAAACTCAAGGCTGGTCCATTTTGTAAAACATTTTCTTTGATTTATTTGTGCTTAGGTATTAAAATTATTTCTTGCTTGAATATTAAAAGATTTTAGGGCTTAAATATATAGGTTTTTCTGTGGAGAAACATTTCTTAATGTATTTCTTTTGTATTTACTACTGATTAATATTTAAGTTACTCAACGTTATATAATTTTACATATTATAAAAATTAAATCTAAGCATTTTCAAACTCTTAACTGTTTAAATATTATTATTTACCTCCAAATATAATTTAAATTGAAGAATTTCGGCCTATAAATGTGTGTTAATTCCCATATATTCTTGGCATTTTGTTGCTGTTCTCGATCACGTCGCCGATTGACGTCACTGTAGGGCGCGTGCGTCTTAATTAGTTCGTCTCGTTTGCGATCCCAGATCGGGGCAGGCAGTTGACCGGAGATGCTCCGATATTCGGTTAACCTAGAGAAAGTGACTCATGGCTTTCCGAAACAACGCTCTCTCCTCTCCCCCCTCTCGTAGCTTTAATTGTTATTTTTACACACGTCGTGACATTGCACTTGAATTTTTGCGTATTTTTTTTGGCTGTGCATATTTTGGTATTTGCTTCCCGTTAACTGTTACTTGTTACCTGTGTTACCTGTCTTTGGCCTCGGTTTCTGAAACGATTTTCGATGATCCCATTCGCGTGTTGCAGGGGCCGAAAGAAAACAAGTGCATAAATTAATTCGCCTTATTAATATGGCCATAAAGTCTACCGGCTTGTCGCTAATTTGCAGGCCAGATTTATTTTTAAATCCAACCCTCTCCCCGCACCTTTTTTGGCAAATATCGCACTCTGTCTGCGGGCCACCGATTATATAGATACTACCACTATAACCCCCTCAACCGATAAGGGAAATGGAGTAGTATAAGGGTCTCCAGTTCTGGATCCGAACTCTTGTTTACCGAAGCTTTTTCGCACCTTTTTCGCAAAGAGCCTCGCGCTCGGATCGATCGGGAATTCTCCACTGCGCAGGCGCACTCTCTCGCCCGCTCTCGTTTTCCCGCATATAATTCTCTATATAATTTGCGAGGTCGGAGCAGAAATGGGTTTAATAGTGATTCGGTGCGCCCAAAGAAAGCAACGCCAGTGTTCTCCGTTCTCCTCCTCCACAAACATTTTGCTCGGCTGTGTCCGAGGAAAAGCCACAAAATCAAGCGGAAGAACCTCGAGAAAAAAAGCAGAAACAATTGAAAATAATAAATAATCGTGCCAAACGGGGCAAAAATCTTGTAAAAATAATCAAGATCCCGAAACATGTGAACTGCTGGAAAAAGAGAAAAAAAAAAGCAAAGCTAAAAGCAAATGTGAACAAGAAAATTTCAATTAGTATTTATTGAAATTTATTAAGCGAGATTTAAGGCGTTGACATTTTTATTTGTCCAACAAAAACGCCTCTCTATTCAAATCAAGAGCCCCTGTGATCAAAAAACAACCCGAGAGTGAACTGAAGTAAATTCATTGTGATAATAAATCTATTTAGACTGATTAAATTAGAGATTAACCAAAGCAGAATGACTCCGAGGCTTATAACATATATTTTGGTAAATATTTTTGTAATTTTAAGGGAATAATATTGGTCTTAGGGAAAGGGATAATTCATTTGTTAATTATATAAGAGACTTTAGTAAAGTTTATATATTTTATAACTGGTTTTAAACTGTTAAATATATAAGTATATAAAATTTTGAATTTATTTTAACCTTGTTATTATTTCGTTAATTTATTAAATTGTAAAATTATCCAGAATTTCATAAAAAGTCTTTAAAGAATGCAAATTTTAAAAGGTTTAAGTCTAAATATTGCTTATGTAATATAATAATTTCACAAATTTATTACATTTTCGTGGATTTTAGTGCCTGAAATTTAAATTTTAATTATTTTTTAAAGAGTATCCATAATTTCATCATATGTTTATATAAGTTAAAAGTGACTTCAGCTTCTATTAACAATTTTTATTACCTTTAAACCAGACTTGGCTTAGAAATGCCGCTGGACTTTGATGATGGGTCATGACTTGACACAAATAAATGTATTGAATGGAATATTACTCATACGACACGTTGAGCACTCGGCACTTATTAACCCACTTAATTGTGGCCGGGGAAATGACATTTATCGGCAGCTTTAATTGTTTATAATTTTAGCTACAAGTCTGTCACGGCATCGCCAATTGATTTTTCACATTATCTCTAAGCGATTCTCATGTTTTCCCTTACGTTTCTCTCTCTCTTTCCAGTGCGGCATGCGCCATCCCACAACTGGGCTGAACGAAGACGACCTGAGTCGTCTCACTGGTTCATCATCGTCGACGGCATCGTGCGGCAGCGCAGCCTCGTCATCGTCCTCCTCCTCATCCTCGTCAGCCGCAGCCGCTGCAGCCCGCAATGAGGGGGTTCGAAGTCCGGATAATACCATGCCAGCCCTGGCAGGCACTGGTGAGCCCCTCAAGAGCCACCTGAACAGTGGCTTTAACTCCACCTACTTGCCCGAGATCATACATCCGGCCCTGGAATGGCAGAAGTCATCGCGCAAGCGCAAGGAGCGCCTGGACAGCAGCTCGGCCTTTGGCCAGGATCGCAAGCTACAGCGCAGCAACAGCGAGGAGCTGCTTACAGACGGCGGACCAGCGGCCATTGTGTCCACGACGGCCACTGGCTGCCAGACAGCAGCCGCTGCTCAACTCCTAGAGGCCCAGTGCGATGTTATCCGTCGCGTTTCCTCCGAGGATTTTAAGCGCACGGCCAGCTATGCCAGTTACCGGCAGGAGTTTGAGCGGGAGCAGGAAGAGGCCTCGGAGCTGGGGGAAAACAATGCCTCCCTGGCCAATTTGCCAACGGGAGAGGCGGCCAAGGAGCGTCCCCGCCTGGAGACCAGTCCAGCGCGTCAGCCGTTGGCCAAGGAGACCAGCGATGACTCCGAGTGCGAGCACGAGCGGCGCCGCAGTAGCGAGCGCTTCTGCAAGTCTCGCCAGCCGCCGGTGCGCAAGTCCGGAGTGGCCAAGAAGGGCAGCGGTAGCGGAGGCAGTGGCTCCAAGTACCTGCCCTCGCGGCGGGATGAGCAGAGCGCCTATAAGTACGATCTGTCGGCCCTGAAGTACGAACGCAGAGGTTTCATAAGCAGCAGGAAACAGCAGCAGCAACAACAGCAACAGCAGCAGCAACAGGATCACAACGACAACAATTTAATAGACTTCCATCAGCAGCAGAAGGAGCTGCAGACCAAGAGGAGCGCCAGCATCTCACCCACGCCCACCACCAGCTCCTCGGCGGGCAGCGACGACAGCACGCCCACATCCAATGCCGCCCCGGCGCCCATCAAGGCCAAGCCCCAGCGGCAGCAGCAGAGCCTGGATCTCACATCCGCCCAGGAATCGCTGCCCTGGGAGCGGGGCGATGAGCCAGCTCCCATCCTGAGCCGGCGTTATGCCCACTCTCGCCCTCATATCGGTGGCAACCTCGAATCAGCTGCTCAGCTAGCCAAGGCCATGCCATATCCTCAACAGCTGCCGAAGCAGGCGGCCACAGTTCAGCTTCATGGCGACATGGACATGGAGCCCATGGATGCAGTGCGTGCATTTAGCTCGCTGGAGAATATGCGCACCCGGGATGTGATGCAGCAGGTCCTGCCCGCCATGATGGTGGCCTTCCAGACGCCCGACGAGCGACTCAAGACCATCAATCGCCGGGTGACTGTGCTGAAGAAGAAACTGGTGCAGCTGGAGGAGTCGCTGGAACAGCGACTGGGTTATAGGCCATCGCAGGCGGAGCGACTAAACGACAAGTACATGAAGAACGCTCTGGCGGAGTTGAGCAAGCTGCGCAAGGAACGCCACGAGCTCAAGACTGATCCCATCGCAGCTCTGGGCCTCAAGGTTGGAAGCGGCGGTGTCGGTGGCAGCATTGCCGGCCAGGAGGTGGCCAAAAAGCTAGAGCGCATGAAGGCTACCCTCGCTGAAATCGAGCAGGTAATAAGATGGGGTGTTTTCTTTTTTTTTGCGTATTTTAAGCTAAATCACGAGACACATTTTTATGACAATTAGCAAGTGGAACGCAGACGTCAGAGAAAGATGTCGGGTGTTTATAATAAATATAAAGAGGCGGGGGTCTGTGGATATAGTATAACATAGGATAGGATGATGGCCACGACAGCCGCAATTTGGCAATAACTTTGATCTTGTTCCATTGTCAAAAAAAAAGAGAGGTGGCACTTGGTAAACATATATTTTGTTTTGAAAACAATATTTAGCGGTTGAGCGACGTTTTTAGGGAACTTTTAAATGTAAATATAGCTTTTAGGGTTTAGGAAAAGGTCTAGAAAATGTATTTTAAACTAATTTTGAACTTTGTCTTTCGATTTATTAATATATTCTAACATTTAGGTAGATTCTTAAGTATTAAAATCAACTTAAGACATTTTTCCTAGCCCCAAAATCATTTACATAATTATTTTCTTGTAACTTTTATGGCTTCCTTAGGAAATGACCAAAGAAATCAATTCCCACATTCCAAATTGGGCGATTATAATGAGATTTCTATATATATCTTCATATACTACATGTTTTTATGGCATCTAGACAGGCCTCCTCTGTATATATTGACAAATTAATGATACATTTGTCATAGACAAAACGCCGCAGACAAACACTACACTCTTTGGCGGCCCAAAAGGAATCCACTTGAAATTGAATTTCTGCCAAGAAAACAAAGTGTGCGCGAAATGATTTTTCCTCCCTGTGGAAATGGGAAATCGCCTAAGAGGCCAAAGAGGAGAAGAAGCAGCCATCCAAGTGCCATGCCAAGCCATATATTATTGCTATACTGTAACTGTATTATTATTTGTTTACAATACGGTTATATATTCCGCACTTGTGTTTCTATTTCTGTTTCTGCGGCTCTGGCATCTTCGGAAATGTCTGCTGATGTCGCCGCCCTGTCATTGTCAGGGCCAAGGAGAATCATAAACAAATCAAAAGAACGAGTAATGCCCACAAAGCTGATTAATTGTGTTGTTTACCGATGGGTGGTGGGTGGTCTTTATCAGTTCAGTTTTTTTGTGTAGAGCTTCTGTGGCTTTTATTGTGGTTTTTTATCGTAAATGAAAGTTTAACTTTCTGATATAGATAGGAGCATTTAAATAGATATTTGTTTAGTCATTAGGTCTTTCTATATTGCACTTAACTTCTTAAAAAGCTTGCTTATCCACTTATAGGGCTTTCATCCAATATTATTGCTTTACTCACCTTTTGTTTTCTCCTTTTACAGAACCTCAACGAGAAGCGCGTAAATGGCCATCGCTCCGAGCAGCTGGAGGATCTGAATGCCGACCAGCTGGTGCAGGAAAAGAGTGCCGTGCAGCATGGCCTGCTCTACTTTGAGAGTCTGTACGGTCATCCCATTACCAAAGAGGAACGTGATGCTGCTCGACCGCTCTACGATCGCTACCGGCAGCTGAAGCGTTTGGTTTCCCGCACCGTGATGTTCGGCGCAGGAACAGGTGTGCCAGAGCTACCCACAATCCTGGAGCACGAGGCCATGGTGTTCGAGGCCACTTCCACGCCGCAGCAGTATTCATCGAACAACAGCACCGAGACCACCAACTCGCCCAGCGACTCGAATGCGCCAAATACTCTTACCCAGAATGCTTCCTCCGATGAGTCGACGACCACCACCACCACACTGACGGGTCCGGCGGCTGGAGTGGCTGCCTCGCCTCTGGAATCTTCGGCGGCCAGCGAGAATATCTCCTCGCTGAGCCTGGACCAACTGTGGGAGCAGCTGGATCGCGTGCGCGATGAGAAGGCCTTGCTGAAGGCCACCATCAGGGAGTACGAGTCGCTGTTCGAGGAGCAGAACGGTCGCAAGATGCTGAAGCAGGACCGCCGATCGCTGGAGACGGAGACCTACGCCCAGTACAAGGAGAAGAAGGCCAAGGTCCGGCTGCTGCAGGCGCTGATCAAGAAGCACATTGGCCAGTAAACCTGGATATATCCTCCTTCCATTATTCACAACAAAACACGCAAACTTATTTATTTCATACCAACCTAGACTTATGTACGCAAATTATATGTAGTTTTTAGACTTACATTTACCATATATTCTATAATGATACATTTTATGAATATTGTTGATTCCTTATTGTTTTTTTAAAAAACAACCTATTGAGTAATTGTAATAAACAAAACCCCAAAACAAAGAAAATGAAAGTGATTGGAGAAACGAAAAGAAAGTGGCCGCAAGACATTTGATTCAGATTCGACCCCTATATATCTACCATTCAGACTCCCGCACGGAATTGATATCTAATTGTAACACCCCTGAAGCACTCTCCCCTAAATCATACTTCAGTTCGATGTAAATCGTCATTGATGTTAAAAAATGACTGTATTTGGCCTTAGTTGTCCCACTCCAAAGCGGGGAGCACACACACGCACACCTCATTTGATTAGAGCCACTCTACGATATATATAGTTTGTAACGATCTAAAGGAGCAAATCAAATAATTGGAAAACCTTTATAAGTGTTGTCTGGTAGCAATGAAAATGAAACTTTTATATCGAAGATATCTAAACTAGAGACTCTAGCGATCTATAAACAAATACTCTACCCAAGGCATTATCTAGATGTGCTTTCCATTAAATGTTTCAGTGTGCAAAACCGCACGCAACCCCCATTATCCACTCGAGATCAGAGCTAGGGATATAAATCGGTATTTAAACATTGCTATAAATCGGTTTTCTGTTTGATATATTGGACCAATACATAATCCGAAAGAGACAAATAAAATTAACATTTTTAGATATTTTCGATATGATATTGAGTGCGATATTTTGGTCGGTATATCATATCGGACTTTCCCCTTCGATATACATCCCTAATCAGAACCTTCGGAGTCGAAACGATCACAAGCTAGCATCGGTTGCAGATCCAGAGATCCTCTCTGGATATTTGGTAAACGATTTGATTTTGTTGTGCAAAAAAGCAATTGGGTTTTTTGAACGTGTCTAACCCCCCGCCCCTAAGCCATGCATACGATAACGATATATTATATATATGAAATATTTACAATGATAAAGCCAAGCAAATACATATGTAACGTATATATATTTACATGTTTACATATATATACACACATATAGGACTCAACATTTACAAATTGAATATTCTTATATATGTAGAGCCCACTGAGTTGGGCCACAAAAAGCAGAAAGCATTAAAGTATCTCCCAGCTAACCGAAGCGATTGAATGTCTATGAAATAAAATATATCACGTTATATTAAAATAAAATCTGTGTTTATTTTTATTCAGCGTTATGGTTACATCAGTTTTTATTTTAGGTGTATTCGGTCCTCGTTGAGTGCGACTGCAATGAGAGATAAGATAGTAAATAGTACCGCAGTTTTTGGAAAGATTAATCACTACGTTTGAAGTGCAAATGACTGATCAGTCGCGTGTGTATTATCGACAGAGAAATTCAGCTATATGCTTGTCAATAGGTCTTCATCAGATGATATGGATATAATGGGAGGAAAGATGAAAGATTATGCTTACCCTTATGCCTAGCTGGAGAGAGTTTCCTTGTATTTATTCCATCTGCAAGTCAAAGAATACACATAATTACTAATATTGTTTAATTTGGAATTATTATAAAAAGAAAAACATTTATTTGGTCAGCTTAGTATATCATCAATTGTTTTTATGACAGGGATAACTGTTTTGGCTTAAAGGTGTTCATCATAGAGATTGTTTTTGTGTTGTCTACATTGTAACACTACTAACCTTGTTTAGTCCAGCAAAATCAGTTTATTCTGCGACTGGAAACCACCACATGGAATAATACCTACAAGAGACCAGAAGGTATTGATTAGAATATATCAAATACTACGATTTTCTTGATTAATGCAGTCATGAAAAGGTTAATTCAGTCATTAAAAAGTTAGCAACACATGTACATTCAGTTATATGCTTGTCTATTGGTTTGTCATCAGATAAAGTGGTGAAAGATCCTAGGAATGAATTATATACACACCTCAACTAGATAGATAGCATCCGAAACATTCACCAAGATACCTGTAGATAAAAGAAAAAAATTGTTTTATTATATATTTCATTATAAAAAATAAATAAAAATATTAAAGAATAATTTATCAGTATTTAATAACCAATCGACATCATTTCTCCGACTGGGGCGGTATTCAAAAGCATCATTTTAGTTCTAAAATATTATATAAACCAGAAAAAGCCTTACCTTTTATTTTCTAAGAGTTCCCAAAGCCTTCTACTTCGTCTTTTCCAATTTCGAAGTCTGTAAACAACAACAAAAATTGTCTTTATAAGCATGTCATCAAAAGGCATAACATATATTAGTTATTAATGCAAATTATCAGCAAATAATAACCAATCGACATCATTTCTCCGACTGGGGCGGTATTCAAAAACATCAGAATAAAAACTAGAAGTAAAATAAAGCCTAATAAACCTACCTTTTACTTTAAAGATTTTACATTTTCCCCAATGGTTAAGCTTTAGGTGTCATGTTGACCGTGCAATCTGCAATAAATAAATATATACATTATATATCCTCATTTCAAATAAGCTAAATAGGCATTTTAATTTATACTAAATCAGCAATTTAAAACCAATCGACATCATTTCTCCGACTGGGGCGGTATACGAAAACATCATAAATCAATTTACAAATATTTAAATAGAAAGTAAACACACCTTTTTGTCGAGCTAGCAATCATTCTCTGACGTACTTGGCACTAACAGTTCTGTAAGTAAATAAATAATATATTAGCCAAGCTCATAGAAGAAACTCAAAGTTAAAAATAAAAGGTAATTGGTCAGCTCATTTTATCATCAATTATTCTTATGACAGGGATAACTGTTTGGCTTAAATAAAGGTGTTCATCATGAAAGAGGAAACTTAATTAATTTGTTGTTCGTAACTCATAACTTACTTTTTCTTTGCAGAACTTTCCTTGACAAGAGAGATTATTCGAGATAAACCTCCTAAAAAGAAAAGGAAAAGAAATTAGACATGGGAAATCTTGACAATACATAGAGTGTCGTATATGCAATCAGCTTGTTATATCATCAATTATTCTTATGACAGGGATAACTGTTTGGCTTTAAATAAGGTGTTCATCACTGCATATACAAAGGGATTGCATTATTTGTATGCTTACCTTTATAGAAACAGGATCTGGAACGTTTGTTATGTCCTCCATCAGTCAAATCCTGTAAAAAAAAACTCTTTAAGGGGTTTTCTAAAATATTCAAAATCTATGAATTTTCCAAAGTCAGTCGTGTGAAAATCAACATGATTATTCGGTTATATGCTTGTCTATTGGTTTGTCATCATAAAAAATACTTATTGCTTATTTTTCAAAGTGAAAACTCACCATTTTGAAGGATTAACCATTATAGATGCCTGCAAGCGCCCATTTATGCTTTCTGTAAATAAGAAATAAAGATTTTTCTATAGAAAACATAGCATATATTAATAAATTTTATATAAAGAAAGTAAATCAGCAATTCATTTTTGCGTTGGTATGGAACAGTTTTCTTCATAGAATATCAAAGCGAGCTGGGTAAATGTTTCATCATTTTAAGAGTAGGTTTCTAAATGCATATAAAAAGCATAGTTACCTTTTTAGCAGTCTGGAGCAGTGGAAGAAATGTCATTGTTAGGTTCAGCAGTCTGAAAAATAAAGGAAAACAATTTTATAAAATGTATTCCTGTTTTTCTATGGTTCCTTTATAGTTTTTAATTTGTGCTTCAGTTACAAAGGTGAAAGTTGTCATCAAAACTTTTCAAGAGTAGCAAATAATAATCGTTCATCATATTCATAATTACATAAACACTTTTTTAATACATAGATAAATACATACCTTGGAAAATATCCTGTAGTTATAAAACTTTGCTTCTCAGGCTGGCAATTATTTCTGAAAATATAAATAAAATGGCTTTACAATTTATGTTTAAGTAGACTTAAAATTTTGTATGCCAAAAATTAATCAGCAATTCATTTTTGCGTTGGTATGGAACAGTTTTCTTCATAAAATATCAAAGCGAGCTGGGTAAATGTTTCATCATTTTAAAGTTTAGATTTTATATGTATTTTAATGTTATTTATTTACCTTATAAACCAGCTTCCTCATTTTCCTGGATTAAACATTCATTAATCTGGAAAGCAAAAGAACATATAATTATTATATTTTCCAATTATTTATTGCATTTCTATTTTAAAATTTATGCTTCAGTTTAAAGGTGAAGGTTGTCGTCAAAACTTTTCAAGAGTAGCAAATAATAATCAAATCATCATATTTTAGTTATATTTAGTCTTAGTTTTTTATAAATATAAAAATACACACCTAACTAAGTCGAGCTCTCATTTAGTTCATGATACTGCTGGTTTTGACTGTCTTTTAGGTCTGTAAATAAAGAAAATGCTTTTAAAATACATATTCAAGTAGACTTAAAATTAAGCTTGTAATTAATAAATCAGCAATTCATGTTTTGCGTTGGTTGGAACAGTTTTCTTCATAAAATATCAAAGCGAGCTGGGTAAGTGTTTCATCATATGAATGGAAGTGATTTTAATATTACATTTTATATATAAATTACCTTGTTTCCCGTAATCAAGAAATTAACCATTGGTACTGCAAATAGATGAAAGAAAATATAATTAATATTGAGGAATAAAACTGAGAATTTTCAAAGGGCAGATAAAAAGTCAGCAATTCATGTTTTGCGTTGGTATGGAACAGTTCTCTTCATAGAATATCAAAGCGAGCTGGGTAAATGTTTCATCATTCAAGGAATTGAATATGGTAAAGAATTCATTTAACGATGCTTACCTTGTACAGCAAATAGAAGGTCATTTAACCGGCTTTTCCACAGGTACAATCGGGTTTAGCGTCCCTTTAGGGGATCTGAAATTTGGAAAATCAAGGTTAATGTTCGAATCGATCAGGGGCTCTCGGAAATTCATTGCTTGATGGAGGCATCAGTATATAAAACCAATCGACAAAGTTATTCCGACTGGGGCGGTATATGTTTGGCATCACAGAAGCAATAAACTCGGAAATAATGCCGACCGAAACTAACCTTACTTTGTGGGGACACGTGTCGGGCATGGAATTCATCCAAAATCGACCCCATCATCCGGGGATTTCACTTTCCAGGTCATTATATTGTCCATAATCATTGCTACCACATGGTATTCTGCAATTTAAAAGCACAAAATTAGTTATTTTGCAATTTGGTCACCAAATACAGCGGCCACATGGGGCTTTTGGCTATCAGCATTGAAAACCAATCAACACGTCTCTTCAGACTGGGGCGGTATTAAATCAACATCATTGAAACCAAGTGGCTAACTTTCAGAGTGTTAATATAACTTTATATTACCTTTTTGAGTTGTCAAGACACGGCAAAACGCAACTGTTCATTTTGGGAGAAAATTTTAAATGAAAGAATGCACGTGCGACTTGAGTAGAGGTGGAACACTGTCGATGATGCTATCGATTACATCGATTGTTCGTGTATGACAGTTTGGCGAAACATCGACAGTTTTAGGCCCCCTGGATTGTTATCCGCTTTTCTTGGAGAAGCTGTCAAAGTAATGATTGGAAAAATAACAAATAAATTAATATATAGCTGTAGGTATTACAACAAAGCTAAATTTTTATTAAAAAGGTGAAAATATATAAGCAAACTTTGCTAATTGACTGGCATACAACGGTTGAAGACATTGATAAAAGGTGCAGAACTTTGCTAATTAAAAAATTACAGACTATCGATATTTTTATAAAGTGACCGCAACCTGGACGATAAAATTATTTGAAAAATACCACAGCGGCTTGTGGAATATTTGTCAGGGTCACCAACGGCCTCTTTAAGTGTACTTGTTGTTGGTTTCCGTTGCTACTCGTGTGCACCCGCTTTGCGTAACTTTTGATTTTAATTTCCTACGCGAACCGCTTCCACCGACGCAATGGTGCTGACCAAGGAGTATCGCGTGTGCATGCCGCTTACCGTGGAGGAGGTGAGTGCCCGCCCCCATTGCTCCACCTGAGGGAACTCAACCTTGAGCTTTTATGTCATCTTTTTGCAGTACAAGATCGGGCAGCTTTACATGATTGCGCGCCACAGCCTGGAGCAATCGGAGGAGGGCGAGGGTGTGGAGGTGGTGGAGAACCGTCCGTGCGAGGACCCCGTCCACGGCAAGGGACAGTACACGGAGAAGCACATTCACTTGTCCAGGTGGGAAGCCCATTCTTAGATGCTGCGCAGTTTCCGGATAGCTCATTAAAGACACGATTTTGCATTTCGCTTCCCATTTACGTCAGCCGGCTGCCCTACTGGATACAGGCCATCTGCCCGCGCGTCTTCTACGTGATTGAAAAGTCCTGGAACTACTATCCCTACACGCTAACAGGTGAGCGAGCCCCACTGAGCAATGGCCACTGCGCATCCCCATTCCGCGCCATCCTATCCCCAAAGGGGGAGGCTATTTTTAAACCCACTTAATTATGCATTCCGGAGGTTGGGATTCCTTAACGCCTTCATCACTGACTGTGGCTCTTTTCCGGCCATATGGCAGAGCTCTCCGAGAACACATCGTGTGTTCTTTTTGGGGGCCAGCAGAGGAATTCCACGTTATCATTCAACCGGCCGGCATAGTGGTGGGGGTACGTCTGCCGATAAAGGCGCCATTAACCATCACACACACACCTGTCGGACCTGTGATACGTCATCCGTATCGATATCACCACCGGAACAGAGCCAGCCCAAGCTCCCAAATCAGCGTTCGGCAATTGGTTAACACAACTGTCGCAACTCCCAGAGCCTTTCTACCGGCCGATAAAATCTGTTTACACGCTGTCCAAGTGCACTCTAACGATAAGGTTGCCATATGCACTCTACGGGAATCGCGGTTTGCGTGTTTAGGCTTTGGGTCGTTGACTTTTGAGCTAGGGATACATTACAAGCTGGTTTATTTACTTACCTATCAGGATGGAGGTGTATCACCATTACCAGCAGCTGGTTTGTTGGTGGCTTTAGATGAAAGCTTACAAAGCCATATGGGTTTTTGGGATTCTGTGACAGGCAATTTGAAGGGTATTTTGTAGTGTTTTATATGGAAATTAGATATTATATCAACCTTTTCTTTATGTTTTATCATTGTTTATAGTATAGGGTCTTTAAACGCCTAGATATCAAAGAAAATAAGTCCTAAACAAAGCCGAAAAAGTCCCTGTTTATTTTAGGTTTAATTACACACGATATTTCCAGCTCATAACTAAATTATTTTTAAGCGCTTCTATCCCAAAAATAACCCATTAGACACGCTTGAATATTTGATGAGTGCGGTTAGTTTATTGATTTATTTTTGGATTTCTGCATTATAATTTCATGCGCTATAATCGGGACTCTAATTGGCTGGAACGGAAAACCCTGAAACAGAATACACGGTAATTGGTATGGCTTCTATTTCGGTTGTCCTTCGCTAACCAATTATCCTCAATTTACAGTGCTCCTTCATACCCAAGCTAAATGTGCTCATCAAAACCAAGTATGAGGACAACAACGGCAGCACTGAGAATGTAAGAACTTGGTTTTCAAGGTCCCTAAACGTTATTATGACAGTGATTAATAAGGCTCTTGATTGATAGTGTCTGGACTTGTCAGAGGAGGAGCTTAAGACCCGCACCGTGGATCATTTGGACATAGCATTTGATGACCTCAGTCCCAAGCATTACAAGCAAGAGGAGGATCCCAAGTTTTACAAATCCATAAAGACAAGTAAGAGGCGGCGATTTATCGAAGAATATAATTCCATATTAATTTTACTTTTATCCGTAGATCGCGGCCCACTTATCGAGGGCTGGCGGGATACAGACAAGCCCATTATGTGCTCCTATAAGGTGGTCCATGCCACCTTCGAGGTCTGGGGCCTGCAGACCAAGGTAGAAGACTTTATCCAACGCGGCATACGGGAAATTCTGCTGCTGGGCCATCGGCAGGCCTTTGCCTGGCTAGACGAGTGGCATGGCATGACCCTGGAAGATGTGCGCGACTACGAGCGCCAAAAGCAGGCCGAAACCAATGAGAAAATCCACAATACCAGTGGAGGAGCAACCAACAATGAAGCTGCGGCGGCAGGTGATGCCTCCGTTGGCGATGTGGATTAAGACGTAGACTAGTTAAGGCAACAGGATGCAGGCTGCAAAATGTACCTTCAAGGCCTCGCGGCGAAAGCTTACAAAGTTTCATAGGAAATATCTTATTCTAACATAGCATATATATATACAAATATATATGTATATCAGTGTCGATGCATTTTCAACCGGTCCAAAGAAGCTCAGAGCTCAGGAGGCACAAGAGCACCAAATATTGTTATCAAGCATAGAGAGCACGCAATTTTTAGTCAAACTTACTATATATATATATACACACGCTCTAGTGAACGGTTTGTGTTAACTATAACCCTTAGTTATTGATGTAAATTCGGTGTACAAAATACAGAATACATAGTAGCGATGTACCTAAAAAGCCAGCAAATGTTAATTACTTTTATTCTGCACCTGACCAGGGTTATTATTTGGCTCGAAATGGTGTGACCACTATTAACAGGCAATTTGTATGCCAATGAACCAGGTAGTGAGTGGGTGATTCACTAGCTATATTTCTATGGAGGTGCTATGTGCTAAGCAGATGTTACTCCCACGCAGTTCGACCCTGACACTGATCGTAAATCATTAGTCTTACACCCCCCAAACGAAAACAACAGCTGCTCTGGCTAGAACGAGCCCCCAAAATATCAGGCGGAGAGCGAGAGCTATTGATAAACCCATAGAGCCTCTCGCGGGGGCCACCAGCTGATTTCACGCTGGAGATCTCACAAAAATAATGCCAAGAAGAAGCGGCAGCGGCAGCCACCAGCGATTCGCGTACGCTTTCGCGCCGCATTTGAACTTCAAACGCGAGAAAAGTAGCACAGCGCGGATAGATACGCGGATGCGTGGAGCGATTAAACGGCGTGGCGCGCAAAAACAAATTTTTTTATATTTTTTCTGATTATGTATTTAGCATAGAGAGCAAATGGCAAAGCCAAAACAATTCCATCCGTATATTTAGCCTACCTGTGAGCGCGCGATGACAATGAAATATTCTGAATGAAAAACATCTTCGCTCGGATAAACAGTTTTCGTCTTGGAAGTAAATATTTAAAATATACAAGACATTGCCATGGCGCGGAGAAGTGCTGTGAAATATATTTCCCTATTTATCATGATCTTAATAAGGTAAAAATAAAAATAGCGGTGTGTGCAATACAAGCTCTTATCAGTGGGCTTTACAACTCGAACAGACTGTGTCTAGCTGATTTATTAATAAACATACTAAATCCTATTCTGGGTTAGGCCATATGTGGGCCATATAGTCATATAGTCAGTCTTTGTTAAACCTTTTATATGAATAGTAAAGTTAGTTATCGCCGCAGCAAAATCAAACTGAACTGATTGGGTTTTATGGTTATTATAAATGGCCTAAATGGGTCCAAAGTATGGGCACTTGGCTTACCTGGCTTCTAGTTATTTTCCAAGCTCTTAAACTCAATTTTCCTTTTAACTCTTCTAACTCTGATGAGGATCACACGCACAAAATGTGGTAATTAGGTGCCATAAACTGCAAAGGTAGCTGAAACACTTCCTCAGCATTCTCAAAATTCAAAACACCCAAGATAGTACCTTTATCGCTCAACCCCAAGCAGCGAGTAAGGGAAAACAGGCAGGTTTTTTTGGCTACCAATTTAAAAATTCTTATCACACCAACGGAGGCCGTCGACTATAAAAAGGTTTTGTTTATCAAACGTATATATAACACAAACGAAATGCTCTTAGATCTTGTCTCCTTATATATTCCCCCATAATTTCCTCTTGTCATCTCTCCTCCAGATCTAATTTAGGTTCTTGGCCAGTAGTTATCATCCGGCAATCTCAATGAAAATCGACAGCCGCTGTCATGGCGGGGATTCATAAGTAGATTTATTTAGATTTATTTCCATTGCGGAATTGATAAACGGGTTTCGAGTGCTCCGAGTGAGAACGGGTTGAACAATAAGCCCAAATTGGCTTAAATTTAATTATTCTTTGCACATTTTTTGTTGTAAAAATTCAAGTGGAAGTAGAGTACTTGGAGGGTTTTATACCCCAGAATGTCGCAAGTGGTTCTTACCCAACGCAATTTGATTGTTTTCATCAAAATAGCAGGCCAATTGCTCCAAGGTCACAAAAGTCAACTGAAAAATGTTTTGAGGCAAACTTTTCAATTAAAATTGGACAAAAACACGCAACTAGGGATGAAATCAAATCGGAAATATGGTAGAGTTTGATAAATCGAAGTTTAGAATATCGAAAAGTATAGTTTTGTAACATTAAAATATCTTTATTATCGAAAAAAAAGGTTTTTAAACAATATTTTTATATTTTAAATATTTTTAAAAAATATAAAAGCTCTTCTTCGGCATAGTTTGAAATATTAAACAGAATATCCATTTATCGGAACTTTTATTTATCGACTTTTATATAAATCTTAGCGGTGAATATCGATGCAGCATCGATTTATGAATCTTTTCAGCGATCCCCACACGCAACTTTTGCTTACAAGCAAAAATATATTGAAATACAAGTCTGAAATTCTGTATATTTTGTTTATTTTATAAATTTGGCCCCTGCTAATTAGTGATAATTGCTCGCAAGTCACTCGCAGAAAGAGTGTCGATTCTGTCAGCTATGATTTTTGGTCTTTATGCGACCGAGTCTGAGCCTCAATATAAAACGAATTTAAATATTTGTCGTTTTACCACTTGAAATCAAACAAAGCTGCTACCGAATTCCAAATTTTTTTCGCCTGTATTTATTAAGTAAATATTTTCGCGGTTATTATAATGTTTCACTTTGTATTGTGGATTGTTGAGTTTAACGCCTTGAACGTAAGCGAAAGGCTACGAAAACTTGTTAATTGTCTGTTAGACCCACTTAGACCCCTCAGGAAAATGCGCGGGGATATATTAAGAGATGATGTATGTATTTTCAAAGATTATTTTTGGAATCGAATATATCTGAAAATTATGTTTGGCAACATACTAAGAGATGCTGACCTACCTCTCTCTTTATACTATATATTAAGTAACATAATTTAGTTTAAGTTCTATTAGCTTTTTCGGGGAGGACTGTCTGTCACCCTGTGATCTGGCACCTCGACATGTGCTAAGTGGGCATCATGTGATGTACTCTCCTCCGTGCGCTAATAGAACCGCCATATAGACGGAGTAAACAAGAGATTTTCATACTGCGCAGGCACACGGCTCGGAGTTGTGCTACCGTTCAGATTAGTGACTCTATATACATATATATGTTTACCCCAAGTCGGCTAGAAGCAGTTTGCAGTGCCTAAAACCCAACCAAGAGCCAAAGACCAGGAGCTATTTTTAAATCAAGTTGCGAAAAATAGAACATGCTTTTTGGAGGTTCTTATAAGACTTATCTGTGAGTAGCAAATTTCCTGGATCTCTTTTTGGTACCATAAATAAAAAAAAAGAGCTAATTAAATAGTCAGTATCTAATTTTTTGTAGTATTCCGTCCGTATCTGTGTTTTTCCCCAAGCAATTAAGTCTTACCTGGCATCTGCTTATCATGCGTTGGCCCTAAACGAGCGTTGCTCTGCGACGGAATTATCACCAGCAATTTGAGGGCTCTAAAAATAATCATGAGATAGTCTAGTCTAGTCTGGTCTATTGACTTACCAATTATCTGCTACTTAGACTGAGCCAAGCCGCCGAGGAGTCTGATGGCCCTGAAGGAACCACCACTACAATGGTGGCCACCACCACCACCACGAAGATCACTACGATGCCAGACTTTACACATGGCTGCTATGACTGGACGTCTGCTCCGGAGGCAGCGGGCGGAAACTGTGCCAGATTGACCCGAAACGGAACCCTGAAGTGCTACGGCGGGATGAATAACCTGGCTGCTCTGACGTGAGTACTCTTTTTTCGCGTTGTTTGTCCTACTGATGTTCGTGTAAACACCCAAATTTAAACAAGAAATCGTAAAAGAGTCTTTACTTAAGTGTCTTTCAGTTAATAGAATATTTTTAGAGACGTAGATTCAGGAAAATTGGAGTTTCCCATATTTATAAAGCGTTTCCTTTAGGAGAATTTGATCAAATTCCTTTGAAATACTTTTGATTCTTCAGTTTATTTTTAACATTTGATCTTTATTGTCTTAAAAAAATATATAACAAGAAAGAAAGCTAACTTTGGCCAGCCAAAGTTTGTATACCCTTGCAGGTAACAATTAAAATATATCATAACTAAGCCAAAAATGCATTAATTTCGATTCGGAAAGCAGTTTTGTGTTAGTTTTTACTTATTTAAAAAAACTGCAAACCAAATTTAAAATTTTAAGAAATCAAAATTTTTGGCCATTTTTGCAAATTTTCATGATGTAACCCCTTATCAAATTTCGCAAAAATGGCCAAAAAATCGATTTCTTCCGGACATGTCTAGAAAGATTCCCCTGTTGATGCTGGTCAAGAATATATATGGTTTATGGGGTCGAAAATGATTCCTTGACTTACAAAAATATTATTTTGTATTATAAAATCGGATTTTTTATATTAAAAAACTTCTTAATTTTTTTAAGATTAAAAATATCACAACTCGGCCAAAAGATCACTAATTTTAAATCGGAAAACTGTTCTGTGCAAGATTTTCTACAGCTAATAAATCTGCATACTTCATTTAAAAATGTTGAAAATTCAATTTTTTATCAAAATCCAAAATTTTAATGATTTATCAAATTTTGCAAAAATGGCCAAAAAATCGATTTCTTCCGGACATGTCTAGAAAGATTCCCCTGTTGATGCTGATCAAGAATATATATGGTTTATGGGGTCGGAAATGATTCCTTGACTTAGAAAAATATTATTTTGTATTATAAAATCGGATTTTTTATATTAAAAAACTTCTTGATTTTTTTAATACATTTTTAAAATTAAAAATATCATAACTCGACTAAAAGAGCATTAATTTTAAATCAGAAAACTGTTCTGTGCTAGATTTTCTACAGTTAATAAATCTGCATACTTCATTTAAAAATGTTGAAAATTCAATTTTTTATCAAAATCAAAAATTTTAATGATGTAACCCCTTATAAAATTTTGCAAAAATGGCCAAAAAATCGATTTCTTCCTGGCATATCTAGAAAGATTCCCCTGTTGACGCTGATCAAGAATATATATACTTTATAGGGTCGGAAACGTCTCCTTCACTGCGTTGCAAACTTCTGACTGAAATTATAATACCCCTGCAAGGGTATAAAAATTAAAATTTTTAGTAATCCTTACCTTTTTCTTCCAGTAAACTCAGTCGCCATCAGCCAGCCCTCGAAATGCTCCTCTGCGGCTGGCCTCACGATGGCTTCAATCCCCTTAAAGAGCTGCAGAAGCTGCCCCGTCTCCGATCTCTTACGATCGAATACAGCGGTTTCACTGAGTTCAAGTTCGACTTTCCGGAAATGCATGACCTGCAGACCATCAACATTTCATGGACGAATCTCTCGTACATCTCCTCGCGCACCTTCAAGCGAGTGCATCCCCTCAAAATCCTGGACCTGCGCTGGAACCAGCTTATTCAGCTGGATGGACCCCTTTTGCTGCCCCGCAATTTTGAGCAGCTGTATCTGGCGGGGAATCCCTGGAACTGCACTAGGAATTTCAAGTGGATTTTACTGCAGCCGGAGAAGGGACGACTAGTGGTGGACAGGGATGAGCTTATCTGCACGGATCGCAAGTACAAGGAGCGCCAGATGCTGCTTGTTATGCATTACAAATTGGTGAGGTTTAAAGTAAACAAACCATTATAATTTATATTTAATAAAATATAATTTTAGGAGTTGAAAACTCAATGCCAGTCTCATGAGGATCTGAGGAACTGCACTTGCCTGATGCATCATATCTTGCCCAAGACACACATTCCTTTATACACGGTGAACTGTTCCCACTTGCAGTTTCATCGATTGCCTGCCTTTTTGCCAGAAAACACAACCACGTTGGCCATTAATGATAATATGGTGAGATTAATGATATTTCCCTTTTCTAACTTTATAATAAAACTTCCTCTGTACCCCCAAGATCAGCGACATCAATCCTCTACGTGACAATCCCCACTATCGCCATGTGGTGGACATTCAGCTGGAGAACAATCGCGTATCCAATGTGGACGACTTGGAGGACACCTACTGGCTGCAAAACTTCCGGCTGCTCAACTTGCGTGGCAACAATCTTCGCAAGCTTCATGTCTACGCTTTGGATAATGCTTTAAACGACAATGAGAATGCCAATCTGTTGCTGCTCAGTCGGAATCCCTGGCATTGCACCTGTAAGTTTGGCAGTCGTCTTCGGGAGCTACTAACCAAGTACAAGGACATTGTGAGGGATGCCTGGAATGTGTCCTGCACCTACATGCAGGAGGATGAGCAGCGGCTGGCCAAGGTGCTCACCCTCAGTCGCCAGGATATGTGTAATGTCAGCGTGGATAGTGGTCCTCTGATACATCCCATTGACTGGCTTAATGCCGTGCTGGCAAGTCTTATACTTCTCATCCTGGGCAAGCTGGCCTTTGATTACTATCATTACAAGTATTACGGACGAGTTCCTTGGATTGTGATGAAAATGCCTTAGCTTTAAGGAGGTGAATATGGAGGAGAAAAGTTTGAAATGGTATCTAAAATATCATTACCTTTGGGATTTCGAAATTTAATTAAGGAAAAATATCACATTTAACGTAAAAAAAATCTAAATATTAGTAAAAAATGATTTATTTCTTCCTTTCCCAAAGTAAACCACAGAAGAAAGTATTTCTCAAACACAGACGACAACGCGACGGTTTATTTTTCATAAATCTACAAAACAATACCGATCTTTGTATCATATATGAATATTTATGTATATATAGGTATTTATGTATTATGTATATTTAAGCTAAGTCAACGCAAAAACTCTCAAAATAGTTGTTTGTCTTCTATGTATATAGCATTTTGCACAGAATTTACAGTGCTGCTAAAACAGTTTCATAGTTTAAAATCATGTCTCCTCTCAAGTTCCTTTCACATTCGACGGTTTTTTGCATTTAAATTGGCACAAAGCGCTTAAGAATACCATAAAAATATAATTAAGATAATGATAATAGAGCGACTAAGAACGGAACGAGTGCTACAAATAATTATTCCACCTAAACGAATCTAATTCTTGCATCGTATTTACAATTAAAAGTGTAAGATATAGTAACTAAAATAAGTGTACAGATTACAAGCTTATAAATTAAACAACAACAGTGCTGGACATTGTAAACGAAGCATAAAAACAGTTTTGTACTTTACATCGATCAAGTGAAATGATAAAACAAGGCTAAGGGGAATCCCACGCGAGTGGGGGCTTGGGAAAAGTTCAACAACTGCCGCGTTTCTCTTTGTAAATTTGCATATAAAATTCGTCAAAGTAAGAGTATAAATATGCTTTTAAAATCGAGTTCCCTTGTATATTATGTATATGATATGGAAACATTTTCCAAACCGGAAACAACTCGCGCGGGGGGAGATCGCAAAGTAAACAACAGCAGCGGATGGCATTAAGTTGGCTTTTTTACGGCGCTTCCCGTTAACGTTTTTGGTTTTCTTCTTTTTTTGGCTAAGCATGCGAGTATTCAATATGTTTATAATTATTACGACGATCTAGGCTACGTCCTAGAACAGCATGTAGGAATGATCGCGTTCCAGCCGCGACTTGGCGCGCATCTGTATGTTACCAATGGGATCCGAGGGCGGTGGTATCCCATTGATCTGATGGGTGGGCTCCTTGTAGAAGAACTCGGTCCTTCCGCTCTTGTGGCCATAGTAAACAGAGTCATGGGATCTGGCAGGGACATCATTTTATATTACAACTTTAAGGAGAGATTGGGGACTCACCTCAGTATCAAGTCTGTGAGATGATGGTGACCACTGGAATGTATCGAGTGCATGCTCTCCAGTATATTAAGCTCTAGGGGATTCCAGGGACCATTCCTTTGGAGCACATCCCATTTGGCATCCACGCACATGAAGCTATAGTTGCTGCCATCCCGCTTGTCGCCCTCCACATTCACATTCAGAGTCTGATTCAGTTGAGATTCCATGTGCGGAAACTTGGCCACGCAAATGTCAAACTAAATCGGGGGAAAATCAATTATAAATAGCAAAAAAAAGAAGGAAGAAACAATCTTATACTCACCATCTTCTGCACCACCTTCTGCTGATGACAGGTGCCCTCCTCCATGAGCAAGAGCAGGGTCATGTTCTGCTGTCCGCATATATACAGTTCCGTGCGCTGCAGGCCATCAGTTTGTCCAGAAGCTGGCGGCAGAGCAGGAGCACTGGACATAACAGCCAAGGCATCCACTGCATCCTCGCATTTCAAGGAACTGCGACGTGGAAAGACCTTGCTGCTGGTCAGCGGCGTTTGTATTTCAATCGGTGTGGTTTCACTGAGAGCCAGAACAGACAGCTTGGCCATTAGGGGAGTCAAGGGTACACCTCCTGCCACACTGCGACTGGAGGAGCGCTCTCCAAATGTAGCTTCACCCGCTGACTTTAAAGGCAAGGTCATAGAACGCTTATCCAAGGGAGTCTTGGCCTTTGCAGAGTTGTTGAGATTCCTATCAGCCGAAGCTGCCTCCGCCTCTGCAGCCTGTTGTCTCATGTGCTCGTCCAACTTCTGGATTTCAGCATTAAACTCCTTGAACTCCGCCACCAAAGCTGCCAGCTCAGCATCCTGATGAGCCTGCTCGCTGGCTGCCCCCCACAGCCGGCGGTACTGATCGAGGAACTGCTGGAACAGACTGCGAGAGATCTGCTGGCCGTTAGTATTGAAAACCGGATAGGTGGGATCGCTGATGGTTCGCGAAGTGATCTTCTCGTCGTTCTCTATGAAATCCGGCGAGCCTGACGAGGAGTCATCACTATTACCACTTCCATTTCGATTAACATCCGTCTTAAAGCCCGTGATGTGGTTGAGTTTCTTGGAAATGGCACGCAGGGCATCCTGCAGATCCGCAGACGACTTGCGGCGAGTCATCTGCTTGCTAGGATTGCTGATGAAGTTCTGGAAGAACTTCTCCACATCAAGCTTCAGGGAATTGCGCCGCGACTGTGACTTGCCATTGGAGTTGTGGACATCCTCGGCCTTGCCCTCGGGATCATCGGGATTGGCGCAAATGGACATTACACTGCCCACGGGCAGAACTTTGTTCTCGGTCATTGGGGTGTTGCACACGCTGGTGCGTCCAATGAACTCCGGATAGGAGTCTGTCTCGTCAAAGTTGATGGATGCGATTCCGGACTCGGGCAAGTCCTTGCTGTGCATGCTCTTGAGGCGCAGTGGAAGGTGTGTGGGTCTCATGGCCTTGGGTCTAGCTGGGGGCATCTCCACGGTAGTCGGTTGCTGCGACTGCTGCTGCTCTTGTTCTGGCGCCTGCTCCTCCTCGGGTATGTGGGTGAAGATCAGCGACTTGTCCCGCTTGATTTTCCGCTTAGCATATTGGAAAGGCATTCCACTGTGCGGCAGCTGAGCTGTGCTCATCAGCTGCAGATTCTGGGCACGCTGGGCCTCTCCAGCCAGCTCACGGTACTGCTTCTGCTCCATGTAAACCACCAGCATCTGGACGCCATTGGGAATGTGAAACTGCTGCTGGATGGACACCTGCTCGGCGGCTGTGCGAATGTGTCGCGGATCGGTGAGGACCAGTTGCTTGGTCACCATGTCGCTTAGCTGAGAGGCCACCACTCTGAAAGGAAAAGGAATAAATTCTGCGATTCTTAAGATTTAAAGTTTGCTTAAACTCACTTGTTGTGGTAGAGTATGGCCCCACCTAGGATCCCCTTAGTCTGCTGGCAACTCTGCAGCGTTTGTATGGCCTCCAGGAAGATGTGACTGGCGGTCTGTTAAAGAAAACTTTATATTTATAAATGAACTCTCAGAAAGCTCAAGGATTCACCCACCTTTGGCATGCGCAACCTGGGCACATTTTGGAATGTGTTGCCATTCCTTTGCAGCATTGGCAGATATGTCTCAAAGATGTGGTAGAGCTTCTCGCTGAGATTTCGACTATTCAATGCAGGTGGCAGAGCATACTGATCGTATAGAGTTTGCAAATCGCGATGGAAAAACTTGAGCAGGGAACTCAGCAGCTCGGCGCGGTGTTCTAGGAGTTCATCGCCTATGTTACGATCAGTGCCAACAGCCTTTAAGTATAAAATTTTTAATTATATTTTAAATATTTAAAAAAATAGAGTTTAATAATTACCAAGGTAAAACGTCCAAACTCCTTGAGCACAAACTTGCCATTCTGCAAGGCCAGGATACGCGGCTTGAAGAAGCAATCCTTGAGGAAGTACGAAGTGCCCATCAACTGTCCGCAGAGAGCCACCTTTTGGGTATCCGAAACCCAACTGGGATGGAAATATAGCACCGCTGCTATGGGATCATCCGCTTCTTCCTGAAGACACTCTGTGTCGTAGACAAACACAATCATAGTCTCCCTAGAAGTAGGTCAAGACAGAAGAGAAATTAAGAAAGGTTTAAACAAGAAGAATTTAATAAACAATTAAAAAAGGAAAGCAATATTCCAATATCTTAGTTTCAAGGAACTTTTTTCTAATATATTTTCCACTACAAGTCAATTTTAAGGCTTCGTTATAGACCACCTTTCGCTGAGGAGCAAAGGCTCCCGTTGCTTCTGCTGCAGCTGCTGCCATCGCTTGTGCCTGGACTTGCGCCAGTCCCGAAACATTGTTCTAAAAGAGATTCCGTAGACCGAAAGCTACCAAGTTTAGAGCTGCATCGTCGCTGTTCCCGCTTATCACATTTCTACAAGCGAACGCTGATTCTGATAAGTCAACAAGCCAATACCGCCACACAGTGCCAACTGTCTGAGGTCTGATGTGGCCCAGCTGCCTGACTGAAGTATATAGTAAGTAGTACCTAAACTGGGTGATATGGGAGAGTGCGCTGAGCGACGTGATCAGAATTCCGCTCGCGCCAAAGGTGAGCGTTGCGAGCAGGTGAGAAAGCGTCGCTGTTTTCTCAATCGCTGCGGTTGAGCGGGCTTACGAGTGGTATACGTAATAAAAGCATGAAAGCAATGTCAATTGTATTGATTACAGCTTGAGAGCCAAGCTAAGGTTGAGCTTAGTAATATAATTTCTTAATTTTTAGATCCCTGTCAAGTCAAAATGGTTTGTTATTTAATGTTTTTATTATTAAGTATTTATTAAGCATTCCATAAACAAGTTTTCTAGTTATCCCGCCCAAGTTTTCAATACAGCCAAGTTAACACCACCAAATTCCTTTCTCACAATGCTATACTTGGCCGTATAACCATTGACACCTGCCTCGTAATTGATCTCAAGGACCAGGGGAGGAGACTTGGGGCGATCGAAGAAGGGCTCCTTGTAGTAACCCTTGACATTGAGGTTACCCGGAGAGATTTCCTTTACAGTTTCCAAACGGTAAGCCAAACTGGGCAAAATTATCCTTTAAATTAAGAAAAGAAATTCACTCTATGCTACAAATAAGTTTTAATATGGATTTACCGGACTAAATATCGATCTTCAAAGGAATCTACAGTGACGCCCTTGGTTACACGAGGCGGCACTAGCCACAGAACCGAATTGGGCACGGAAGTGGCCGCCCAACTTTCATATAAAATAACTAGTAAGAAGAACTACAATCTATATATTAGCCAAAGTTTAAAAATATATATAAATATATTTAGAACATACCGTGCTAAATAATTTAGGAGCAGACATGTTGATCTGCTGGCAGTTGCCTTGAGACTGGAAATAGATCTTGGCAAGATTCGCATAGCCAAAAGATAAAAACGAGTCTATAACTGGCTTAAACTTATTATAAAAACAAATAAACCAATTTTCTGGTTTCTTAAATTCCATCCAAGTCAAGGTTTATTCTTGTTTTGCAAATTGTTTCAATCACTCAACACTTTAACATTCAGTATTATATAACTTTTCTGATTTTAACCCGCTATAGTTTTCAGGGCAGCCGGAGGAAGGTGTTGAACTTGGTTCTTTTGCTCGGAGTAGCTATACTTGGCCACATAGCCATTGGTTCCGGCCTCATAGGTGACTAACAGGTACTTGGAATCCGGAAAGGGCTGCCCAAAGCTACCTCTGACCAGAAGCTGCCCCGGAGAAATCTCTTCAACAGTCTCCTCGCGTCCCGTTCCATCTACATCGATCCTAGTTAATTGTAATGACTTATTTTTTGTTGAATGATCAACTATTCTATACAAAATATTTACCTGAGGTAATATTTATTATCAAAAGGCACTAACAGAACACCATTATCGTTAAGGTTCGGCACATGAAGACCAATTGTTTCTGCCGAAATTGCCCGGTTTATAAGCAGAATCAATAGGATCTAAAGCTTGTATTGTTGTAAATATATTCAAGAGACTCTGAACCACTCACAGTGCTAAATATTTTGACAGACATGGCGATGATGATCTTACGAAGGCTGCTGGGCGACTGACATTCTCAAAAGACAAAAAGTTGGAGCTAAAGCTAATTTCCAATCAATACAAGTTTTAAACTGGAAGCGTTAATAAACCAAACAAAAACAAACCAAGCTCAATGTGGTTTGCTAAAGAGATTTTTATAGAAAATCCAGATTATAACCTTGACCAAATATATTTAAAAAATGTATTGCGAGCTAAGGGATTTAATATTTTGATAAACCAATCCATGAATCTATTTGGTAGTTAATTTACTGGTTCCTTCATAACATAAATTTTCTTGTTAAGAACCCTCTTCCAAATATATTTCTCCCATCTTTAATTTTGTAAGAATTTAATGAAACTATATTTCACACTGTATTATTTATTAAATTTATTGCAATGTGTATTTTTACTAATCTCACGAATTTAATTCTATACAAACTTATAAAGCTTATCCAGCGCCAGATTTCAGGGCATTGGGACTCAGGAACAAGGGAAATTGTGGCGGCGGGGTTGGTGGTCCCTTACCATAGCTATACTTGGCCACATATCCATTGGGACCCGCCTCATAGGTGACCACTAGATGGGCACCATGATCCTCGTAGGGCTGATTGATCACTCCATTAACTTGCAAATGACCGGCTTCATTCTGTTTCACTGTCTCCTGGCGGATGGTGCCACCAGGTTGCTCGATTCTGTGGCGGAAATAGAAATCCTAAAAATTCAAATCTAAACAAACCGAAGTTTAACCCGAACTACCTAAGAAAGTACTCCTGATTGAGGGGCTCTAGCTGGAAGCCATTAGTGCGAATTTGTGGCACCAAAGTGGGCGAGTTCTGTAGCGCTCCCGAGGCCAAGTTAACGAGGAGAATAGCGAATAACTAAGAATATAGTATATAAGTGGTCATAATTTATGCACTTTCTTTGCGAATTTCCAGCACTCACCGCGCAAAAACCAGGAGGAGAACGAAACATGATGACCTGTCTATGGTTGAACGAAAACTATCTAAACCCGCGACCAATGCCTCATCGTAGAGCCCAAAACGAAGGCTGGCTTAATTAAGAGGCAAACAAGTTTTGACTCAAGCGATGTTGAGATACCAAAAAAAAAAATCACACTTCTGTCCACCTACTAAATCGCAAGCTTTTTACATATGACTGCAAAAATTCCCAAGCATCATTGGATCAGGGTTCGAGTAGGGAAGACAATTAAATTGACAGATCTAGCGAAAACCAGTTACCAACCTTCAAAGTCACAATTAACTTGGTTCAAATTAATTTATAATGTAATGATGCTCACTGCTTACTGTTCAATGCATCATGCCAAAAAAATAAGCTTGCCATGATGGGTTTGCTATTAAATTAAACACCTGCGGGGAGTTCCCAAGTTATTATTTAACAGTTTCTACGTGAGAAGAGTTAACTTGGGGAATCTTTAAAATACGAAATTCAAAGGTTTTTGACCTTAGAACTAGGAATTAATTATAGTTAATTTAAGGGAACTGTTAATTCTTAATATTAATTAAGTACTAGGGATTTAGGCCAATTTCTGAGGAGTATAAATATAAAACATACACATCGTGGGTACTAAATTAATACAATAATTAATATTAATACAAATTTTTAATTTCTTTTGTAAATTTTAAATATTACACTTACCACTTAAGCAATTTATTGTTTTTATAGATAGAACATTTGACTATCATTAGTGTTGATTATTATTTAATTACTTGATTATTACTAATTAAAAGCATATTAAGTATTTATAGAAGAAATTTTGATTGATAATGGTTTTTGCTATATCCATTATAATCTCCAGATAAACCTAATAGAAACCATACATTTTCTCCCTTAAGGGGGGTAAGGTTAATTCGGTGCAAAAAAGGCCACTTTTCAAAAAGTTATTGTGGCGGAATGGCTAACGTTAGCTTAATGAATTAAATACCATATAATAACACAACATTTGAATAATTTTTAATAAATTTTGTATTGAAAAATATTTAGAGGTAGAGAAGTTATAGGGAATCTCCCGAGTCGCCTCCAAAAAAAGTTGTTTTGCGGTGTACATCCTAACAGTCCACAGGATCATCCGATCTAAAAAAATTATACCTCATTCGTTAAAGGATAAGTGTCCCGAGGTATTCACGAAGAGTTTTTATTTTTAAAATTTTTTCCCTATTTTTTATCAAAATTTGAAGTCAAAACCCCGATTTTTGACAAAAAAATTAAGTTAATTTGTTAAATAAAAAATATAAGAAAATTAAAAATTAAAAAAAGCTCCACGTGAATACCTGTAGAATTATCCAAAGAAGTTATGTTCCAAATTTCAAACCGATTGGTTCAGTAGATTTTGAGTTATCGTGTACACCGATTTTCAAAATGGCATTTTTCAGGAGAGCGCTTTAAACTTTGCGATTCTCATGCATTGAACACCAACCGACCTTCGTTCAACTCCGCATAACTTTGTCAATATTCCTATGATCGATGTAAAACTTGGACATAATATTCTTAAGATGTTGAACTTTCAAAATAAAAAATAAAAAAAAATTTACGAAAAAAAAAATTAAATACCTTACCCCCCCCTTAACCGGTTACTTTTACCGTTTGAACTCTTGACATTTGATCAATTTCTCTTATCGCGGAATCGATACTTTCTTCGCCTGCCCCTTCTTCCTACGCTGATTGTGTATGTGAATGCGAATTAGCTGGTGGGCAAAGGGGGGGGAGTGGGCGGAGGCTGCAGCTCAAAACAAACACAAAAATACCCTCACATACACAGCGCGCCGCCCACACAAACACACAGACAGGCAAAAGACCCAAGAAGTTTTCGCTTTCAAGCCTTATCACTTACTTTGTGGCCATGGTGTATTGCACTGTGAGCTCTCTGAGTGGAGAATTTATTGCACTTAGTTTTCACTGCACTTCATTCATTTTCTTTTTTATTTTGAGTTTTTCCGAGAGCAGCCAGCGGGCAGCGTTGCCAATCTAGCTGTTTATCCGCTAGATCTAAAACTAGCTGCCATCGGGAACTGTAGCTACTTTCCAGATAAAAATCGTAGCTAGATTTAGCTATATTCAATCTAAGTGTGACCAGCTTTTGCGAAGGAAAAACCCCGTATTTCTGGCTAATAAAGCATTTTCCTGCTTTGGTCACATTGTTTTTGCAGCTATACACATCGACGGCCATTTTTCGTGTTTTTCCGTGTTTTCGCTCTTAGTTTGATTGTTTATTTAAATGTTTTAATGAGTTTTGGTGAGTCAAGGAGTTGGTCTAGGACTAGCTAATAACGTGGAATGTTGAGAAACTGTGATTATCCTGCGGAGCAATTGATTAAACTGTGATTTATAAGTGATCCCCCGCACAGCGTCTCTCGCGCCCAGGCAACAACAACACACCCATAGAGAGACGCAGGGAGCATATAAAAAAGCAACAAACAGGTTTTCATTGTGTACAGACGTGTGTTAGTCCCCTCTCGCTCGCTCCTTAATTTATGCGCATGCAGCGGCAACAACAACGCTGGCGTACATATCTATATAAACAAACCAAGCCAACATAAGAAACAAGTAATACAAGAAAATAAATCGTCGACGTGAGCGCGTGTGTGTGTGAATGCTGTAAACAGCAGCCAAAGTGGTAAAGTGGTAAAGCCAACTCGGCGGTGGCCAAGCAAGCGAGTCGAAAGAGACGACGGATAATAAGAAGCATAAGGCAAAGAGTGCTGTTGGCCAGCTTAGAAGTGACGCGTAGCTAGCTACAGGTGAATATCGGACTTGTTTTTCAAGCGAGCCGAGGCGGTGGTTGGTGTAGACTTTGGAGCAACAGTAAAGAACGGGTTCGATGCCCAAAAGAAAACAGAATCCAATAAATTAGCAGCCTAATCAATTTACCACTGAGCTGTAACGGTAAAGCCAAAATGGAGTTGCATTTAAATATTCCATCTAGCACGGCGCGCGTTCCCGATTTTCCAGTCTTCCCCCAAACGAGCAGCTTCCAAGTGCGTTTTCCCCCCCAGCTCAAGTGTGGAAAAAGTGGAACGCGTCCCACTTAACCCCAGCACGGCAGTGCAAGCTGTCCGAAATTTGTGTCTGTGCATCGATTAACACTAAGTAGTAGAACCACCGAAATGGAGTTACTCCCACATTTTTGTGCCTTGTGTGTAGTGTGTTTTGTGAATGAAAAACCAAAAAACTTGTCGCGCCATATTAACACCTACAGTTTTCACAGTCCAGAAGAGACAACACCAAACAGTTGAATCATCTATTTGCTAGGCTTCCAGCTAAAAACTATAGCAAACTGGTTGCTCTACATGAATCACCAGAGACATCGGAAGTCCGGTGATTATTTTGTGCCACAACTCGTATTGTTTTTTGATAAGTGTGGAAAAAATAATAAGAACAGTGCAATGAACCGCTTCTGCTTCAATTGTAGCCGTTGGCGATAAGCGAAAGGAAAACAAAGCCAGCCAGAATTGATTATAAATTCATAAACAAAAAAAAATATGCATATTGCCATTACATCAGTACGGAGTCCAAGTCCCAGCTCCCTCCATTCAATCAGTGGCAGCCAGTGGGGCTCCAAAAGGCAACATCAACTTGAGCACTGCCGTATCCACTCCACGCCACTTGAATCCACCTGTTGCCACTCGTTTCGACTTAATGAAAACGCCCACGGACCCCAAAACGGGTTATACAGTGGCACTTGGCTTAGAGTAACCGTTCTGAGAAGTACTTTGACAGTTAAATATTTAATATTAATTTATAAAGTCTTTAAACATGAACTTTAGCCATTATAAACTTAAACAAAGCATTGTAAAGTTCAATGTTTTTCGCTCATTTCCTAAAAACGATTTTAAAGTAGTAACAGCTCAATATTATATGTCAATAGATTACTTTCTTTATGACATTTCAAGTCATTTAATAGTCATAAAACATTGTAAAGTTCAATGTTTCTCCCCTTTCGAGCACGCATTTTCACTGAAAACAAGTTTAATGTTGTAAATTCACATGCTACCTGTCTACCTGTCTGGGAAAATTTCGCTAATTTTCTTCACAAGCAACTAAAGAGAGCTGCCATAATGAAAGCTTTACAGAATATGAGACTTCATTAAAATAATAAACGTGGGCTCTGCACTCAGACTCTTAAAGTAAATGGGCAATATGCACGAATACATAACAAGAGCAGAGATTATTAAGGATCTTAAATAACTAGTGGCATTTAATACTTAGTAGCAACAACTAAGGTACCACTGTACTACGTAGGGCGTCCTGCTGTGGGCATATGCTTGCAAGCGGTGTATATCTAATAACTACACGCTAAAATCAATTTCGATTTGATCACGTATGCTGTAAGACAGACTACCAGTTTTTTTTATTTTTCTCTTTCACCTTACCAAAAAGAAAAGGTATCTCGATTTAACACGTTCTTGGGGGGCTTCCCACACGCAGGCCAAAAACACACAAAAGATTGAGTAGAAGTGTCAAACGTGACATACTTTTCACCCTTATCGCGATGTGAGGCTGTTATCTCTCTATGCTCTCCAGACTGTCCCGGTTAACAGTGAGGAGAGGTGGACGGATGGGTGGTGTAACCTATAGCGGTTAGATACTCCCAAAAAAACAATAGTGGCACACACACTCGGTAATTTGATCTCAAATTTGAGCTCATTAACGCAACGACGCCAGACGGCCAGTAGTAATAATTGTATCTGTATTTTTATGGGACTGCCAGAAGCGGAACGGACTTCCTGGCATTGAACCCGAGAGTGTGTGTGGCTTGTGAAATATGAGAACACCACCAAACAACAACTAAAAAATGAAAACTTACGAAAAAGCCGACTGTATTTTCGCCACCACGAAATGCGAATGCCCTTGTTTTCATTTCTAGACATTGCAACAGAGTCTGGGATATAATATTACTACAAGTTAACTTTAAATATCAGCTGTGGGTTGCAATACTCTTTTAGAATTTAGGTTTGTTTCTCGCTTAAAACAATTAGACTTTCAAGCATTTTAAAGAGTATTTGTTGTACATTTATTGTACTCTCAACGTATCTTACCCAGCACTTCACCTTTAATTACTTTCAAACTAAGCCAATTCGGTCATAGAACTAGGGCGCCTGAAACATAAAAAAATAGGTGTTAATTACGTTTTTCCCATATTTTGAATGACTGACTATTTTTGGTGAGGGTTTTCTGGTCTTTTAACACCTCAAAGCAGTTACTCTTGTACCCAATTTAGCGGGCAGTACCATTCGCCGATTTCTCCGCTTTAGTAAGCCGCAAAAAACGAATGATAAATTGTGCCGCTCCAAGAGGGTATTCAAATGTAATTTATATTATTTATTAATGCACTTTTATGGCATTTCTCATACGTGTTCTTGAGGCTAGCCATCCATCCATCCAACCCCTATAATTTGAGGGCATTAATGCGACCAGCCAAGAGATGGGCCGCAGGTCACTTGACCTGTGACTCGAGACTCTGGCGGTGACGGCGGCGGCTGAGCCGTGAAAAAACCTTCGCTTAGGAAAACGTACGAGTTCGAGTAAGACGATACCCACCACCACGAATCCCCCGGCCTGGCCGACTTCATTGAGCGAAACAACAAGTAGTTGCGTTGCCGTTGCCACCGACCTTCAATTGGCCAATAAAGCAATTTATCGGAGATCCCATCCGATCACTAGGTAAAAGTTGTCCATGTGTAACCCACCGACTTTTTGGGTGCGTGAGAAACTCTACAAAGTCTTGAGAAAAGAAAAAAATAAACCTGAAAACCCGCATGGAAATTACGTGTGTGTGTGAATGAGGAAAACACACACCTATATGTATGCTCCTATGTCCGGTGTTCGCGCCGCGGGGAAATAAAAAGTCAGAGGGAGACGGACGCGGCACGTCCTGAAAATCGGAGTAGCGGAAAGGTAAATGATTTCATAGAGGGAAATTGGCGGAAAATACCGCACGTGATTCCCAACAAAGGCAGGAAAACCAGGCTGGCTGGCCGGGCCCATGAGTCATGCTCGAAACAACACGACATGCTAGAGCCAGGACGCGAAGGCGGATTGGCTACAGTCAGGCTTCGGTTTCGACCTCTTCTCTATCAGTAAAACCAACATCTGGATCTCTTGAGATGCAAGCTACAAGAGAACTCTTAAGGTGTATGTTTTATGGCCCTTTCTAGCCATCCTTATCATTATCACCTCTTTGTGAAAGTTAAATAAAAAGTGAGGTGTCGTAAAGATAGGCTAGCATGCCAGACAATGGGTTTTATCTTAGGTATTTTTGTTTATACCCTTAAAGGGTATTCTTATTTTAGTAGTCAGATATGCTTTTTTGTCTGAGTTTAGAGTTTTTAAATTTTTATTAAAAAAAAAAAAACAAATTTGGATAAATATCGATTTAAAGAATTTAAATGTTTCCCATCTTCTATAAGGGTATTATGATTTTATTTTGTGAAGGACTCATTTCCGACCCTATAAATCATATATATTCTTGATCTGTATCGACAGGCAAATCTTTCTACCCATGTCAGAAAGAAAACTAATATTTAAAAAAATTTTCAAAATTTTATAAGGGGTTACATCGTCCAAATTTTAAAAATTCGAAAAAATCATGATTTCCTAAAATTTAAATTAGGTAAGCAGTTTTGTAAAACGTATAAAAACCAACACAGAACCGTTTTCCGAATTAAAATTAATGCATTTTTGGCTTAGTTATGAGAGATTTCAAATTTGGCCCTGATCCCATTTTAACCTGCAAAGGAATACAATCATTGGCTGGCCGAAATAAGCTTCCTTCCTTAGTTTAATTAATTAAGTTTTAATTAAAAATAAGTAGAGTTTAGTTTCTCAATTGTATTCTTTAACATCACAAGCTTAGAGTCAAGTAAACTTGAGTTCTAAGGGTAAATCTTATAGGTTTAGCAGTTTTCTCAAATGGCTTATATAAAATTAACCATATATTTTCCAGGAAAAACATGTTTATCTCACCAAGAAACCATTAAATGCAAATGTTTGCTCTATAGCCAAAAAAAAGCTTAATAGCAATACATCAAGGCACCTGTGGAAATAAAAAGCATGAATGTTTGGGCAAATAAAATTGTTAAATTACACTTTATGTTTCTGTTTTCTGCATTTTCCTGTGTTCTATGATTTTTTCAGACACCAAAGAATACAATTTTGACTCTATTTTAATCTTTGAAAAACGTAGAACCTCAAAATTCTAGTTTAACTGCTTCAAAAGTTCAAAGTTCGAGGCAGTTAAGTGTGCGTGAAGATTCGATGATAAAGACCTTTCCCCTCGATTTAAGTGCTCCTGTTCTCAGCTGTGTTCCTACCTAGGGAGGTTTTCCTGTAAGAGCACCGAGTAAGAGAGAGAGAGAGAGCTCGGAACCAGGGATAATGGCCCAGAGCTATTGTTCAGCGCTTCTCAAAACACTCGGCGTCAGTCGGCGAGGGTTTGTGACAAGCAGTGGCTCTCAAATCGTGGGCGGTTGCTTTGCTCTGTTTGCTATTCGCATTTCGAGCTCATTTCGGCTGTGTAGTTTAGTGTTTAGTGCTCATCGAGTCTAGCCCACGTTCGGTTCGCGGTCCGCTGCCCAAATTCAACGAAAATACAAAACATAAACACGGCTAAGCCGGAAAGAAACCAAACGGAAAGAGCCAAAGAAAGTGTGCAGAATTCACAAGTAGCCGCCACGAACACGGTTATATAAGTGGAAATTAATTATCTAATTCGGTAATAAAAGCAGATGCACGGACACAAAGGGGAAACCCGCAAATAAAATAAACAAATTTATGATGCTGCGAATAATAATAAAATAAAACATGATTGGTGTGCGCAAATTATGACCTCAAATTAATACATATTCAGGGTCTAGCCAACTTTATAGAGTGTCAAAAAAATACTCGATTGCTGGGTGCTACGTGTGATAAATGCCTTTTGCTAAACTTACATTTTGTCGAGTTTGATTGCTATATTGAAAAATTATGGACTTTTGAGCACACCGTTCTGGTTCACTGGAGAATTCAAATAATTTCTAACACACCTTTCCACAACCCGTCTTCGATTGCAGGTTTTGCGTTTTCCTTTTCGCCAGTGCCGCGCCAGCTAATTGCATTAAAATAAAACCAACAAGTTGCTTCTAGTGGCTGTAAATTATTATTGTGTCGTTGTCGCTGACACTCAGATGCTGAAGCACAGCAGCAGCAGCAGCAGCAGCGACAATAACACCAGTAATCAGCACAACTATCGGCGGCGACAATGGCAGACATCAGACATGGCAATGCAAGGCGTCAGTGATTAAAACCAGTCGGAGAGGCCAGCCAACCAGCCAGGCCAGGCCAGTTTGGAGTGCCAGTCAGCCAGCAGCCCAGCCGCAGTGGCACCACCAAAAGCAAAAGCAAAGCAGCAGTAGCAGCCAGAAAACAGGCAGCCCAAGATCACAGAGAGCTGCTGAATCATCAGAACTTGGAGGAGTAATTGTTTTCCATCTGCAAAAAAAACAAAGAACAGACAAAATGAGCTCAACGGGGAGCCCAATAAGCCGCTGGCAGATCGGATTGATATCGTCTATAAACCTGCTGCTTATGATCTGCACCTTGCTGCCAATCATCGTGGACGCTTGGATGCCCGATGTGCGACCTGATTTGCAAACGAGTAAGTACCCAGGCCCAAGCCTAGGCCCCTTCCATCTAACAATTATTTATTTATTTGTGTCACTCCGTTTTCTTTGCTCTGTTTTGTTGCTGGTTTATCAATGGTAAGCTCTGCTTTTCCAAGCTCTGCTTATCAAGCGGAATTTTCGCAAAGCCAGCAGCTAATTTTCGTTTCCTCTCTGAAACGAGTTAAACAGAACTTAAGACTGAATTATGTGGAATCCCGGGGAGCCGGAGATTGTATAACTAACATTTCAACCTCTCTCTCTCTTTGTTTTGCAGAACCCGACAAAGTTTTGGCCCATTTCACTGGCAACACAACGGACTATTTTAAGATTTTGGACCACAACGATGAAAGTGTGCTAGTTGGTGCCAAGTGAGTCTATTTATTTGTTACTTTTTACGATTCCCAGGCCAATAAAAAGAGTTTTCTGCTACCTGTGCCGGTGCACAAATAAACTTGGCACGATCCCGCTTAAATATTTATAAAAACATGTTCGATTCGCGGAATAATTAACGCGCCATTGGCATTACGTTACGTTTCTCCTCCTCCTCCTCCTGCTTTTTGTTGCCAGAAGCAAGTGCAAATCCAGAATTTCTCATCTATTTTCCTGGAAGTTGCCGTGATTTGGCATTGACCAGACCTCAGAGATTAACCTGCTTAGCTTTTTCTCAAATGTATTCCTATATATAATTATATTCGCCATGTGTAATACCGCATTTTATCACGCTGCCCCACAGTCTGGCGGATATTTATGGATTTCCAATGAGCCTCTTTGAATGGATCATTGTGTGTCGATAAGAGCTTATGAATAAACATTTCACTTGGAGAATTATTCACACACTCTTTCTGAGTGCAAACGCCCCTTTTGACTAATGCCCGGTTATCGCAGATCTGAAATGGACCGACTAATTCATACCAGCTTTCGATCTATCATATTTTCCCAGCACCAGACTTGGTGGTGCCATAAACAACATTCAAACAAACATGGCAACAAATTAGCAGCCCCAGTAATTAGCCACTTAAAGCACAGAATTATACAATTGTATACAAGTTCTAATTATTTGCACAAAAAGCAACCTTGAGATGTATGATTGTATACGGACAGCTGCGGCCAAAATAATAGCACACACACACCTTGTGCGCTGCTCTTGAAAAGCGCTGAAACGACGCCGCTGATAGCAAATAAAAAAATAATAAATATAAAAGCCAAGGCTTGGAATGCGCCAATGGAAAACATTTTGTGTTTATAAATCGTAAAACATGTTTATTAAGCGTTATGTTTACTTTTTTTAAAGCGTTTTTTGAGACCTCACCTCTTTTTTTAATAATTTGTATTATGAGTCAGCTGATAGTAAAAGTAAATTTTTTAATAATTTATTTATTATTGGGACCCCAAGCAAAAGTTAAAGAGAGGTATACACACGCTCTATTTATTTATTGATATCTTTCATCCAAAAATTTTAAATGTTTTTCTAACTTTATTTTCATTTTGGTTTGACTTTGATGAGTGAATTTTAGGAGAGAAATCTTTTTGTTTAACAAATGTTGTATTTTTTATAAAAAAACAAAAAGAAACTGGTTTAAAAAAACCGAAATTTCTATACCCTTGCAGCTGGCAATTGGTCTATAAAAATCGATCATAACTAAGCCAAAAATGCATTAATTTTAATTCGAAAAGCAGTTCTATGCTACTTTTTTCTAGGTTAACAAATCCTTATACTATCTTTTGTAATTTTAGGAAATCATAATTTTTTCAATTTTTGAGAATTTTAACGATGTAACCCCTTATAGAATTTTGAAAAAAATTAAAACAAAATTTTTTCTTTGCTACATGACTAGAAAGACTCGCCTATTGATGCTGATCAAGAATATATATGATTTATAGGGTCGGAAACGATTCCTTCACTGCGTTATTAGCTTCCGACTAAAATTATAATACCCTTAAAAAGCTATAAAAATAATAATACTATTGCAATATAACTATTATTATGACCACCACCGTTCCTTCCTGGCACGAAGCAGCGCTCTCTCTCCTCCCCCTCATCATACAAAATGCTTTTTGGTCGTTTTGGCTTTATTTCTGGTCAGCCGCACTTGGCTGGCTTCCATCTTGGCATTCTGGGCAGGCACACGCCATCAGCGAATTAATTCCCGGCTTGTGCTAATTCAATTGTTCGCCATATCTTGTTTTGCAGGGACGTCATCTACAATGTGAGCCTGCACGGCCTGCGGGAGATCGGGCGCTTGGAGTGGAGCAGCTCGGACGCTGACCAGCAGCTGTGCACGTTGAAGGGTAAGAAGGATCGGGATTGCCACAACTACCTGCGCGTGTTTGCACGTAGGGCCAATGGCGAGGTGCTCATCTGTGGCACCAATTCGTACAAGCCGCGCTGTCGCGATTACACGCCGGTGGAAACGTCAGCCGAGGATGGCGGCCACACCCACGCCCACACAATGCGCTACGAAGTTAGCCGCGATGTGGAGGCCCAGGGTCTGTGCCCCTACAGTCCCGCCCACAACAGCACCTACGCCTTTGCCGATGGCCAGCTGTATAGTGCCACCGTGGCGGACTTTTCTGGCGGAGATCCCCTTATCTACAGGGAGAACCTTCGCACCGAACAGTATGATCTCAAGCAGCTCAACCAGCCGGACTTTGTCGGTGCCATCGAGAAGAACGGCTATGTGCTGTTCTTCTTCCGCGAACTGTCCATGGAGTTTATGAACTTTGGCAAGGCCGTCTACTCGCGGGTGGCTCGAGTCTGCAAGAACGACCGGGGTGGACCCTACAACCATGGCAAGAGTTGGACTTCCTTCCTGAAGGCACGCCTCAACTGCTCGGTGCCTGGAGAGTTTCCCTTCTACTTTGATGAAATACGTAAGTTTTAATGTGAAAGAAAATGAGAAATATATAGTTTTAAACCATATTCTTTCCCCTTTGCAGAGGCCATAAGTCCGGTGGTTGAGAGTGGAAGCAAGTCTCTGGTCTATGCCGTCTTTACCACCTCGGTGAATGCCATTCCGGGCTCGGCTGTGTGTGCCTTCAATCTAGATGACATCCTGGCTGCCTTCGATGGTGACTTCAAGTCGCAGAAGGATTCACAGTCTCATTGGTTGCCGGTGGAGAGAGAGCAAGTACCCAAACCGCGACCGGGACAGTGTGTAGAGGACTCACGCACGCAAAGCAGCATTGCGGTGAACTTTATTAAGAACCATCCGCTGATGGAGGACTCTGTGGCTGCAGCCCATGGACGTCCGCTAATGACCAAGGTCAATCTGCATCATCGCCTCACTGCTATTGCCGTGGATCCGCAGATCAAGTCGCTGAGTGGCACTTATTACGATGTGATTTACAGCGGCACTGACGATGGAAAGGTGACCAAGTTTATAAACATTGTGACCACACACCAGAACTCGACAGTGGATCGTCTCAAAACTGTTGTTATCTCGGAAATGCAAGTACTGCCGCTGGGAACACCGGTCAGGGAATTGGTGATCTCCTCCAAGAAAAACTCCCTGGTGGTGGTCAGTGATGGCAGCCTGGTCAGTGTGCCCCTCCATCACTGCACATTGATTGTGGACTGCCTGGGCTGCCTGAGTCTGCAGGATCCGATCTGCGCCTGGGATCTGCAGACACACGAGTGCAAGAATCTGGCCAGCAGCCAACACAAGTTTGGAACCAAGACTTATTTGCAGAGCCTGAACACCACGAAGAAGGCTGCGGCCTCGCTGTGCCCGCACATTCCGAGAGATGGACAGGGAGGCGGTGAAACCGTGAGCTTTGTTACCATGGCCCCAACGCCCACCGAGGAGCAGAAGCTTTTGTACTCCAATGTGGGAGCTTCGTCGTCGGGCAGCCAGCCCAGCTTGGAGCAGCAGCCAACGGGTGGCGATGACTTTGGCCTAAACAAGATCACGCTTACGTCCATGGATCCCGATGATATTATGCCCAATCTTAATGGTTAGTAGAGACTAAATTCCTTTTAAACTTTGTTTCTAACTTCTGTTACCTCCATTAGATCCCCAGAAATCCACAGCCAGCGTGGATGAAATCCGACAAGCCTCCAGTCCCAGCTTCATGGTGCTCACAGTCGTTGTTTTCATCACCTTCCTGGTGGGCGGAACAGTGGGCGTAATGTGTGTCAAGGCCAGGAACTGTCTAATGGAGGCCCAAATGGATGAAAGTCATCGCAATCATTTCGGCAAGCCAATGTGAGTTAACCCACAAAGCAAAAACTTCTATATGGATTTGCTAATTTAATTTTCTCCACAGGCAATTTAAGCACCAAAATACAGGCAAGGATATCAATCTGCTAATGGGTTCCAATCCCTATACCACAACACAGAAAACACCCAATTTGGATCTGGAAAAGGATCGCAGTCACGAGTGCAAAAACTCAACGGAACATTTGGAAAAGGAGCTGCCCTGCAAGACGTCCACGCTGACGAAAGTGAAGCGCACGTACATCTAGTGGGCAGGGGCAGCGCCACACCCTGCAAAATTAGTCGAATTTCTATATACTCTAAAAACATATATTTTCGTTGTTTATGTTGCTGTTAGTTATAGTACAACCCCCCCACCCGATCCGCCGCGAATGAAGTAGCAACAGCAGTGTGTGTGTTGCAGATGCGTTTGAAACGCAGCTGCGGAGGAGAAGAACGCCTGTTGCATCTTTTTTTTACGTTTAGTTTGTATTGTAATTTTAGTTTGATGTAAAATTCGTATAAGTTTCGTATAAATTTAGTTAAATTTATTGACAACACAGTGCACGCGGGCATGAAATCATTCCGCGTTCCGAATTGGAAGCGAAAATGTCCCCTTATATATCTATAAATGTGTATTCAGTAAGTGCAAATATTAGAGCTGTACAAATTTACACACATATCATACAAACCGAACCCGAAATCCGAACAGCTCTCGAAATTCAATCGAATAATTGAACAAGTATTTTGTTAGACTGAATGACTACTTTTTTCTACACGCGAGCGAAATAACAGAATGCGAACGAACGGTCTTAAAAGGCGTAAAATTGTATCTAACACAGTAAGCTCAATAAGGAATTGAATGTAGAATGTAATTAATAGTACGAACTAGGCTAAGGAACGAACAAAACTTCTATGAGGCTGTTTCGATATGAACTGACACCGCAGCCCAACAACGCACAATACGGAAATAAACAGAAATAAGATTTATATACAAAAATCCACAAAAAAACAACAACATCAAGCCTTATGAAATAGTAGAAAATCGTGTGTCGAATCTTAGGCCTTAAATCTAAACGTGTAAGCTTTGCGTACGGAAAAAGAAAGCTCGAGCTTGGCATTTTATTATTTTGTATGTTAAATTTAAGCTGTTGTCCGTCCCGCTGAAGATGAAGAAGTTGCATAAATACAATGTACAATGGCAATTTTTTTAAAATTTAAAACGTGTAAAATGCAATTTTCAACGTAATTAATATATATATATATATTTTTCTAATAATCTAATCTTAAGTAAAGAAAAAAGCTACACATAAAAAATATTTTTAAAAGTCTTACAAAAAAAAGAAGAAAATTTAACATAAAGAAAAAAATTCTCATATTGTGATAGATTTTATTGAAATTTTATAATGAAGAAATGATATGCATTTTGGTTGAAAAACAATGATATATATATGAACAGAGAGAGTCTGAGTTGCATGCATGATAATATTGTGTAGGAAAGGGTCTTCCGTTCTCGGAGGATCAGGAACCGCGGATAACCATATAGCCCCAAGTGGAGTGTAGTTTTTTATTATTGTGTATGTCTTGTACTGTGTATATTGTTGTATACATCCGATAAGCAATTCGAAAATCTAATAAAATCATCATTTTTCATAATTTATTGTGTTTTGAAATGGTTTTGGGCAAAAACGAGAATTAAGGTAAATAAAAAAATAAAATCACCTTATTTACAAATATTTTTTTGATCTTGTTTCATTTATTACATATTATTTTGTTTTATATTAAAAAGAAACCACGTAAAGGCTACAATATTTGGAATAGCAGAATTCAAATAAATTTATTTTTCCGCCACTTATCGCCCTAAATAATCGATAATTTCAATCAGATCTTCCGCTCCAATTGGAAGTTGGATTTACCCCATAAAAAGCTACAGTCACACTGGACATCACTAGTCGGCGTATTGCACATTTTTCTATTAAATTAAGAAAACCATCATCGCGATTATATAACCAAGATGAACAGCCTGAGGACAGCCACTTTGCGCTTCGCCAGCCTGGCCAGCTCCAGTGCCGGTGCCCTGGGCAAGCGGGACTTCACCCGCAGCCTGTGGCACATGTCCAAGAAGCCGGTGGCGGGCGGACCCTCCTCCGATCATGTAACCGTCCTGAATGTCCACAAGCCCAGCATCAACTGCACCTGTGGCTGCAATGTGCACACCAAATGTGAGTCTTTCTCTCAGTAAAAGTCTTCCTGCGGATGAGGAACATGCCGCACATTACATAACCTCAAATATGGGTGATGAAATGCAAAACAATCCACTGAAATTGTATCATTTTCTGCATCCTCAGGCGAGCGTGAGCTGGTGGAGTTTCTTACCGAGGAGATAGTGGCTGAGCGCAAGGTGCAGAAGGGCAAGACAGTGCCCAGCACTCTGGATGGATTCAGCGTGAAGCTGAACGGGGCCGATGTGGAGCTGACCAAGCAGACGGACAAGGAGAAGGTGGTGATCAGCCTTAATGTGAACCATTCGGTAGATAGCGAGGAGGAGCCGGAGATCAATCCTAATGCCGACAAGCCAGACTTGGGCGAGATGAGGAGCAAGCCCCAGTTCGAGGTGGACATTATCAAGGGCGGTACCACGCTCTCCTTCACCTGCTCTTTCCTGCAGGGCGAGGCTCAGGAGGGAGAATACAGTGAGTAGCCACAGGGATTCTCTTACTATCCCAGAATTATTTATTTATATTTTTCCTACCTCCCAGACGACGTCTTCTCCATTGACGAAATGGCCATCTTTGAGGGCGAGTGGAATGACAAGGTCTATGCCGTTGCTGGCGACGTGCTCGATGGCTACCTGTACGACTTGCTGATCAATCTGCTGGAGGAGAAGGGCGTCAGCCAAGAGTTTGCCGAGAAGCTGTCGGATCTGGCCACCGCTCACGAACACACTTCCTACATTGGTCTGCTGGAAAAGCTTTCCAAATTCACCACCGGCGCCAAGTGAATGACGCCCCAAGGATCCACACACCCTAATCGTAAAGCATAATGTTGTTTAGATTTTTAAGTTTCTACTGTCGTCTGCCGCAGTTTCTCCACTAAAAACAGTTTTAATCAGTTTCGTTTTTGGTTTCAACTGTGGCAGTGAGCTTAGTTTTTAGGCCAGAAAACATTTATACATGTTTCGAGGAAGAACGTGAGGAGCAAATGCCAATTGTTCACCCACTGAGGCATTTGGCTTCCCTCCCAGTTTGATTTTATCATCAAATACAGCGTTAATTACTAAGTTAATTGGTTTATTTTGGTTGAAAAAGGGCTTTAAGGGTCTCGCTGCAGATCCTGGCAACTAAAATTGCCTTGAGTATGGCCTGGGTTCGTAATCGCCGGGTCGGTGTCCTCCCCACTCCTCGTGGTTTGTGCAGGCGGCGCAGATGACCAGAGCTAAGAGCACAAGGATGGAGGGCAGCAATTGCATCTTGATTGTTCTGTTGGAAGCTTTACTTTGGTTTGTGCCAATCAAGCTGAAGGTGCTTCTCTTTATAGGTGAGATTTCCTCTATTATCAGTACAAGTGCTTTCCCTAGTGGGAAGTACTCGATCTCTGTTTGTCTGAAGCTGGGATTCACCTTTTGCCGATAAGAGACAACAAAGATGCGGCAATAAACCATAAACAAACTTATAGAATACTTGGTATAGCCTAATTCATTATTAACAATAAAGGAAACTAACTTAAATGCCGAAATTTCAAACCTGGCTTCTTTCCCAAAATACAACTCTGTGTTGTCTGCTCTCTTCTTTTCTGGACACTTGCTATCCCTCTCTGAGCTGCCTGCCCAGAGTTGCATTTTGGGAAAACAGCCGTTACTTTCGCTTGCTCCTAAATGGTTCGAAACTTGGACTTTTTATAACAGTTTTCAGTTGCTTGCTGCTGGTTTCTGTTCGCCTGTTACCCCAATTTGAAAAGCAGGCCAATTGCATGGAAATTTTCGAAAATTTGGATGGCTGCTTTAGGGAGGTTGTTGTAATGAGGTTGTTGTTGCAATCAAATGGCTGTGCCGGCGGTAAAAGGGTATAAATGCATAAAATAAAATATAAATGTTTATACCAGTTATATAGTTTATACCAATTATAAATTAAATAAATAAATAAATATTTAAATTAATTATTTTTTATTTTCTTAAATATTATAATTTTCAGTTAACGGGGGAAATAAATAATAATTTAAGTCGCAACTAAAGCTAGAGGAATTAAAAATAATTACAGCAGCCCATTCAAATTTTCAACAATTTCTATGCAATTTGGGCGTTTCTCTAATTGGGGTACCAGGCGAACAGAAACCAGCAGCAAGCAACTGAAAACTGTTATAAAAAGTCCAAGTTTCGAACCATTTAGGAACAAGCGAAAGTAACGGCTGTTTTCCCAAAATGCAAATCTGGGCAGGCAGCTCAGAGAGGGATAGCAAGTGTCCAGAAAAGAAGAGAGCAGACAACACAGAGTTGTATTTTGGGAAAGAAGCCAGGTTTGAGTCTCCGCTGACTTTCGCTTGCTCCCATAAGGTTCGAAACTTGGACTTTTTATAACAGTTTATACCAGTTTTCAGTTGCTTGCTGCTGGTTTCTGTTCGCCTGTTACCCCAATTTGAAAAGCAGGTCAATTGCATGGAAATTTTCGAAAATTTGGATGGCTGCTTTAGGGAGGTTGTTGTAATGAGGTTGTTGTTGCAATCAAATGGCTGTGCCGGCGGTAAAAGGGTATAAATGCATAAAATAAAATATAAATGTTTATACCAGTTATATAGTTTATACCAATTATAAATTAAATAAATAAATAAATAAATAAATATTTAAATTAATTATTTTTTATTTTCTTAAATATTATTATTTTCAGTTAACGGGGGAAATAAATAATAATTTAAGTCGCAACTAAAGCTAGAGGAATTAAAAATAATTACAGCAGCCCATTCAAATTTTCAACAATTTCTATGCAATTTGGGCGTTTCTCTAATTGGGGTACCAGGCGAACAGAAACCAGCAGCAAGCAACTGAAAACTGTTATAAAACGTCCAAGTTTCGAACCATTTAGGAGCAAGCGAAAGTAACGGCTGTTTTCCCAAAATGCAACTCTGGGCAGGCAGCTCAGAGAGGGATAGCAAGTGTCCAGAAAAGAAGAGAGCAGACAACACAGAGTTGTATTTTGGGAAAGAAGCCAGGTTTGAAATTTCGGCATTTAAGTTAGTTTCCTTTATTGTTAATAATGAATTAGGCTATACCAAGTATTCTATAAGTTTGTTTATGGTTTATTGCCGCATCTTTGTTGTCTCTTATCGGCAAAAGGTGAATCCCAGCTTCAGACAAACAGAGATCGAGTACTTCCCACTAGGGAAAGCACTTGTACTGATAATAGAGGAAATCTCACCTATAAAGAGAAGCACCTTCAGCTTGATTGGCACAAACCAAAGTAAAGCTTCCAACAGAACAATCAAGATGCAATTGCTGCCCTCCATCCTTGTGCTCTTAGCTCTGGTCATCTGCGCCGCCTGCACAAACCACGAGGAGTGGGGAGGACACCGACCCGGCGATTACGAACCCAGGCCATACTCAAGGCAATTTTAGTTGCCAGGATCTGCAGCGAGACCCTTAAAGCCCTTTTTCAACCAAAATAAACCAATTAACTTAGTAATTAACGCTGTATTTGATGATAAAATCAAACTGGGAGGGAAGCCAAATGCCTCAGTGGGTGAACAATTGGCATTAGTTTTATGTAGGTTAACCAATTTAAATACTGCATTTAACATTTTAAAAATTTTAAATTTTTTTTTGAAAATTTGAATGATCTAACCCCTTATCAAATTTTGAATTTTCGAAAAAAATTTTAAAAATTATTTTTTGGTTTAATATGCCTAGAAAGACTCGCCTGTTAATGCTGATCAAGAATATATATCATTTATAGGGTCGGAAATGACTCCTTCATAGCCTTTCAAGCTTCTGACTAAAATTATTCCCTGCAATAATGAGTAGTAAATACCGGATACATACACTATATACAACAAATTTTATTGCAATCTAACAGTTTATGAGCTTGAACTTAATGGATAACTACCGCACATTCACTACCAAATTTATATAAGGTCTAGGGTTATTGATTAGGAATCATAGAACGTAACAAAAGCTGCATCTGGTACGGGCAAGTGGCAAGTATCCATCCTAGGCCGTTCCCCCTCGCTTGTGCCGGCGCTCCTCGGGGCCGGTGGGGAGGCCACTAGTATCTCCGACCGGTGTTACGGGTCAACTCTTGCTGCCCTGCTGCTTGCCACCGGCAGCACTGCTCCCGGCGCCCTCGTACTCCGACCGCGTGCTGTACTCCGCCCCGATCTTGCTGAGGTCTATCTTCTGCTCCAGCATGGCGCGCTGAGGGTCAAAGTTTGGGTTAATTGCTGCCTAACCATGTGCTTAAAGAAACTCCCAGCAAACTCACCTTGACGCACTCTTGATAAACCCGGAAGATTGGCGCGCATGCCGAGTCATCCGTCCGGCCCTTGAGGAACTGCTCCGAGAACCAGCTGTTGAAGCAGGCGTCGTACTGCTTCTTCAGTTCGTCACAGTCCTTGCCAATGCTATTCATTATTCCTGAGAAGTTTTAACTAAATAGTTTTTGATTATTTAAGAGTGCGCCGGAACAAGGTGCCCGTTGCCTGTTCTGCTCAAAATGGCCTAACGCCTTGCAAGCCCGTGACTGGTCACACTTGTATAACGAACAACTTTAAAATTTTCAGGAAAAATAAATATAATTTCCCAAAATAAAACAAATTTTTCTTTTTTTTAGGTTTTTCTTGAGTTTTAGACTTGATACAAAATGTAGTTATCATTATTTATCATTTAACGTAAACAAATTTATACTTGGGACGTGGCTACAGCACGGGCAACGGTCAGCGGACGATGGTGGGAACCAGACCTCCGATCCAGTCGTGCAACCGAACCGGAGGTCTGCCTGCACTTAGCCCCTCCGGTTGTCCATGGCCATTCCATTTTGTATATAGTCCGAGAGCTACAAATTTGTTATGTTTTCAAGTGGAGACGAGAAGGAGGAGGCTGTTGTGGATAGAATGGAGGCTGCAGCGTCTACTCCTCGTCGATGGTCTGGACTTGTTGCTGTTGGTGCTGCTGCTGTTGGTTCTTGTGATGGCCACGCTGCTGGTTGCGGTTGCGATTGCCGGACCCCCGCCGCTGGCCGGCCCAGTTGCCGCCCTGGTTGTTCTGGTTGCGGTTGTAGCCACGATCGCCACGGTTGCCCATGTTGCCGCGCTGGAAGAAGTTGCCCTGCTTCATGTCAAACACCTTCTCGTTGACGTCCACCAGATTGGTGACCTTGTCCACAAACTGCATGGCCAGGGCCTGGAGGCGCGACGGCTCGGAGCGATGCATCACCACCGTTTCGCTGGGATCGTCCAAACTGGCCATTAGCTCCTCGTTGATGATCATCTTGCTGATGATCGAGTGCACCTTCTGCACGGGCAGCTCGTACATCTGGGCCAGCGACGGAATGCTGATCGAGGTGTAGACGTTCGAGTAGGTGAAGAGGTACGTGCGCAGCGATTCCTCCTTGATGAACTTGGTCAGCATCTCGCGCACTCGGTCCGATTCGTAGAACAGATCCCAAACCTTGGTGTTCATCTTCTTGTTGACGATGAAGTTGGCGCATGCCTGCCAGTTGCCGCAACGCATGGCCTTGGCGGCGGCCACCACATGCTCGCGCATCGATTCCGGGGGACCCACCAGGGACTGGCGCTCCGAGGAGCGCAGCTGCTGGTAGAACGTCTTGCTGATCATGCGGCGGCGGGCGTCGAACTCGTGGGCGGCAATGTAGGGAATCTCCAGCAGCATGGCGGACACCAGGTAGACGCACTCGAGCAGCTCGAGGTTGATGTGCATGTGGAATGGCATCTGGCGCTGCTTCTCGATCTTCTCCTGCTCGGCGGACCGTTCATGCTGGCGCTGGGGCAACAGTCCCTGGGCGAGCAGCTCCTTAGGCTTGCCGGTGACCATTAGGTCCACGAGACAATGATGCGCATCCTTCACATTCTCCTGGCGGAAGGCGCACAGACCGAGGTTGGCCATCATGCGATTGTACAGGATACGGGTGGCGGGATCGGCGGCATCGATGTTGTCCTGCAGATGGGACATCAGCACAAGGTCACGCGCCTGGAACCAGTTGTCGTGCATGGCATGGTGGTAGATGTGCGCCAGAATGGCCCGAGTCCTAATACGATCCGTGTCGTCCTTGGCGTAGATGAACTTGCACAGCTTGTCCATAACCTCCACAGAGGTGCCAGTAGTGGCCGGCACCTCGCCGCGCTTCTTCTTCAGCACCTCGGGATCGAACTTGTAGTAGAGATGCTCGATCTTGCGCAGATAGATGCGGCAGCGCTCGTTGTTGGTTCCAGAGCGCTCGAAGTACTGCAGCACCAGCTCGATGGTCTTCACCACGTTCACCTCGTCCTTCAGCCGTGACACATAGTCGTTCGAGTGGGGATCGCACTCCTTCAGCAGCTTGGTGAACTCATCGTCCAGTCGCTCCACGGCGGCCAGGGGGCAGCCGCGAACGAAGAAGGGCGCCGCGGCGTACTCCTCGTGCTCCTCGGCCACACTCTCGCTCATGTTGATGTCCGCATTGGCCAGGAGCAGCTTCATCATGCTCTGCATCACCTCCAGCAGCAGGGCCCAGTGCTCCAGCTTCATGGGCTCGGAGATCTTCTGGTTGTAGTCGAAGATAGCTGAGATGATGTTGAAGTGAATCTTCACGGAGACGGCGGTGCCGAGGTTGTGCTGGTCGGAGATGTCCCTCAGCTCGAACAGCAGATCGATCTGCAGGCGGCGATCGGTGCGCTTCTTGCCGCGCGCCGACATGATCTCCAGCAGCTTGGCCAGCACCAAGGGCACATCGATCTCGGCGTCCTTCTCGAACATCTTGGGCTTCTCCACGACATGACCCTTGACCACAGTTTCCCACTCGCCATCCTCATCATCCTCGGCGCGCTTGCGGATCTTGACCTTCTGCTCCTTGCGCTTGTCCTTCCTCTTGTCATCGTCCTTGTCCTCCTTCTCGGTGGTGCGCTTAAGGAAGCGCTCGCGCATGTTCTGGTACTGGTTCTCATCGTCCGACGACTCCGTCTCGCTCTCCGAATCCGAGTCCCAGTCAATGGAATCATCGGAATCGTCATCGTCGGCGGGTGCAGCCTTGACTGGCGCCGATTTGGCCGCCTTGGGAGCGGCTTCGGTGGCCTCGCGCTTGACTCCCACATCGCTGTCGTCGCCGGCATCGCCACCGTCGCTGTCCTGGGCGGCCACCTCATCCTCGGCTTCGCTCTCCTGGTCGGGCGCCTCGCGGAAACGCGACAAATCGTCCTCAAAGTCCTTGATGTACTTGCGCACCTTCTGGCGCAGCGTGCCCAGCGACTTGGAGTTGTTCTTGGACAGGTTCTTCCTGCCCTCGCGATCCTCCCACACCTCGTTGATGAAGTCTTCCAGCTCAGCGAGGCAGCGGATGTAGAAACGCGGTGTGATGCCGTTCTCCTCCTTCGAGATGACGGGCAGCGCCTTCTGGTACGCGCGGGTCAGATCCTCGAAGCTGGTCAGCGTGTTCGGGATATCCTTGATCTTCTTGTGGTTGCGGATGGTCTTGATGATGCTGGTGAGGTTCTCGTAGCGCTTCTCCTTGGTGGAGCGCACCACGCGTTTGACCTCCTCCTCATCGTCGCTGAATTGCTAATGGGGGGAAAGCGGGATTAAGACCGGATACTCCACAGCAATGGATGGTGGTACTCACGAAGGCGCTCGCTTTGTTGAAGTTCGTCGCTTGGACCTCCTCCTCACTGGACTCGGACTCCGAGTCGGACCCGTTGGCAAAGAAGCGCGACATGTTCGTTGACTTTCCACGCGGCCGTTTGTCTGCACCTGGAATACAAATCTATTAGTTTCGGGCCACATAATTTCTCGCCCCTGGTTGAGGTTATGTTTGGCCGCTCGGCCAACATGGCGTTTGCGAAAATGAATTCGCAAGTTTCTCGCCGGTTCCCCCATGACCTTTCGGAAAATCCGCTCGCCGGTCTCGGCTGGGCACGTTTTCACCTGGGTGGGGCTTGGATTTTCACGAAAACTTACTATTTTTACAGCAAAACTAAACGCTGTCGAATGCACAAGACATCAAAAAGAGTGACCAGATATATGAAATTCGGCTTTCCCCCTAAAATCGATATATTTTTATACGCGAACCACAGCTAATACTCAAACCGCAGCTAATACGTATCGATGTATCGCATAAAAAATCGAATAGTCGATTATAAAATCGCAGCAGCTGGGCACTCTAAAACGCTCGATTGTTGTATACTTTCGGCGGCAATTTTTAAATAGTGCGCCAAACTTAGTAAAACTACGATAAATAGTTAAAACAACAACAATTTATGTTGGTAATATATAGAAATGGCAAATAGAACGCTTACATATATAAATAAATAATAACTCTAACATAAAATTGGTAAAATTATACGGGTAATTAGATAAACATTATTTAAAAAATACAAATCACTGATCAAGGCCAGTTCAGAAGTCAAGTCTGGGGCAGTAAATGGCTGCAACATTTCGCCCCCGCAACATGTTGCAGCACATGCGCACGCGTTAGCCGGCATTTTGGCGCCCCGTCCAATCTCCGGATCAATTGCGGGCGGGTACGGGACTTCTTGGCCAAAACAACATGCAGTCAGCCAGCAAGACCGAAACAAAAACCAAACGGCAAACGATTTCGCGCGCGCCAACAAGTCGCATCGTTCTCTCTTCGCTCCGACGGACAGTTCAAGTTCAAAAACGGAATTTTCGGATGTTCGGTGCGGTGTGTTGATGCCAATATCCGGCTATAGCGTTTCAAGTGCTTTCGCCTGCTAAAAAGAATTCAATAAATTTATTTCCAATTCTTCCCGCGTGTGTGCTGAGTGTGTGTGTGTGTAAACAAAATTAGGGCCAAGTGTTCAAGTTCATGTGCTCCTCCCGTTTGGCGCTGGCGCTGGCATATCCTGTTTAAGTCCCATCTCATCATCTCGTGTGCGAGGGGGCCTGGCATCGCTAACAAGCACGGAAACACATAAAAACACTTAAACGCAAATGTAAGCATAATAAATAATAATTGCAGATTGATGCAAATCTGTTTGTTTGCGGTGTCGGAAAATGGCAAATTAAAAATTGATCACTTAATCTCGCTTAATCGCCTTCTGACACCCCCCTGACACTCGAGTGTGCATATTATCCTGAACAATTGATGGTGTCGGCTCCATAAATTTTCCGGCCCAACCTATCGACATTTTGAATCGGCGCTTGGCCGGTGAAAAATGTAGTTTTCCGGGCCCTAAACGGCAGTGGCAATCGTAAATCGTGCGTGGAAGCAAAGCCTTTATATGCATTTTGCATCCAAAATCGGTCTGGGGGTTCTGTTTCTGTTTCCGCTGGGCTCTTGTGCTGTTTATTTTGCTTCCGCTTTCCGTTATTTTGCTATTGCTGCCTTTGTTTCTGGCCCCTGACTCCATAAATCCTGGCCATTTTGAAAACCAGTCTAGCCCGGTGCATCGAAATTTCCATTTTAATGCCGTTTTTGCCTTTGCATGTTGATGGATTTCCTGTTGATTGAATTCCAGCGCGGATTACGTAATTTCAATACATATTTCTAACTATATATTTGTGGCTCACAATCCCAGTATTTGATGGATAATGTGGAAAGTAATTTCCATCAGGTTTTCTGTTTTATTGTTCTGCCATTTACGCTGCATATATTTCATTTCAATTTATCTGCACGAAGCCATAAAGGTTTGTATTGCAACCAGAAGGATTCAGAGCTCATGTTTTATTCCGGGATTTTTTAGGGTAACACCCTTTTCATGCTGCACACACTTAGCCACAAGCCGGAAAAACTCCCAAGTTAATGAAAAACCAAGAAAAACTATACAAGTGCCGAGGACCGGCACAGAAATACAGTAAATATGCGGGTGGAATGGGAATGAAAATGGAGGAGTGCATCGGATGCGCGTGCCATTTATTAGCTTTTGGCAACCGAAGGAGGAGGAGCTATCTGGCCGGGCTTAAATGTGCCATTAACATAAGCTGCACGATCGGAGGAGTAGGTGCCCAAGGGGCTTGGGAAAATTTACAATCTAATAGCTGCCCCCACAATCTAAATATAAAACCGGGGCGTGCTGCTGGACACGATCCATCCATATCCATCCAAACATCAAGTCCATCCAAATATCGAGTCCATCGAGAAGTTTGTTTACAATTAACCGACGCGACAGCATTAAACAAAAACGATGTCGATGACGAGGCCTAGCGCCCATAAACAAAGACCTGAACTGCCCGTTCCGCGATGGAAACATATGTACCAAAAACTCGTATGGATCGGATTGATTTAAGGTGTCTACAAAATTTAACAATAGCTTTTTGGCTTCACCTTGCCAAGTTTTCGTTGGCAAAACTTACGCAAATAAATAGCGCGAAAGCCGCGGAAAAACAAATACATTTTAACTTGTGGATTTATTGACTTCTTATCGACGAAAAGTTTAATTAAAGGGCAAGTTTATGTACTGTATTTAGAGGCGCCCAAAAAGGCTAAAGGTAAATGTATATAAGTAAGGTAATTTTCAACTTTATATGATACATATTTATTAGATAAAGTTTGCAGTTAAAAAAGATAAAAATTGGATGGCCAAAAGTTCGCATTTTAGCAACAAAAGTTAACGTAAAGAAAGCAAAGTTTTTTTGCATAATTTAAAAGCTCAACAAAATTATAAAATCTAAATAGATTTAAGGGTGTGAATCTTTAACTTTAGATAATATAATTTTAATATTATTTGCGAGGTAAATTTCTGGAAAATCTCAAAAAATCAACTGTGTAAAATTACCTTTAACTGCTCAATATATTGACTGCTTATCGAGCTAAACTCCCAGTTATCTACATTATTTAGAATCCCGGAAAAAGTACTAAATGGAAACGGATTAAAGGGAAACATAAACAAGTGAACAAATCGAGAAAATTCCTCTTTTAGATAAGGCCTTTCATCCCCTTTAAAAGTTCACCCCCATAAACATGTTTATTACGCGATATTTATGTATTTGGGTTACCTTTGATTTATGCTGCCGGCGATTTGATATGCATCTCTATTCCGTATTCATTTCCAGCTTTTTGTTCGGAAACCGCACCCACAACGGGGTGTAACCCACACCCATTTGTATATCCCCCTGTCCTGGCTCCAGGATCTGCTAAGACAAACTAATTTCGCCGACTAATACATACGAATGACAGTCGTTTAATTTCTATGAGTCATAAATTTTTATAATGCGCATACGCCGGGTGTGCAGCGGCGGCGGGTGTTTGCGTCACAGTCGGAGCTGGAAAGTTGAGCAGCAAACAATTGCACCTAATTAGGTGGAAATGAAACCCAAACCAAGGCCTTCAGACTTACAGACTTGTATTACCCGCGGTATCCCAGCGAGAAAAACTTTAACCAAACGGAAACTTAAATTGAAATGTAGGATAGCAGATATTGTAGTAGTAGTAGTTTTCGTTCTTTTGTTTTAGTTCGAAAAACTTTCGTTTAACTAAACAAAGCACGTCGGCAAATGATTCTGTTTGCCCGACACTTCAAGTGTCTGCGAATCAGAGGGGTCGAAACTGTCACTCCTCGGCCCAAGTTTCACTCGGTTCTTGTTTGCCGGGATCATACAAAAGCCAATCACCACAAAACACCCGAGTAATGATGCGGAACTTTTCAAGTGCCTCACTTTTCTTGGAGTTTGCCCCGAGTTTTGTTGGCAGGACAACCGGACACTGACAGTCCTGTTGTGTTCGCTTTCGATTGAAATCTCTTGCAGGAAAAGTTATTTGCATGATGGCTTCGTATCTGCAAATGGCAAATGATTTAATTGCCAATGCTTCTTGGGGGGAAAGATATGATTTTCTTTGTCAGAAAGAGAAAAGGATTTTAGCTTTTGTTTAAAGCAAATTTTAATGGGGTTTTTGAAGATTAAAGCACATATATTCTAAAAGCATAAACAAATTTATTGCCTTCTCTATTTTAAATAAAGTTTTCAGGGTTTATTCTAAGCAATTACCTTTAAGCTTTTCATTTTCCTTTATTTTTTGCTGATGACCAAATGCATTTAACCCCAGCTTGGCATATTTTTTTCTCGACCAATGCCATTTCAGCCATTTAGCCAAGTTGGAAAGCCAGTCCCGATATGCAATTAGCATTATTAGGTTGTGCGTAACACGAAACCGCAAATTCTCGCCTTGCACAAATGCAGAATTTTAAATGGTTTTATCCTTTTTCCCCTTTACTAAAGTTTATGAATATTTTCGTGTTTGTGAGAGTGCAGCAGTAGTAGTACATTTCATTAATTAAGTAACTGAAAGTGAAACAGACAAGTAATACAAGTAAAGTCGGACGAACTAACGCCGGGAGCTGCTCTGGGGAGGAGCGAGCATTCCTGATAGCGCGCACGCTTCGAATTAATTAAATGCCCGGCGACTTTTCCGCTTTTCTAATATGAAAAGTGTGCGATGTCTTAGCCTTTGGCTTGAATTAATTTATCGTTTGGTGTTTTAAGAAAATTGGGTTTTCGGAATTCACTGGAAGGGCAGAGCTAAGGGTTTCAGAGATTAATGTTTACAAACTTGGCTTACTAACATAACAATTATAAGCTTTTAAGGGGGAAATAGACGACTTGATTTGGTGCTTAGAGAGGGGATTTAAGTTTAAATTAATTAATTAATAAAGTAAAACTATTATGGTTAGGATTTTGATATTAGCTGCCTAGAAATTCATGAAATAATACCTTATAAAATTAATACAGAAACTTTAGAGAATTGAAATCAGGACTTTATTCGAATTTGTAACTGAAAATGTAACCGAAACATATCTCTCATGTTATTTATATACATTTTTTCTCACATATATCGATTTATTATACCCAAAATTAAAAAAAATTCCCATAATTACAACAATCAGTCATGTGAAATAATTGCTTTGTTTTGTGGCTTAATCGCTTCCTCTTCCTTGTAAAAATCAACAAGCTGAACATGAATCGCAGTAGAATGATTAAAATTGCATAAGCGGAACTGAATTTTCCGCATTTTTCACCACAGGGAAAGCCTGCCCTGCCTCTGCCTGCCGCCTCCATTGCCCCATTTATTTTACACATTTAATGAGCTCAACGCAGGGAAGTTAGCACCTCATGTTAGCTGTCATGTAATTTAATATGGGGGCGCCTTCGCCAGGATCCTAGTCTTCGGTTGGGGAGAGGTGGCAACACCCACGGCAACACCCAACCAATTAACTGGGGGCCATTGTGCACAAAATGGCCCGTGACTGGGTCGAAATGCCGAAAGCCGGGACCGAAACAGCTTCGAGCTCCAAGGGTGAGAGACAAATTACAAAATGAAAATGATATATGTGCTGATGTCGCCAGGGGGAGGGAGATGGAGGTTCCGGGATGGATTGAGGCATAAGTGCGGCGTGTCCGTCAGTCAGTCAGTCAAATTTATGTGTCGAGGAGTCATGGCCTCACTCTCCTCCTACTCCTGGTAATCCCTCCTGTCCACCAGCTGTTGCTGAATAATGAAGCTGCTAGAGAGCGTTACTACGCCCATCAAAGAAATGTCAACAAACTAGGCGGAAAAGCGTTGGAAAAAACCAAAGAAAAAACAAGAGGAAATTAAGGACTTTGAGGCGAGAATGTTGAATTATGCAAATTGGTGGCATTTAGGTTCTGTTTGTCGCGGGCGCGAAAATAAAATAAAATTTAAATTAATGATAGCTGCTGAGGAAAAAACCCAAATGGCACAGACATATGAAAAATGGTAAGCAAATTATTTAAAGACCAAGGAAGAGTCCCAATTTTAAGCTAAAGTTCGTTCGGTGGATACTCTCTTTTGTTTCAAGTCTGAAAAGTTTGTAAAGTCAAGGTGCTTAATTCCTGGCGGAACCATGCTCTCTAAATCAAGAAGTTTGGTTGTCTTTGTTTTAATTTTAATGTAGGAAATTAAAGCTAAAGTTTGGCTGTTAATTTCACAAAGCTACCTTTAATTTTGTGCCTAAGAAAATATATTTTAAAATTGTGT